CTGGGGGGGGGGGAGAGAGAGAGATAGAGAATGTAGTTAGTTCATTACATTATTACTGAAAATGTGTTCAAACCTAATTATCCCATTTTACCATGCTATACTATATGTAGTAAATGTGTGCATTGCCTAATTTTTTATATTGTACTAATTAGTAATAAATTAAACTATAAAATTACATTAATTTCACATTTACTATTGAAAACACAAGACTAAAACATTTTACAATTTTCTTTTATTCTCCAAATAATCAACTTACACTAAACATTTCTTCATATGGCATATAACAAATGATTGTTATAGTACCCTAGTCATTGGTTAAATAAAACAGGACAGTAGTGGTATTTTCCTCTTCCCTTCTGGACAATCACATTACCTGAAACTGTGAAAATTGGGTACTGGCAATAATTAAAAGGCTACAGCACACATATTTTTACTTAAAGGTGTTTCAAGTGCATTCTCAAAGCCAAAAGCTCTAACTATTTTCTTTTGGTCAATAAAAAAGTGTGAGGACCAGTTATGAAATTTGTATTAAATTAAATAGGTTTAAAGGAACAAAAATGATCTAACTACAAGTCAAAGTTACAGCCCTCTATGAGAGAAGTTGAACAACACAAGATATCCATATGCAAAGTGAAACAAACATTGAAACTGCTCTACTAGCATTCAGGAGCTCTGAATAAGCATTCTGATAGTCCTAGTATTTTATTATTATCTATGTCACTCATTTCATGTTCTTGGCTGTTCTCCATCATACTCAATGGAACTGTGTGAAGAGTGACACAGGAAGTAGTTTAATTTTAAATAAACATCTTAAAGATATTATTTGAAATATGTGAAATTTCAGGTTAAAATTAAAATGATGAAGAATAGTTAGGGGAATAGCATTACATTACATTAGCAAGTGTTATAAAGTCATATAAAACAGAAACACACAAATCCTTAACAGCCAATTGTATGGTATCCCACATCATTTAACACTTGCCAATAATAGTAGAAATGGGGCATTATATTGGTCATCAGATTAGATGATTTGTAAGCAATTATGAGTATTGGCATGATACATTATTTTCCTATGAGCTATGTATATAATTTAATACAAAACGTGCTAATGATTATTGTCTCAATGTGATGCTTTAATCATATAAATCGCATGATTTTTTTTGTTTAACTGGACATGTCAAGATCACAGGACAAGGGTCAGTATCCCTTGGTCACATGCTAAACTTCAAGTCAATCAATCTGCATTCATAAAAAGATTATGCCTTAAACATTCTTAACTGCACAATGGGATATCATTTATTATTTTTGCTTTCACTTTCAAATGACCATAACTGTTTTTGCTTTTTTCACAATAAAACATCACATTACAGCAGGACCCCCATCACCAGCTACAAGACTGCCCCAATGTAGCAGCACCAGGACAAAAAAAAAGGTACACAAGTCAAATAATTAGATCATGTTACTAAGGACAAAGAAAAGTCTCTTCCCAAACTGGAAACAAAAAATAATTAAATTATAAATGCGCAATGCATGTAAAGCCCTGTTTTATTCAAACAGACCAATGCCATGGAAATCAATGCCATGAAACATATCAAAGCTATAACAGTGCTTCTCAGGTCCTGTCCATAAACCCCCCAGTTCTAGTCAGTACTCAAATAGTTAAAGATGAAAAATAGCAAGAATCTATTTGGGCGCGTGTCCCTGCTGCAATATTGATCAAGTTTTACCCGTCCATAACACTGAAAAGTTTGAGAAGCACTGCTACCATAACAGACGCATGCACTTGTTGGGAAGTAACTTTAAAGTAAGTTTAATTTGAAAATTTCTAAATAATAAATATTGTTAATCATACTGAATCATGTTCATAGGTGTTATCTGAATTAAATAACAGGTAGAAAGTAAACAGAAATTTAAGAAGGAAACAATTTTCATTGTGCACGTAACTATGAAGCTTACAAGAGGACAGGGAATTCAACTTATATTTTAGGACTATCATCAGTGCTAATGCACCAAAAAACAATAGATGGCATAACTTTTCCAAAGACAATCATGTGCTCATGCAGACAAAATGAGAAAAATGGAAACAAGAAAATGTAGAGTGTCAAATTGGGTCTCAATAAACCGTTAATCTGCCTTTATTTATCAAGAAGAAGATAAGATAAACAAAGAATTAATTTTGTAGCCATCAGAATAATTGGCAAATACAAAAAAAATCTATTTCTGTTCTCTGATTTCTTAGAACGACAATAAAATGTGTTATTTTAGGTGATTTCTGTATAATTGTTGATGCCATTTCCATGTTTTAACTAGTCTACAAGTAAAACATTTTGCATAGTTCAACACCCCCAAACACAACATTGCACTTCAAAGAAAACAAATTAGAATATTACAACCAACCATAATAGAAATGTTAGGAGCAATTTGACAATGGAAATGTTAATCTGTTAAAAGAGAGCTTCTACTAGGTTCTAGGGACAAGGTTTTATTTTAAGACTTTGACGTCAAGTGAAAGCTGTACTTCAAACATTACCTTATTATCTAATTTAGTCCACAATAATTACACTAAGAGTTGTTACACAAAATAAAAAGTGACTATGATTCCAAAATTACATGATTTAGTTATTGACAAATTTAACAGGACAGACCACCAGCTTCTTTAAAAGAAAAAAAATTAATAAAACCATCATATACAACAAATTTCATCATACCGGCAAATAATTTATATGTACACAATTTTCGTTTAATAACATGAAGTGCAGGAAGCATTGTGGGGGAGAAAAAAAAAACTAATCACATTTCCTGTACGCTTACTTTTAAAAAAATGCACAAATTATATTCTCTCACATGTTTCTTCTACGGTACAAGAAATATTTATCTTAAAAAATAATAATTTTAAAAAATCAGTTTCAAACAGACACTTTTAAAATCCTTTAAATATTGAATGAATGCAATGTCTTGAAGAAAAGTACACAAAAGATGTTAAAAATATAATAGAGAAAATGTATTTTAACATACAACAAACAAAAATATTTTTTTTATATTAGTAGAATCCAGTCATACCTTAAAAGAAAACTAAGTTGGTATCCTATTTCCATCACAATAATACTATTAATATTTTTATAGAAAGTTATGATCATATGCCCAATATTATTTTGAAAATAAAAAACACTATAGCTTCACAGCTGTGAATATTTTTTTGTGTCTATACATTCTCAAGTGAACAGAGCTTTCCTTAACACTATTTGTTACAGTACCCTCCGACATAAAAGTTAACATTAAATGCATTAGTGGATCAATTCTGAAGCTTGCTCGGTTAGACATAAGAATATTACACTAGACTGTTTCAATATATAGGTAAACAGTCTCATATGATGTCCTTTTTAAATAATTCTGACTAAAATATATCCAGCTAACTTTTCCATTTCTTTAACGACCAGCTAGTAAATTTCAGTTAACTTTCGTACCAAAATAAATACTTCCTATTTGTTTAAAAATTCCTTTAATTTAACATGTTAAGGAGATATATAATATAAACTAATTTTTACTAGCTATATGCACTGAAGCAACAAAATAATCATTTCTACTAGAACATTTAATTTAGCCGTAGACATCTTTTGAACAAAATACAGAACTGTTTTAAAGTTTCTTATCCAAAAATTTTAATCTGATTCTAACGTTAGCTGAATGAAAGTTGCTAATGATAATACTTCTTGAAACTATAAACAACGAATTAAACACATGAGGATCAATGACATGACAATGGATCAATTATTAATAAAGCCCTACACAAAAATATTTGTTTTACGTTGGAGCTTAAGAATATTAAAATTACGGAAATTTTGTTCAAGTAATATCCAACCATAAAACTGACTCTTTTGTAAAGATCACAGGAAATAAGTATTAGCAAAGATAACTAGATCATGAGACATCTACAACTGGTCACACACCTGCACTTGCACTCAAGTGTTGAAAAAAAAATAGAGAAAAAGAGGGAAAGAAAAAAATCCGACCATGCATGTCAAAGTAAGAATTTTCCAATGATGAGGCCAAGGAGGATCGCAGCAACAATGTATACCACAGGTGGAAAGGCCCTAACACTGACAGGTGATGATGGGGGGGGATGTGAAGGAGTTGACATGACGGTATCCGACATTGCTACCTTGCGTAGACGCACACCTTCTTCCTGCGAAAGATTTAAATGGAAAATGAAATTAACTCAACATATAATTTTAACTCAAATATAATTAACAGAAAAATAAAAATAATTTTGGTTCACTATATTTGGAGTGGCAGCTACACTTAAGCTGTAATCTAGTAAATTTTGAACTATATTTTAATAAATCTAACATAATAACAAAATCTTTTTAAATATGAAAAAGTTATACATGATATAAGACAAGTTACTTATTTCATTTAAATGTTATTTGCTAACTAAAGCAAGTTAACCCACGAACTGTGGTCAGCCGAAAAAAATCGGCAGATTTTTCGTTTGGTACTGTTGGCGGCCGATAAAAAACATGGTTTGATAGCAACTTCTAATCCAATATTTAACCGGAATTATAGCCAATTCCTTTAATTAATAATTAAATCATCTTCCGGATCAAGCTGTTTTTGATAACTTAACAATAATTACTTTTAAATCGGAATTCTATATCGCCAGTTTTTAAAACGCTAAAATGGCTGAAGCTATGACTGGGCCTTCATATGAGAACAAGTAGAAATATTTTTGAAAGCTTTTTAGGAGAGGATTTAAGTGATACTGATTTTAACTTTCCACATGACAATCTCAGTTTGTCTTCTTCTAGTGAATCTGATACTAGTCTTAGTACTCTTAGTGATACTGAAGTAGGCCTACGGTTAGACTTCGAGCCAGGCTCGGAGGTTGGGCAAGGACTGACTGAATTTTAGTCACAGAAGCTACAGATTATATATCAGAACTAAAAAATGTTATAGTTAACCCAAATCAGTTCCACAGTTCCTTTTTAAATGTTTAGTAGTCAATAATAGCTATTTTACTGAGATTTTGTATGTTGTACTTGGTTTTAGCTATAATCCAAGTTCCTTTTTTTTTTTTCATCGTAATAAATTACCTAAAATTGCTTTCAGAGGCTCAATTGTAACTCAATTGCAAACTAAACATTTTCTGGCAGATAAATGAATTGGCTACCACATTTGTATTAGTATTTTAATGGAATCTATAAAAATTAATGATGTTTTAAGCATTTGAAAGCAAAACATTTTGTTGATCTTTTTTCCCTTGAGGACTCAAAGGCCAAAGACACTGAACAAAATTTTTTTTTAAAGGTGGGCAATATAGCCAACTTTATCCCCATCCATTTACCTTTCTAAAAATATAAACTTATTGGGGTCTTGTTATGTCATTTAATGCTATTTCTAAAGGCACTCAAAAAGCTCTGAAAAGCTCCCTCACTACAGAATGATCTATGCGACACTTCTTGGGTTCATACATTTTCTTTATTGGCATGTTTTTTTTATTTGAAAGTTCATAAAATTATGAATTAACATGGCCATTTTCAGTACCTCTAATTTATTATTTGCATTTTTTAGTGATTGGAGTTCCTGCTGTATTTTCTTTAATTCGTGTTGTAGTTTCCTTACTTCCTCTGTAGAACTTGCTGAAGCTGGTTTCTTAAAAATACATTTTTTAAAAAGATTACATATTAATATTTTTTAAAAAATTGATCCAAAAGTAAGAATGACCAATGGCCCTTTCTATACATTTGGAAATCATGCCAAAATATCAATTATATTTTTAAAAATGTCACTTTAAGGATTAAATTATTATTTTAAGAGTTTAAATTCAGTGTTTGGCACATCATATATTGTTTTAACATATATTTGTTTGTGGCCGCAGTAAAAAAGGTTATATTTAGGCATTTTTATTTATTTGCAAAAATAGTGCCTTTATTTAAAAAAACCCAATGAGAATTATAAATTAAGTCAAGGTTATTTTTTCCTTAAATGCTTCATTATAATGAAGAAACTTATACAATTTTTCTTTAAATTTTAATATGCTTCTGGTACACTATATTGAAGCTAACAAAGGCTTAATTAAAACAAAGACAGCAATATTCATTGACAGTTACGGGAGGTGAGTGGAATAGAAAATATATAAATTCAAACATATTGTTACAAGCTATATTAAAATAATAAAATCTGCAATCTTTATTTTCTTAATAATGTTGTGTAAGCTCACCTTTGGAGACTCTGCTTTTCTAGCATTCGCTGGGTCATCCAAGGTGCTATCTGACTGTAATGAAATAATTTTGGGGGTTACAACTAATGGTTAAACTTATACTGTCAAAAGTTGTTGTTTTTTAAATGTTTTGTTGAATAAGTATGGAATATAAACAAATTAGACAAAGAATAATTTTATTCTTTATTTTATAAACATCTGCTACTGATATTCAAATAATATAGAATATCAAAAGATTGCATCAAAATATATATCACATCCAATTCTCCTGTTAAATATTAACCAACAAAATATTTTTACTTTCTGAAAAAGCTGCAGTGAAAAGCAATGTCAGCTTCTTGTACATACTTGTGAATATGTTGTTTTTTGAAATTTTTGTGTAAAATTTCAGTCCTAACAAGCCTAGACATGGGGACACCAAATGTAGTTAAGAGCGAAGATCGGATTGAATTGTTAAAGTGACTCAAGAATTTGAATACTAGAGCAACTTACAATTGAAGCTGGGAATTTTAACCAGCTTAATTTTTGTGTATGGTAGCAAAGAAAGATACTTACTGGAGGTTAGAGGGGGGAGCAAGTGCTCTCACCCAACCACTCTTTTTGCATAGTTTTATTCATATAAATTTATAAATTTAAAAAATGTGTATTTGCATGCAAGACTAGTAGATGATTAAGAAATAAATTCTAATTAATTTGAAAAATGGCAATTTACTGAGGTGAAAGAGCTTTAATTGTTGAATGACACATCATTCTAAAGAAACTTCAATGCCTATTAATTGTGAAGCAATTATTGGGAAAAAGAAAAGTATACCTGGAAATCTTGTATTGACCCATATATCATTAACTCCAGAAAAGAATCTGGATATGGGTTGAGTTTGACCAAAATGTCTACTGAATTCATGCCAGGCCACACATCATTAATGCTGCTGCTCCCAGATTGTGTGCGGTGCAATGGATTTATTAGAAACTCTTCTTTTTCAAGTTCTTCTAACTGAGCACCTAAGCTTTTAAGAGGAGCGATTTCCTTAGCTACACTATTTATATGATCAATGTACTGTTCCAAAAACTTGCCTACAGTACCTCTATCCTGCCTAGGATTAGAATAAAACTCCTTTGCTTTAAGCCAGACGGCAAAAGCACTTTTCCGTGACTTCAAAATGTTTATAACAGAACTGCCCTTGGACAAGGCAGGATTATTTGAATTAACTATATTTCCAATTGCAGTAAATGTACCACCAGAAATTCTTAAAGAGATAGAGTATTCAGCACCATCAATTAAAGTATTATCATTAATTTTCTTTTGTTGAATTCCAAAAGATGTATGCTTGGCTTTGTGTTTAACTGGACTTTTAAAAGTTGTTTTTTTAATAATTTTTGGTAAAGTCATGGCGTAGCTAACTTGATGTAAGAAACATAAAAGCAATAGTTCATTGATAAAATATTCATTAATTCGGTGATATTAAGCAAGTCTGTTAACATAAATTTACAAAACAGAAAGCCATTAAATTTTTTAAACAGGCTCAGCCATTTCTATGCAGCATTGAATAATGCAGTTTGGTGTGCACCAGAACTAACTAAATAATGTACAGGTAGTTAGGAAATTCCCCATTTTTGATGTCTAAACACTGATATATTTCTTGTATTGTCAAAATTCACCAATTTCCATAGACTGGTGTTTGGCAGCACACAAGTTCTTTTTTAAAAGAAAATATAAGAATAAGGTATATGGAAGCTTGAAAAAGAAAGACAGGAACAAAAACATAATGTTTCGTAAGAGTCTTTCTCAGCAGACAGGACAAAGAAAAAATAGCAAGAAATGGAGAGTAGTTTTAAGTGGTCCCGTCCAGCAGTAACATTAATGGCAAGTTTTTTAACTCTCCAAGAATTTACGCTATTTAAAAACCTTTTTCAATATTTTGTCGTAAAGGTCACTTTGTTTCTAAATGAATGTGGTTGTGACTTGAAAACGTTTCAGAATATTACAGGTCCTGGTTTGTAGTGACAATTTGTGATTTACTAAAAAATAAAGAATTTAAAAAAATTCTACAGTATTCTAAAAGTGTGAACCCAGGTATTCTCTGGGTGAGAAAGTTTCCAGGGAAGTCTTTTGTTTACTAAAAAATTTGTGGGATCTCGGGATCAAAACCCTAGTACATATACATTAAGCCATCAATTTAAATAGTGCAATATTTATACTCTTGGTTATTTAAGATGAGCTAACACTTTTCTGAAGCACAAAATTGAATTTGAGGGCAGTACCAGTAATTGACTATTTAAACTTTATTTTACTACTTTACACTATCACAAATAATAATGATCTAAGTATGGATATAGATCTATGTCTGTCATGCTGCGTTTAATATGAGCATAAAATAAACTCTCAGAAATCAACACTCATTGAGATTCATATGTGCATTACTTGAATAGATGCTTTAATAGATGGGAGGTTTGCGCAGTGCCGCCGCCATTGTTTGGCTTGTTATTTCTAGCTAATAATAGTGTAGGCGTCTGCATAATCACATAATGGCAGCTTTCAAAAACTTTCTATTTTTTAGAAGGATCTAAATCTAATCATCCAATGCATGAGATTTGCTTTACCTTTAATTTATTTACTTGCACTTGGATTAATGCAATTTATGTTCTTTTACTTAGTGATTAGTGGATAAGAAAAACAAACAAATTTAAAAACTAGACTGTAAATAACTGCACACAGCAATCATTATTTCCTAGTTATTTTGAAATCCCCTAATATAATAAAAAATTGTAGACAACGCTTTATACAACTTGGTGATATTCAATAATAAAATAACATCCAAGATTATATTTTAACCATGGAGATCTTACATTATTGAAATTTCAAAATTAGAAGACATGTCAATAGACAATAATAACTTCTTTTTTATACCCAAACAACAAATTTGAAAGAAACTGATGCCAAAATTCAAGGGATAGTTTTCTAATAGATTTCAACCACTATTAAACGAGTCTTTCTTGACTGATTAAATCCTTAAATAGTTGAGATATCAATTAAAACTGTTACAGGTACTATCACTATATTGACATCGGGCATGACAAATGACATGCAGAAAGGGCCAGCAGAATGAACAGACTTTGCAGAGAAGGCTTTACCTCCTCCTTGGTGACCTCTTGAACCTCCCCCCACCACCACAAACCAAAAAAAAATAATTTTTCAACCCCTTAAAACATAAAAACTATTTATGGATCAATGGACTACTCAAATGAATTTAAAATTATTTTAGTACAATACTGCATATATTTTGTAACAAAATAAAAACAACATGAAACTATATGTTAGTAAAGAGAGGCCAATAAAGAAGTTTTAAACATAAGAAGTGGTGCCCTCATAAGCCATAGACAGCAATTTTGAACTGTAGATGAGCCTCATTTAAATTAAGACTATTTTGTTAAAAAAAATAATCTCTTTAATTCCTCTAGTAAAATTATAGTCACTTTTTTTTTTTTTTTTTTTTATTTTAAATAATTGTTGAAAAATTTCTCTCCACCAATTGCATTAACTTTTCATAAGTATAACTCTCAAGTGTTTTATCCCCTTTTCCTAAAATTTATCAGGAGATTTTAAGAGAGTTGCAAGGGTATACCATGTAAATGTTGTGAAAGATCTGATTAAAACAAAGCATTTTCCATTAGAATTTTTTTTTTTTTATATATTTATACAAGACATGGGGAAGCCATTTTGAAAAATAATGAATTATTTACATCCACTAACATTTCAGCTTTCATATACAAGTAATGTAGAAACTAGGAAACATGACATTTCAGGTGCAAATATTCCTACATCCTCTTTCTATAGTAAAATATTAAAGTAACACTTCTACAAAATAATGGATTCCCATAAAGGTTACAGCTCACATCAGTTGTCTTTTTTTTTTAAAATTGAGCCCTTATTCTGATTATGCAAAAGGTTTAGCTTGGCTTATCAGGATTCACTATGTTGACAAAAATTGATTTTGACTTTCAAAAATAACTGCATCAATCTAAAACTTACCATGGCAGATGTCTGAAGAACAAAGGTGTATTAATATTTATTATGTTGATTATAATAGCATCTGGATAAATTGGAAGAATATGTTTAAAATCTCTCATGAACTGTTGAAAAATAAACTGAGGTATATTGTGATTATTAAAATATAGTTATTGTCGTTATGCTGAAAGCTACGGCCAAACCAACATCCATTGTTTTATTCATTACGAAGAGTATACAGGCTAATAAAATTTGGGGAATTACAATATACTCTGATTACTAAAAATTTAAAGTCTATTATAACTTACAAACATATTTCAGGTGTTTCAGACCTGCTACCCTCAAACTCATAAAATTGTCTCAAAATTGTACAGTACAATGTCTTAATAGTAAATAAATAAACGAAGCACATAAAATGTATAAAATGACTATTTGCATGAAATGTTGAGTGAGATCAAGTTAAGCTGTCGTAAAAAAATTAGATAGATGACTGATGTTTATATTGAAATCTGCGCTTGATTTGTTTTGCAAACATGTATCTGCTATCGATATCAATTAATATTTGAGTAAATGTGCATCACTTTATCAGTCTGTCACTGGTAAAAATAAAGTTGCTGGTGAAATTTAACTTCAAACTGGAAGTTGAGCATAAAATAAAATGTTTTGAAATAAGAATTAATTCCCTATAACATATTATAGTCTGAAAACTACCACAAACTGTAAATGGGTGTTGGAACCAAAGGGAGTTATAAAAATCGCACAGCTTTATTGTGCACTCTAAAAATAATTTTAAAGGAACGCTCAATTATATAAAGTATGACGAAATCTTATGTTGCTGTGCGTAACAGTTTAAATGCATTCTCCTTTCTTAAAAAAATAAATAATAATTCCTGTTTTGGATGATTGGGGTTCAACTGAAAGAAATAATTATGTCACAAAATTACATCACCATACAGCACCGAAGCAAACAAAGACGAGGATTGATTTAAACGATGACTTATATTATTGTTGCCGCTAGTTCATTATGAAAGCAACAATATTACCATCATTTCGAAAACGTATTAAGGCACCCCCTGGCACACCCACACATATTTCCTAAATCAACACCATACCCTTCCACTCTCATTGCAAACATACAAACAATGACGACCAACCGAAAATGTACTTCTTTAAAATCTGAAAAACTACTGGAATGTATACATTTTCAATCATGTCTCTTAAAATTGTAGTTCTGACATGTCTTGACATACAATCGTAACATCTCAAAATAATACGCTGTAAGAGTAAACAGGTCTGGTATGTCTACAGAACTCAACTAACCTTTTTTTTAAACAATTTATTTATTCTGAAAACATACTTAACCCATCATTAAGAGAAAGTAATTTGAGTAATATAAGAATTATTAGGTATAAGTTTCAATGCTGATTCAAATGTTAAAAAAATTTAACACCACTCAAAATTATATTAACTGTATGTGATGGTCTGTGCTAATCAGAATTTAGCTACAGAATTTTAAAACATTTATATAGTGCAGTAGTGTAAAAAAATGTTTGGGTTTAGGGTACCCATTTGTTAATTTTCTATTTTAATACTCACATAATGTATAGCTTCAGTGGTTTTACTTGTCTCTGATAACAATGATTGTTGAAGGACCCCCTCCGGCATCTCAAAAACACACTTCAGTTTTGTATCCATTAGACTTTCTGGACGCGCATCTTTCCACTGAAAATAAATATACCAGAAAACCTTAGAAATGTAACACTATCGCTATCAACCAATTTTTATTTCACAGGTTCTCTCTTTCAGTGATTTTTCTGTGATGAAGTTTGTCAGCCTGTGGTAGTTTAGGATTATAAAAAAATTAATAGGCATATATGGGAGGTAGATAGATCAGATTTGAGGGAAAGGCACAAGCTTTCGAAAAAATATCAAAATCAGAAACTTTACTCAATAATTTTAATTTCAGCTAGTGTAAGTTCAAGTATGTTAGTTATCAAAATGCACAAGTTATATTTTATTCAAGAATTTCTAAAGAATTATTGTGGATATCCAAAGCTGTAGAGGCTTTTTTTTTTTTTTTTTTACAAATTATATACAATCCACACAATTTTTATACTGCATTTTATTTTTAAAATTATGCTATGCACACAATTTTTCTATTTTTATCAAGAATTTCTAAAGAATTATTGTGGATATCCAAAGCTGTAGAGGCTTTTTTTTTTTTTTTTACAAATTATATACAATCCACACAATTTTTATACTGCATTTTATTTTTAAAATTATGCTATGCACACAATTTTTCTATTTTTCATAGAATGTTTGATTATGGTTTGTGTCAGAATATGCTTTTAATTTTTATAAATTTTGAAACTTTTGTAGCAAAAACCTTCATACTGATGTCAAAATTAGACTTCTAACAAAAAAAAATAGAATGACCCAAATATGCTTATATATATTTTGTAAGACTAAGTAGTAAGTAAATAAAATATAACAAATATTTATGATATATAAATGATGAGAACAGAGGTATTTCAGGTGAGGTTTTTGATTAATAAAAAAACTTCTGAAAGATTTTTAACAAACTTAAAATGTCAAGACTGAATTTTTCCCCTACAATTTAGCTTGAAGCTTTAGTTGTAAAGAAGATCAAACAATATAACAATTAGTAACAACTTGGGTGCATAGACACAGCTGTCTTTAATTAGGTATTTGAGTAAATGTTTAAATGGGTCTTACCAATATCTCTTGATTATCACCAATATGATCAGGGGCAAACATTGACTGAACCATGAACTTGTGTTTATTTTTTTCATTTGGATCATAGTCAAAAGGCTGCAACATCACTGAAATAGAACAAGTGTTAAGTCGAAGTAATATATTAATAATATTCTCTACCATTAATTCTAATACAAGTATATACAACAAACAGCACATTTCATTAGAATGATCAACCATCCTTATAAAAATTATTACATTTTTTGCAAGTAATAAAGAATCAAGTTTTATATATATGTCTATCAATATTGCATTTGTGATTTTAACAGTCACTTTTTCCCCAATGTTATTTCATACCTGCAACAACAATTTCCTTTTTGGGATCCAGAATGCCACTGTTAGGTCGCACACAATAGCGCTTCGGTGCCGTTGTCTTTACTTTAAAACATATTCTTTTGTCTGTAGGGTTCGTTAATAATAAATTTGCTGTTACAACATCTACAAAAGGTCCTGCAAAAAAAAAAAAAAAAANNNTAATAAAAAATTTTGTTTTACAACAACCAAAAAAGGTCCTTAAAAAAAAAAAAAAAAAAACATTTTTGCAATAAAAGATACACACACACATATATATATATATATAAATAAATATATATAAATATAAATATATATAAATAAATATATATATAAATATATATATAAATATATATATATAAATATATATATAAATATATATATATAAATATATATATAAATATATATATATAAATATATATATAAATATATATATAAATATATATATAAATATATATATATATATATATATATAATGAAATAGATGAGAAATTAAAGGAGAATAATAAGTGTTGTTAATTTCTAGATTAAACTTTTACATTAATTTTTCCATAAATTACCCTTTCAGAACACAAAATGTGTTGAGATGTTATTTGAAAAATGAATGTCTAACTAGAATTAAGACTTATTACAAATATTTGGTATTTGTGAATGAGATGCAACAGTACCTATAGTGCCTCTGCCATTATTTCTCAACCTTGTTAAACTTGAAGGTCACTAAACTTATATTTGGTTTTTATTACCTGACCTTTTAGTGTGGGTAATGAATTTTAATTTAAATTATGTATTTTAAAACTTGCATAAGACAGCAAAATCAGAAATGTTTTGAAATGGGTTCTTTAAACACACACTATAAGATCTGATTGAAGCTTAAAAACATGACCTATCAATTAAAAGATTTATTTAAATTATTTATTTTAAAATTCATAATATAAATTTGATTTTTATAATCTCAGTGACTGATAATACTTTATGCCAAAAAAAAACAACCAAAAAAAAAAAACAACCTGAAACAAATGATAGATGACAAAAAAATAATAACATTTCTATTGTTTTAATTTTGTATATTACTCAAGGATAACTCTGATTTTGCTCAAAACTCAGGGTTACCGTTATTTGATTTAATTCACCGTTATTTTAATGAATTAAGTTTAACTGCATTATTTTCATAGTAAAAAGCATTGGCTACCAGTCACAACTCTACAATATAGGTAACTAATTAATTCTTTTTTGCAATGTAGTTTTTAAATTGCTAATACTTCATTAATTTATGGAAACCTTAAGTGTGTGCATTAATTCAATCATGTATAGAACCTTTAAGGGCTGTAGGTACTTTGGTAAAACATTTTAAAATTTTGTACATATAAACCAATGGCATAGCTGTTGCAGTTTTAATGTTATGAATTTTTTAAGTACGACTTCGTTTGTCCTTTTTTAACATGGACAGCATCTCCACATTCTGCTTTTGGCGCCACGAGCTATGTAATTTTATGTGACTATTATTTTCAGAACTAATGCTGTATTGAACAATAATTTTAATGATGTTATACAATTATGGATAAATTGTAGCTTATCTAACTATGGACTACGTATATCAGTAAATTTAATATAATGTTTTACTAAATAGCTTTTCTGTTTATTAAATTTATGGCGTCCATTATACCGGTTATGCTATAAAGTCTATATAAGGCAACACATCCCCTTATTACTAAAATACTGTTTGGGAACTACTTAATTTGAACTTTCAACTTTGGCACATGACTAATTAATTAAAGCTTTCCCCGACCAATGGTTTAATAGTTTTTGTACACGGCAAACTCTTATGCATGAAACTCAGAGTTAGTACTACGATATAGCAATTATTCAAGTGGCTGTGAATGGTTGCACATGACAACGTTTTGGTCACGGAAAATTCTGATCATTTATAATATGGAATCTACCAGGTTTTTAAAGCTCAAATTAAAACATTCTAGTTTAAATGTCTTCTAAATGCATTCTGAAATACAGGCCATCAAATATTTTGATGTATATATACAAGATAGTGGTTATAATTGAATATTTTCTAAGCAAAGTATCTGTGTCTTCCGCCATTTAAAAGGGGCCTGGCCACTAATCCAAATTGGCCAGTGCAACCTTTGCACAAGAAGGTCTACGTTGAGGAGAACTGTGAAAATGTTTCATGAGCTAGCGCAATGAAATTTTGCACATGTATACTTCAATATATTATGCAGACCAACAATTAATATGAAAGACCTACTTTTAATATTTCTATAAAAATTTTAGGTTGAAAGATGCCTTTTATTGATATACGATTTTCCTCACTTAAAGTTGATATAAAAAAACTCAATGGAAATGTAGGTCAACATGTCTCCTAATGTGAATGGGTGGAGTCAGACCTTAATTATGGGACCAAGGACTCCTGTATTATTATGACACTCACTAAAAAAAATTAAAAACGTGGATTCCACTGCACCGACCCCTATTTCCGATTCAAATTTTCTAGGAGTGTCCCTTGCTTTACTGAAGTACCTATTTAAGGGTAAATAGTAAATGAAAATGGTTGCCAGAAATATGCGCACACAATAAACGCTCACAGAAAAATCCACAAATAATAATAATAATAATAATATGGGGTCTTATATAGCGCGGTACGCCAGCCTAGGGCTGGGCTCACCGCGCTGCACATAAAAATTTTATCAAAAGAGACATAATCATGACATTAAAATAAAATACATTTATAAAATAAAGAACAGAAATGTATATTCACCCACCCCACCCCATAACTTTTACAAGGCAAACCATGGACGGCAGCCAGCAAGATCGTTTATCGGTCAGAGGAGGGGAATCAGTCAGGGTAGTATAATTTAAAAAGATATTTTTTTGTGCAGTTTTGAAGGCCTGGGTGGTTGGTATATTGCGTATGTGTAGTGGCAAAGAATTCCATTGTTTGGGGGCGCAGAAAGAGAAAGATTGTTCACCATGTTGTAGTGTGTGTCTTGGGAACGGACAGAATACGCGTGTCTGCAGAGGAGCGAAGCTGTCGAAGGGGTGAATAGACAGAAAGAAGATGTGCACACAGAAAAAAAGTGCTCACCGACAAATGCGGACACAGAAAATTCCGCACACGGACAATTGAGAACGTTGACAATAGCGAATACACACAAATGCGCAAATTTCAATGACATTTTCATTTAAGCCACACTTTTAGATTTAACATGGTTCAGATCAGTTGCCTATCAGCACTAAAGGCAAGTTGGGAAGAATATAAGTCTACGAATCAGTGAGACAGTATGATAAAAATTGAATTTAAAAATAATTTTAACAAAAAAACTTAAATAGCGAAAAAAAATTTTTTAACTGCGCATTATAGCTCACATTCAAAAACTATTCGAACTGCTTTAAGCCTCATTCTAATTTTATTTTAGACCTCGATCTCATTCATTGATCCAAATTCTTTTGTTAAAGTTAACATTAACGTCAAGTTTGATCAGTGCTTCAGTTTAAGACTAAATCAAGTAAATCCCTTATTATTTGGAGAGAATGGAAGGTTATTATATTTATAAATGCTTTCTAAAATGATAAAATTTTAATTTATTTTAAATAAATTATTTTGTTATTTTAATCGTAGCTAAATAAAGTTTAAAGCTAAAGTGAAGTAAGTAAAAATGCCGAGTAAAACTGAAAGTGAGTCAAGTTAAAGTTTGTAGGCTTTGACTTAGCAGGGAAGTCGGGCTCTTACTTTACCCTCTTTTTTACTACCTTTATCCCTTTAGTGACTTAAGTCTTTAATTTACCGATAATTGTTACTTTTTTTGTTTTAACTGCCAATAAACATTAATATTAAACAATGACTTGACTATGATTAGCACTGGCATGGGCATGACAAATTCAAATAATAATTTGTTAATATAGGCCTACCTATGGTCTGTGCCAAATAACTATGCCTATCAATTAAAAATCAATCCATTTCTTTGGACAAATCGTGCCTTAATTTATTAACATGAGTTATTTTAAATTTTGATGCATATTTTGGCACCAAAAATGAACATTTTAAATTTAGCCTCCTTTGTAGGCTATTCTATATAAAATTAATGGTATTTAATTAATAAATTAATTTTTATTTAAGTATAGATAGTATCCTTGTATAGGCAGACTTATAGCATGATTTTATAAAAGTATTATAAATATGGTATACCGGTTAATTCGGGTTAATTCAAGTTCCCCCGTCTAAGGCTAAGGCCTAAGTTTATTTAGTGAGTATTTCAAGACAAAATATAAGCCTAATCTATATTTTTAAAATTAATTTACATCTAACTCACTATAGCCATAACAGTTCAGAAACACATATTTTTCCAAAAAGTCCAAACACTTTATAAGAAGTTGCTTTGTACTTTTAGACAAATTGATTAATACATGTATAATGGAAGCTGGCTAAATTACTCTTAGAAACTTCAAAATAGTTATAATTTATGGAAAAGTTTCATTCATCTTATTTCAGTGTACATTCATCCGTACATTTTATATAACTAATACTAACTTAGAAGTTATACATATATAAAATTACATACAAGCTTATCAAAATGTGTAAGTGTAACTTAAGGACTGGTAGCAATTAATTAAATCGCAGTTGTAGGCCTAATCAAAATCAAAGTAGTGTCAAACAACTATCAAAGTACACACCTAAATGTATCTTGTTTAATTTATAACGGTTTTGAAAATATTATTGCAAAGTATTAGCCCTAGGCTGCCCTTCAGCTCCAGTTAAATTCACTTAAAATTTAGTAAAAGCTACAACTAAACTACAAGTATATTTGAGGACCCAATCAATTTATACTTTAGTGATGAAGCGAAGCCATGTTATTCATGCAGTGTAAAAATAATTTGACTTAGCTTCATCATGGCTACAGACAGAAAGTTTAAGTTAATTTGTAAGAAGATCGGATTAATAACTTATTTTTCTTTCTTATTTTTATAGTCCCAGTCATGGAAGTCAAAGCGGCAACCAAGTTTTAACCTACTTGGGTTATGAATATCTTTTTTTCCTCAATAATGATGGGGTGCTCACTTGGAGATGCTGGCTGAATCGAGCTACAAAGTGTCATTCCAATATTAAGACTAAAAATGACACTATAGTGAGACCACCCACTGAACATTGTCATGATTCCTGTCCCCAAAAAGCAGTAGCCAACATTTCTAGAAGTATAATGAAGCAAGCCATGAAGTCAACAGTTAGTACAACCCCTTGATACGTAATGGGGCAAGTACTGTCACAGTTGAGTAATGATGTACTCGCCCATATACCTAAACAATCCTCCCTTGCAAGGAATCTTCAAATATACACAGAAAAGACAATTACCTAACCCAGGAACAACAAATTTTGTAATTCCAGAGAAGTACAGGGGGTTGGTTCTTCATGATTCAGGGGCAGATGATCCAGACAGAATTCTTGTTTTAGGTGATCAGGAGCTATTAAATGAACTAAATAAAGACTCAATATATGGCGATGGCACTTTTGACAAAGTACCAACCATGTTTTATCAATTATACACATGGCATGCAAAAGTGGGCAACTCATATCCACCATGCCTTTATATTTTATTACAAAGAAAAAACTTAGAGACATAAAAGAATGTTTGAAATAATGAAGATGCTACTCCCAAATTTGGAACCTCAAAAGATTTTAGTTCATTTTGAGAAAACCTTCATGAATGCAGTGAGGATAGCTTTCCCTAATGGTGAGGTGAAAGGCTGTTTTTTCCATCTGTGTCAAAGTCTTGTCTGGAAAGTGAACAGTGATGGACTCAAAGCAGAGTTTCAAACAAATATAAATATGAGACTAAAATTAAAGTCTCTTGCTGCATTAACCTTTGTCCCAGTTCATGATGTGAGGAATGTCTTTGCTGAGCTGGCCGCCACATTTCCAGATGAACAAAATTATAATGAAGTACTTACATACATTTTTTCAACATACATTGAGGGAGCAGCAGGCAGAGATCCCCAATTCCCTATAAAAATATGGAATCATCATGATGCAGCTTTTCAACGTTCACCTAAAACTGCAAACTGCTGTGAGGGATTTCACAATGCTCTTAATTCCCTACTCCAATGCAGTCATCCCAGCATTTGGTTTCTTTTTGATAGACTGCAGAGGGATCTGGCTTGTCAGAGACTAACGCTGGCTAATGCACATACAGCCCGTGTAAAAGTGAAAATATGAAGATCTGCATGTGTTGGTTGCCACTGCCGTACAAGGATATGATGGGGAGGACGATAAGATAAAATACCAGAGAAGACTGGCCAATTTTAACAATAAAAAATTAATCATTGATTATTTTTGTTTAACTTTTTGAAAAAATAAAATTAACAATAATAGTATAATAGGAACAATAATTGTTGTGTTTAAAATTGTGTTTCTAGACTTAATTTTATTATGCAAAACTATTTCTAGTTAACTTTGTATGATAATAATAATAATAAAATAAAGAAAATCCTATTTATAAAAAAAAAGTATTGCTGCAACCATAACAAAGCATGTTATTTCTTTCAAACATCTTAAGATCTCTCACAAAGTAATATTGAATACACGCTATCAATGTGTCATGGCTTTTAATAGTTCTAGATATTGTAGCCCCTAAAATTAATGTAAATCATATTTAAAATTATTGAATTTAATTTACATTTGTTTTTAAATATAAAATTTCAAGTGATTTATTTTAAAATAAATAAACGTGTCAATTTAAATAAAGACAAATTGCATTTGAGTGAATATTATGATATTCACATTCAATTAAAGTGATATTTTTCTAGCACATACCAGTATACAAGATTGCAAAACAATTAAAATTTCAAGTGAATAATACTATAAACTTCGTTTTAAAAAGTTACAAGTAATTTATACAAGATTTTAAATAAAATGCTAACCCTGAAAAATTAAAAATATTACACTATTATAAATAGTAATTTTTTTTTTAAAAGTTTCAAAGGAAAACATTCAACAAATTATTATATAAAATTCATATTAAGTACTTTGTGCTAGATTAAAATTGAGTAGACAAAACAAAAACAATTTTTCTATAAATAAAAGAAAACATTTAATCGTGTGAAACCAACTGTAGATGATGCCATGGTCATTTATTGAAAATCTTGAGGAAAATAATGCTAACTAGTATTTTCCATTACAAATTGATTTTCAAGACCACAATTTTATAACATTAGTACCTACCATTTTCAAGACCACAATCATATAGCATTATAATTAGTGCATCCCCTTTGTTGTAGAAAACCAAAAGTTTATTGGGTCCATTTTCCTGCATTTATTCATTTGTGCAACAAAAATATATTCAATCAATCAAAGCCATTGGGATTCGAAATTTCCTTAAATCCTCTTTTGTTTTAATTAAGAACAGGAAACTGTCTGTCTTAACTCTCCTTGGTGGAAATAACTTTCACTATTTACACTCACAATCATAATTATACTATTCATAACCATAGATGATGATAAAAGACTTTGTAAAAAAAACAACTACATTAGTTAATCACCAAGACATTAACAAAGAAATTTAAAATAATAGAACAGTAGGCTGATAAATAGTAGGACTAAATACATTTCACTGAGAGAAAAAACTAAGGGAAACAGTTCAGTTTATACAATTACAAAATAAGTTATGGTAGAAATATCCAGGAATTTTTGTAGGGTAATTTTATGATTGCTTTCCTGAGTGTACTAAAGTAAAACAATCGCAGACCTGCCAACCCTTCCGATTTTGGCTACTATTATTCTTTTTTTAACTTATTAATATCGCAAGTATATGATATTCGGATTATGTGTATGAGTATAGAGCATTCTATATGCTACAACTTAAGGTAATTATTTTTAACTACCCGGTACTATAATTTATAATTATAATGAAACTCAATTAGGCTCAGGTACTAGGAGTAGATTATTTTAAACTATATATATTTTTTAAAAATGTCTAATATACCACTCAATTGTCAATTATACTTAGGTACTACGAGTAGTAGGAAGATTATTTTAAACTATAATTTATAAAAACTAAAATACTTAGGACGATTATTTTAAGCTATAATTATAATACTTCATTACGACGAAAATATAACTGTCATTTTGATATTGCGACTATAATTTAAAAGTAAAAGTAATACTTTCCATACCGTTATCATACTCTTGACTCTCATGTAACTTATTAAGTCTTATGAAGCGTACAGTTTTCTTCATCGCTGTCTTCAGTAATAGTAATATATTTCAATAATTTTAATGAAGCATTACTGTCAAATATTAATAGAAATAATTCTTTGCCACATAGAAATTTAACTTTTGGTGCAATAAATCTATTGTTACATATATAATTAATTACTAATAATATTATTATATTTGTGTAAAGTCTTTGAGTCAATTGAGTATAGTTTTAAACATCAGTATTTCTTCTTTAAATTTAAAATGATTCTTTCTAATCCAGCCACTTAAAATTGACGACTATTCTTTTACACTGATGATCAACAACAACTTTTTCAACTCTTTTATGAATTTGCAATTACATATTAAAATTACATTGTGCGCAATTGTTTGTGATTCGCTATTGTCAAGGTTCGCAATTTTCCATGTACGCTTTAGTCGGTGTGCGCAACTATCAGTGTGCGCAGCTATGTCTTTGCGGAATTTTCTGTGCGCGATTATCGTGTGCGCATTTGTCATGTGCGCGTATTTCACGGAACCAATGAAAATGCCCTATGCCTATTGAATTGCCAGTAGCTCAGTAGGTATTCTTCTTCTCTATTTCTACGCTGAATAGGCTTAGTTGTTTTAGACTTACATTATTGTTTATATTTGCTTAGCTTTTTGGTTTACATTAGTTAAGTATAGACTATGTGTATTACACTGTGTTAGTAATTAAGTGTTTCAGTAATTTTAGTATTTAGCATATTTAGCCTAGGGTGACCATAGGGGATTGGGGAGGGATACCCTCCAGCTAAAGAGGGGTCGGGGGCGCTGCCGGAAACTGTTTACTGAAATATGCTCACTTTAACTATTTTGAGACCTAGAAATCTTAATTTAAACTATGAGGCATATCATAAACGAAAACAATATTTTTGCAGTGAATACTTATTTATTTATACTTATTTTACAACATAATATACAACACAAAAAAATTAGTTTCTTGGCTATTGTTGAGAACAGTGCCCATGCGCGCCCATGGCGGCATTTGCATGTTTATTCAATATTTGTGCAAGAGTCACTCCCCTTTGTTTATTTGATTGTTGGAGAAAGTGCTGATGACATGTTTTGTATTACAATTTTAATTGGTTGATTATTTATAATTTTAAATTATCATTGGTTGGCTAATTATCATATTTTATTTTCGCCACCATCTTTTCAATGCCTAATGCCGGCTGTTGCGCTCTATTCATTTGTGGCCCATTTGTGCATATTATTAGCCTTATTTTCTTTGGAACGTGTAATAAAGTGTGTAAAAGTGTATTTCATGAAACTGTAAGTTGAGTTTTAATTATTTCTTTGTTTAGAATTTTTTTTTTTTTTTTTTTTTTGGGGGGGGGGGGGGTGGTTTTGTTCATTTTCATACTTAATGCCATTGCCACAGTATTTAAATTCCATGTGTTGTGGCTTTGGGCTAGGTTTAGGGATCAACCGTTTTCTGATTTTTTTTTCGAATTGGGAGGGGTCACCCCTCCACAGGAAATTTCTTTGTTTCGGATTTTGGTATTTAAGGTAGGGGGAGGGGAGAACAGTCGTTTCATAACACTTAGTTGACACTTCATGTGACTTTACGTGGAGCGTCAAATAAGATGGTGGCCATGATGGGAAACCCCGGGCATCGTCCTCAACATTTACTAGTTTCTCTAGTCTAGGCCTAGGATTTAAATTGAGGATATTTGGCTGTTTTCCCAGCCAACGTTTAGATACTTCGGTAAGTCAAGGGAGACTACTACTTTTTGTGTATGGGAATTCGCAATTGGCGCCGAAAAATCAGAGTTTTTAATTTTCCGATGTGTGTGTCTATTTATTATTAAATTAGTACTTTCGATATATATTTGAATTCGTTTTCAGCCTTATAATTAGGTAGACATCTTGGCCTGCATTTTAATCAATTTCTTTTTCATTTGCCATCAGTCAGCTTTGAGAAATTCCTTGGTAAATATAAGGCAACTTTCATCATTAAAATTAAGTCGAAGGAAAAAATTTGTCACTACCAAATTTTTTTTGCATCTGGGGAATCTATTGATCTACATGTATGCCAATTTTCACAGCGATAAGTGTCTTACGAGAGACGCCATGTTTCTACGCGTTCGCAGCAGGTCATGCAGCTCGCTCAAAATAATTTCGCCATGGGGTGGGCCACGCCCCCTTTTTAATGGCGGAAGTTGCCGATACTTAGGAAATATTAATTTATTATCACTATTTACATCAAAATAATTGATAACTTGTGTTTCAGAATGCATTTTGAAGACATTTAAACTGGAATGTTTTAATTTGAGCTTTAACAAACCGGTAGAATCCATATTATGAATGATCAGAATTTACCGTGTGCAACACGTTGTCATTGGCAACCATTCACAGCCACTTGCATAATGGCTGTATCGTAGTACTACCTCAGAGTTTCATTCATAAGAGTTTGCCGTGTGCAAAAACTATTATACCATTGGTCAAGGAAAGCTTTAATTAATTATTCATGTGCCAAAGTTGAAAGTTTAAACTAAGTCGACCCTAAACAGTATTTTAGTGATAAGGTGATGGGTTGCCTTATATAAAGTATATTGTCATTGCGCATGACGCGATCAGCGGATTGAGGTCACAAGATGTGGAGGTTTCGTCCATAGTAAAAAATACCAAACGAACTCACACTTTAAAAATTCATAGCTCAAAAAGTACTTAAGCTAAAAAGTTGATTCTGGTTTCATTTTTTTATTTGAAATTTGCTCTAACTAATTGTGTTATTTAAAAAATTATTTCAATTTTTTAAAATTTTGTATTCAAGTGCCTACATTGTAGGTACTTCGGTAAGTCAAGGGAGACTACTACTTTTTGTGTATGGGATTTCGCAATCGGCGCCAAAAAATCCGAGTTTTTAATTTTCCGATGTGTGTGTCTATTTATTATTAAATTAGTACTTTCGATATGTATTTGAGTTCCGTTTTCGGCCTTATAATTAGGTAGACATCTTGGCCTACATTTTAATCAATTTCTTTTTCATTTACAATCAGTCAGCTTTGAGAAAATCCTTGGTAAATATAAGGCAACTTTCATCATTAAAATTAAGTCGAAGGAAAAAATTTGTCACTACCAAATTTTTTTTGCATCTGGGGAATCTATTGATCTACATGTATGCCAATTTTCACAGCGATAAGTGTCTTACGAGAGACGCTATGTTTCTGGGCGTTCGCAGCAGGTCATGCAGCTCGCTCAACCTAATTTCGTCATGGGGTGGGCCACGCCCCCTTTGTAATGGCGGAAGTTGCCGATACTTAGGAAATATTAATTTATTACCACTATTTACATCAAAATAATTGATAACTTGTGTTTCAGAATGCATTTTGAAGACATTTAAACTGGAATGTTTTAATTTGAGCTTTAACAACCCGGTAGAATCCATATTATAAATGATCAGAATTTACCGTGTGCAACACGTTGTCATTGGCAACCATTCACAGCCACTTGCATAACGGCTGTATCGTAGTACTACCTCAGAGTTTCATTCATAAGAGTTTGCCGTGTGCAAAAACTACTATACCATTGGTCAGGGAAAGCTTTAATTAATTATTCATGTGCCAAAGTTGAAAGTTTAAACTAAGTCGACCCTAAACAGTATTTTAGTGATAAGGCGATCCGTTGCCTTATATAAAGTATATAGTCATTGCGCATGACGCGATCAGCGGAATGAGGTCACAAGATGTGGAGGTTTCGTCCATAGTAAAAAATACCAAACGAACTCACACTTTAAAAATTCATAGCTCAAAAAGTACTTAAGCTAAAAAGTTGATTCTGGTTTCATTTTTTTATTTGAAATTAGCTCTAACTAACTGTGCTATTAAAAAAATTATTTGAATTTTTTTAAAATTTTGTATCCAAGTGCCTACTACATTGTGAAAACCTTATTAACTAATATGTGAAAATGTGTTTGGTTGTAGAAATGGGAAATTTTGGCGTCCCGAGAGACTTTTTACGGGACGTTTGTTCATCCTAGCCCTAATTTAGCCCACAAGTTACAAAAATAATAATAATGGGATTGTCTTTGGCCCTGGGCATCATTGGGATGAGGCAAAGTTTTTAATTAATAACTTAATATCCTAAGTTTATTCTTCAGTAATACGATACTTAAAAAAATTAAAACAGTAACATACCGAAAGCTAAGTTATTCAATTTCGGTAGAAATTACATTTTGATATGACTATCTCTACAAGTACACAAAAATTTCAATATAAAACGTATCCTTTCATTTTCATCCGGCACCGGAACAGGCAACTCTACTTGGCCAATATAAATGAATGAACTTTTCAAGAATTCAACTTAAATCACGACAAATTCCTAATCATGTACAACACCATACATACCCCTGAAGCGTAATTCTCCAGCTGGATCTAAAATAAGTGCCTGCTCTTTATTAGCCATTGTATTTTAATAATACAAACGAACTCGGTTTATTGCGAGGATCGCCAGATATCAGCATCAGTTCCGACCTCTTCGTGTAATTGCGCATGCGCAATGGCATTCAGTCTGAAAGCGAGACGTTTTTTCAACGGTTAAAAAGATGAATTGTTATTTTAGAAACTTCAAAAATTACTTATACAATATATAATATGTTTTATTAAGGCAAACTAATAATTTGAACTGATTTAGTTGATATTATATTTTAAGCCACAAAATTGTGAAGTATGCTTCAAATCGGCTGTAAAATAATATGAAATGTTCAAGCTCTGCGGCATCTTTGAAAATGATTGAAATTAAGGATTCATAATTTTGCTGCATTTGGTGGGCTTGACATGATATAAATATAAGCCAGAACAGATAACTTCCTAAATTATGATTACTAAGAAAGTTGTCGAAACGTGTTTAGATTGAATTATCAATCTTATTATTTTGATAATGAAAGTGAAAGCATAATTATAAATGTGGGTGGAGAGAAATATTTGGGATTTTACTTTTTTTAAGAATCATAATCATAATATATTTTGTTATGTGTAGATCAATTTTAAAATGTTAAATCAAATACTTATACAAATTTTAAGATTAATTTCAACTTAGTTAACTTAATCTTAAGTAGTACCGATGATGACGAACTGATTTTAAATTATGTGTTTTTAATTAACTGAACTATATGCCCTATTATTTTACTGTCGTTTGCGATTCAAGTTATAATTGTACCATCTTTACTGTTTAATTTTTAAGACAGTAGCATAAACAATAAACATGATTCATTTTGATTAATAAACCGTTGGAAACTCGTGTAAATTGTAACATTTAGATTGGTATTTTTTTTATTTTTGTTTGTGATATCTCAAGTACTGATTGATATAAAAATTAGTTTGTTAAATAATATATTGTCATTAATTTATTTATCAAAAATACAAAAACGATAAATTAATCTTTAAAAAAAAATTCGATAAAACTTTAGGTCTTGAACTTTAACTAAAATATTTTTTCTTATGCCACTCATCTGTTTTATATTAATTAAAAATTGTTTGTGCTGTATCTATAAGAGATGATGCTCTTTAAAAAGCAAAAGATGAATGGGAATAACTGTCATGGCGCATGGTGACAGTAAACAAAACTTGTCATATTGTCTATACTATCAGTAACCTATAGTCATGGGCCGTCTATAATCAAAGTAGACTATTTTTATTAGTGTGTCATTCTTTTAATTTTAAAAGAAAGTATTGTAAGAACTTTTGATTTTAAATCACTGATGCCATCAACCTTGAAATGATGGACAAAGATATAGATGAGTTACTAGATGAAGTCGAGACTAAATTTGTGAAACCGGGGTCGAAGGATAGAATGGAAAGTACCAAGAGCTCTAGATTAAATACCAGTGAAAAAAAGAGGTATTGAATTATGATATCACATCTCTTGGAAATAGCGTATTATTCATTTGCCACGAACAACTTACAATAAATAGATAAATAATACTTATAGCTTATACTTATACTTATAGTCTAAAATAATAATATTTACTATTACTAGACTTAGACTGCATTGTGTCTATATGAATATGACTATATTAAAGCTCGCGACTTGCCTACCCTACTTAGTTGAGAATCCTTTATTTTAAAAGAATAAATATTTTACTATACTATATTAAATTAAAATTAAGCAGGTATATTATTATAATTTATAGGCCCTAAATGAATATTATTAATAATTACATTATTGCAGTTTAAGTTTTGCCTGCCTACAAAAAACATAATGTAACTTAAAATATAGCATTCTAGCATGGTGTTGAAAGACTGTTTGTTTCACATGCATGTAATAGCATCCAGAGCACAGACATCTTTTAAAATTTTCTTTATGTTTGGGTGCTGATTCCTCTCCTTGTCCATACATTCTTAGACATTTTGCAGAATGTTGCGCTGCCTCTTGCAATATGCTATTCAAAGGTTCACCTCATCATCAATGTTTACGCTTTGGGCAGTGTGCTGAACCCTAGCCTGCATACTATCCTGGCATTGCTTCACCTTTAAAATACAACTTTTGGGGCATCCATATCTGTACATGATCTTCCAGAGACCTTCTCTGCTGAAAGTGTCGAAAGCCTTGGTCAGTTCTACATAGGTGAAGAAGAGGTCAACATTCTGTTCATGACCCTTTTCCCACAGCTGGCTGGCTGCAAACACCTTATCAATAGTTCTACGCTCTTTGCGAAAACTGCATTGATTTTCTGGCAAAATGATGCCAGTTAGGCCGGTTTAGAAGGATTCTAGCGAGTATCTTGCCTGCAATGGAGAGCAAAGATATGCCACTGGAGTTGTTACAGGATTGATGGTTCCCTTTACGCTTGTACAAGTGAACTATTGATGTGTCCTTAAAATCCTGTGGTATCGTCTCTTGCTGCCACATAAGTAGGAACAGCTGGTGAAGCCTTTCAGTCTGTTATGTGCCACCTTCCTTGCATATTTAAGATGGCATGGAGTCATCACCTGGAGTTTTGCCACTCAAGAGCAACATATAGCTTGTTGCATCTCGGTTAAGGTGGGGGGGTGGGGGTCGCTTCCATTTCTTGCTTGATTCGCTCTAGCAGTAGTCAATTTATGATGGATGAAGAGCGATTAAGGATTCTCTCAAAGTGTTCAGCCCAGCATTTGATTTTTTTTTGCTCAATTATCAGAGTTTTCTCAACAACACTCTGAAGTGGGGATGATCCTTATAAAGTGGGGCCGTGAAGTGGGGATGATCCTAATAAAGTGGGGCCGTGATGTGGGGATGATCCTAATAAAGTTTGGCCGTGAAGTGGGGATGATCCTAATAAAGTGGGGCTGTGAAGTGGGGATGATCCTAATAAAGTGGGGCCGTGAAGTGGGGACGATCCTAATAAAGTGGGGCCGTGAAGTGGGGGATGAGCCTAATAAAGTGGGGATGATTCTAATAAAGTGGGGATGATCCTAATAAAGTGGGGCCATAGACTTTTAGAGGGTGAAGTGGGGATGATCCTAGTAAAGTGGGGCCGTAGACTTTTTTAGGGTGAAGTGGGAATGATCCTAATAAAGTGGGGCGGTAGATTTTTTTGAGGGTGGAGTAGAAATTTCTCAGATCTTTTTGTCCTTTTAGCCTTGGATCGGGTCAGCCGTGTCACTCAACCATTTATCCTGTATTTTACATAGCTTTTGCTGCACCATTCTTATGATGTTGAATGTATCCTTCCATGGAAGTGAACGCAAGTTGTGAAGAAAGGTGTTCCTTCAGCAGCTTACCATACTAGTCTTGATTGTTTTTGGAGCTTGGTCCTAGTAATGCTGAATTGAATTCTATGTTGCAAATTTTCAGCGATGTGGTTTCCAGACATTCTTCCAGAGCATCTAAAAAGTTTTTGTTTTTTTATAGTCTGGCTGTTCAACTTTGGGGTTTCAGGCATTTGGGGGATATTCTTCCACCGTGGCTGTCTTTTGGGTTGTAAGTGAAAGTTGAGCTTGCTTATGATGAGACAATGAGTGCAACATCCTGCACCACACACAGACTTGGTTACACACATTCTGACTGTTCTTTCTCCTGATGATAACATATTCAATGCCCATGTTTTGAGTGTGGGGGTGGGGGGTGCATCCAGGATGTCCAATTATATCCGAGGCGATTTGATCACAGCCCATTCAAGCATTGAAGTCACCAAGAATTATGAGCTTGACCTGCTTCAGAAGATTAGCTATGACAGAGTGGAGATCCTCATGGAACTTGATCATTACTTCATCTATGTTGATTCTTGATTGATCATAGCAGTTGATGATATAGAGGTGTTTTTTTTTCAGATAAGAGAGGATGTTTCATTATCATTATTGTATTATTATCTGCCCTGGAATTCCAGCCAGCATTCTTATCAGTGCAGATTTGATAGCATAAGCAACACCAGTCTCATGATGTCTTTGTTTCCTCTGCCACTATAAAAGGTGTATCCAGCGTCCCTTTTGCAGTTTGCTGTCTCCTTTAAGCTGAGTCTTACTAAGGGCTACAATATCTACATTGTACCTGGCTAGTTCATTTCCTATAAGGGCTGTTCTCCTTAGCTGTCTGTCCGAGTCATTTTTGTCCTGAAGAGGGTGCACATTCCAAGTACTGATTTTCAGAGGGATAGTTTTGATCTTATGTTTTGACCGTCTTGAGTTCAACTGCATGAATATGGTCCCTTCAACTGCAGTAGGCTGGATAAGGAAGGATAGAGGAGACATGATTTTTTTACCCCCTACGCCCTGCCATAGAGGTGAGCGGTGTATTCCTAAAGAGAGCTTCTCAGTCACTCAGGGGGCTTCTCATTCAATAAGGTGCCTAGGATACAACTGCTGCTCATTTACAGTGATGAACGACCCTATGAGCCTGAGCCACCCTTGTGCAGATTTGCGACAAAGGCTGTCAGTGTACTCACACCTGCCGCTTTGATGCTCACCCATCGCCACAGGACTTTGTAAACGATGAAAAAAAAACTAGGCTGTATTGATGATTAAAATCACTTGTGCTGTGACTTTTATTTAAGTTAGGAAGAGTCGTGCAAATTGTCAACCTCACTCTCTCTGTCCCAATGCCACTGGTGTCCAGTAACAAGACAAATTTGAGATGGCTCAGGATGGGATTTTTTCCAGTGAATGACCATGGCATTCTACATGTCTTGCCATGCTGAGTAATTTATCTTGCGTTGCTGTCTCCGCATTTCTGCCTGTTCACCAACTAGAGGTTCCTCCACTGGATTCATGCTATGGGGAAGTAAGCCTTGTTTACTAAAGAAATGAGTTCCTTTCGGCTACCCTTAACCTGGTTTTGCCAGCTAGTCGAAGCCATTTGTTGCAGTGTGGCCAGTGTGCCTGCTACAGCGTCTTGGAGCCACAGCTAAGCATCACATGGGGATATTGATTAGCTGCCTAAGAGAGGTACAACTGCTGCCACTGCACAATCAGAGGTACGACCCTCCATAAGTACCTCATGCACCACTCAATACTGGTACTTATGATGTGACTGCAGTGAATTATTTGTTAAATAAGTGTGTTTCAAATTAAACTTGGCATCTCCCCATACTTTCTATTTTGTGTCTCTGAAACAGAATGGTATTAGATGATTGAGAGTGGTTAGTTTAACAAACAGAATCATGAAACTGAATGTTGTATTAAGGGACTTCATGTGCCAAAAGTATCACTTATAATTTGTCTAATATACACAAACCATCATCTCTCCATTGATTTGTTTTACATAATTATATTTTAACTCTGAAGAAGGAAAAAAAAAAGCAACTCTTGCTGTTTATAATCACATCATAAATTAATATCAGAACATTTGATAATGATATAAATGTGCTAGAACATGCTCTTTCACTTTATAGAAATGCGCAGAAACATTTTCTCACACTTTAAAGACATGATATTGTTCTTTTACTTCATAGAAATGTGCTAGAACATATTCTTTCACATTTCAGTTATCAAGTGTAAATTTTAGTTATGTTCTTATATTTGTACAATTTTGATCATTTTTTTAACATGACTAATTCACTTGAATTTTTATTTTATAGTTCTGCTCTCGATGCTGTCATCAATGACATTCTTGATATAGAGGTAGAGAAGAAAGATTTGAACAGTGTATGTCAATTTATAAGTGTGTGTCTTTTAAAATCAGGTTTAATTATTTTTTAAAATGTTTATTCTCATTTATTTTACAAAGAGTGGGGGCATTTAGAGGGCACGGTTCCCTACCCTGTATAGGTCTAGTCTTCAATGTTGAAAGTAATGCATTACCAAAAATAAAAAAAGATGATCTTTTGTGGGTAATGCACCCAAGGAATTCAAATACTTGATTTACCTCTATGATTTATCTGTTTAACTTTTATCAAAATGGAAGTTTCATGTTCAAATCAAAGCATACCTTGTGTGTTGTTAATTAAAGAAAGGATCTCTGTTTAATTAGTCCTACTTCAAATTCCAGAGTTATGACAGGAACCAACTGAGGTCATCCCTTTCAGATGAAGCCAACAAATGTGAACACGGAAGAAGGTATTATAAGTAGATTCGGGCTTACGCATTTTACATAAGATGTAGTTGATGTTACTGATGAACAAATTCACTGTCTGAAAAGTCCTGTGGGATGGGTTTAATGTGTTTGACTACAAGAACTGACTTAAATTCATTATGCAATCTGTTATCTGTTTGAGTATAGCCACTGTTTCAAGCATTTATCATTGTAATGACATAAGATATATTCAATGTCAAATAGTTCTAGATAAAAATTATATTAATTAATATTGCCTTAGAATCGTAATCTATACATTTGGAATTCTTCTTAGTTGCAAGGTTCCAGCCTTTTTCTTTAACACAGACCAATATAGACCATAATGATTATCTGCAACTAACACTACTTTCACTTGTTTATAACAATTTAAAACTTGGGTATACATTACTGATATTGAATATTATGAGATGATGACCAAGGCAATATTCGATTTAGTAGTAGCCTTGACTTGAGCTCAGTTGCTCAGTCTCACTCTCTCATCCTTGCCTACTTGATCTAGTGGCAAGACTTAGTCAAGACGACTGGACATTTACCAGGACGCGGAAGATGACCAGCAGTGCTACTGTGCTCTTTATGCATTCCACTTCACAGGAGCTGTCTGAGTTTTCATTGTGTCAGTGTCACATCGCCTACAGTTTTCAGAGTTTGCCTTCTGAGGTTAACGAGTCCCATCCGCCCGGGGTGCTGGTGTTGTTTTTTGCTTGTCATGGTTATTGCCGAGGATAGAACTCCGGTTGACTCAGTTTAGACCGCTCGGCCACCCAGCACCACAAATAATAATGTGTTCTTTCATTTTGCCATAGGTGCTTTCCAGTTTTTCTTGGTGGTAGCTCAGATGAAACTGGCTTGGGTTCAAGTATAAATAGAAGGTATAAATTAGCAACATATTTTTTAAAATAATTATTTTACATGGATTGTACTGTAATCTTCTACATTGAAAATATCTACTTCTTTAATTAAACTTAAGTGTCATGAGTCCACAGATTTCTTTGTTATTTAAGTTAAAGTTTTGTATTTGTCAATTAATTGTGTTTTCTTAGTCACAAAAAGGTGAATCCGAAGATCTTGATAAAAAATTGTAACTGAATCCTGGGGAATATAATATCTTCCATTGTGGTTACAAACAGATACAAGAATAATTTTTCAAAATCAATGTTTATATGAGTCTGCAGCCATGGAATAAATTATACAGTCGAACCTGCTTGTCTCAACTTCGGTTAACTCGCCAACCCTGCTATGTCGACGTGTACAAAACGTTGTTATGAGCAGCCATTCACCGTCACTTGAATAATGGCTTTGCCGTGGTACTACGTCAGAGTTTCATTCATAAGAGTTTACCGTGTGCAAAAGCTATTAAACCATTGGTCAGGGAAAGCTTTTATTAAATAGTCATGTGCCAAAGTTGAAAGTTCAAAATAAGTAGTCCCCAAACAGTATTTTAGTAATAAGGGGATGCGTTGCCTTATATTATATAAACTATATAGTCATTGCACAAGACACGATCAGCAAAATGAGGTCTCAAAATGTGAAGGCTTCGTCAATAGTAGAAAATACCAAACGAACTTGCATTTTAAAAATTTGTAGCTCAAAAAAGTGCGTGAGTTACAAAGTTGATTCTGGTTTCATTTTTTTTAAAATTTGAAATTTGCTCTAAATAACTGTAATATTTAAAAAAATTATTAATTTTTTTTTTTTTACTGAAGTACCTGCATTTATTTACGCACATCATGTACATAAAGAAATTTGAAGCACATGTTTATATATTGCCGCCATATTGGTTTTCGGTTATCTCGATCATCGGTTATCTCGACGCTCTTTGGCGAACCCTGAGGCCATCGACTTAACCGGGTTATACTGCATTACTAATCAGATCAAGAGATATGATATACCAGACTTTATAAACCTCTCTCTCTTCACCTTGCATCAACAGATCATGCGATCGGTTACGGTGCACATCATGTGATTTTAGAGTCTGCTTCTTTGATAATCTTTCATGGAGTAAGGACACTGATTATCTTTTTCTCCGAAACAATGTACCAGAACTACAAAAGCTTAAGTCAAAGCTCAGTAGGAAAAAAGGTCGGTTCTCAGATACATACATTTTGAATTTGATTCCAAAATATTTAAACTCTTTTCTTAGCCATTAGCCCTGCAAATAAAGCAGAGTACCTCCACCATTTTATCACTGCAGTGAGTACCTCCACCATTTTACCACTGCAGTGAGTACCTCCACCATTTTACCACTGCAGTGAGTACCTCCACCATTTTATCACTGCAGTGAGTACCTCCACCATTTTACCACTGCAGTGAGTACCTCCACCATTTTATCACTGCAGCGAATACCTCCACCATTTTATCACTGCAGTGAGTACCTCCACCATTTTATCACTGCAGTGAGTACCTCCACCATTTTATCACTGCAGTGAGTACCTCCACCATTTTACCATTGCAGCGAATACCTCCACCATTTTATCACTGCAGTGAGTACCTCCACCATTTTATCACTGCAGCGAATACCTCCACCATTTTATCACTGCAGTGAGTACCTCCACCATTTTACCACTGCAGTGAGTACCTCCACCATTTTATCACTGCAGTGAGTGCCTCCACCATTTTATTAATGCAGTTCAAACTACTTCCCAACACATCTCTTTTTAATTTCTATTCTTGTCAAGTAGTTTGTTGTCCTGTTCATTACAACTCCTAGAGCAGCGGTTCTCTCCTACCTGTGGGTCGTGACCCATTTGGGGGTCGAACAACCCTTACATTTGGGTCGCCTAAAACCATAAGAAAAGACATATTTATGAAGTAGCAACGAATAAATTTATGGTCGGGGGGTAGGGGGGGGGGTAACACCACAACATGAGGAACTATATTAAAGGGTCGCGGCATTAAGAAGTCGCCTAAAACCATAAGAAAAGACATATTTATGAAGTAGCAACGAATAAATTTATGGTCGGGGGGTGGGGGGGGGGGGGTAACACCACAACATGAGGAACTATATTAAAGGGTCGCGGCATTAAGAAGGTTGAGAACCCCTTTCCTAGAGGATGTGTTCTACCTATTAGAATTTGGTTTGAGGTTGAGCTATTTTCACAACTGTTATCCACCAAACTACTTGAGATTTCTTTACAAGAATTTTCTTTTTTAATTTCATGGTTGGCATGTCAGCATATTCAACATCCTTTTTCTTACATAGTAATTCAGCTTTTATGAAACCATATTTAGATTAACTCTCATTTTAGATAAAGTATAAGCCATTTTAGATTATGTACGGTATAACAACAAAGTAACAAAGGGAAGAAACAGAAACGGTCGAAGGTAATTTCATTAAATGCACAAAGGAAGAGGCTAGTTTAGTTGGTGAAAAAGGGTTTTATGATATGTAAGACTTTTTACTTTCATAAATGACAAAATCATGTTTCAAAGCTCATTTTTGAAGCCTAACAGAAATTGTGATGAAATTTCAGCTATCATTACTGCTTACCTCAAGGGATAATAAATGTATCTTAAATGTTTAAATAATAGAAAAAATGCTTAGAGATGTGATATAAAAATTTGGCCTTGAATATTCATACACTGTAACTGTAAGAGGCCGCAGGATTTTACATCGACATTGCTGCACGTTGCAAGGTAAATCATATCTGGTTTAATATTTCAGGATGCAGAGCTTACTGTTGTCAATGCAGCTGGCGGAATGTTCAAGAACCATGTGAACTCAATGACCCTAACCTTAAATGGGTTTGTGGAAAACATGTGTCATGAAACCCTTTAAAACCCCAATATTTTTCACAGTCTTTAATTTTTAATAGGCTCAAACTAGCCAGTTGGAATTCAAAATGGTTTTTTTTTTTTTAAATGATAATGGGACTGTGCAAATTCTTAGAAGTAGGACATAACAATAAATATATATTAAAAAATTTTGCTTTTATATATCTTGCCATGAGGTAGGACATAACAATAAATATGTATTAAAAATTTTGCTTTTATATTTGATATATGTGTAGCCAGTGTTAGAATTGATTTAATTGTGACACTCACTTGAATTGGAATATGTCAAATATAAAGCTTAGTTTAAAATAATTCCATCTACATAACATGAAAGAGCTGACATACATTTCTGGAAATTAATACATGATTTAATATAATTTGTAATGACTTTCAACCAGTAATTACTTAAGTTATAATAAAATATATTTATCAGCTTTGTAAGAATACTATATTTGACTGTCAAATAACTTTAAAAGTTTCATTGGTGAAGTTAAATAACTTAAATAATTTTTCATTTTCAAACTTTAATTTTTATATTTTTTTTATTAAAAACAAAAGTATTAAATAAATATAAATATCAGCAAATTCTCAAGTAGTGTATCTAAGCAAATTAAATGAATTATTGTATTGTTTTGGAAAATATATGTGTTATATTCTTATTTCATAATTTTTAACATCAGTAAATGTGAATAAAAAATGTGTTCTATTTCTTGACTCACCCAGACATTTTGTATTTTCTAGTTATACAAAAAGTCTGATTCAAATTTTTACATTTTGATCCTGTACTACCATCTATCTATTCATAATATCTAAATAAACTTTTTTAACATTAAAATGTATGCTCAGAATTCTATTTGAATTGCGACATCTGCTGCAATAAAATAGTTTTCTGAAATGCAGTTTTTGTAACATTCAACGAGTAAACAAAATAAAATGGCAATAGTTAAGCCTTGACTTAATTAATAAGCATCATTTTATGAATATTTTTATGTTTAAATTTTAGATCGATCCCTCTGTACCTAATGTTAAATACCCATTCAATAAAAATGTCTAACCACTGTGAACAACATCAAACAAAGCACATTCCAAAAAATTTCAGATCTCTCCATAGAAATAATAACAATTGTGTCATAAATAATTAATTATTTTTATTATTTGTCACAAGCCTCCTCACAAATTTCTTTTGCAAACCGCACCAACTTTCTCTCACTGATTGTTTCCCCTTCTTCTTCATAAATCTCTTTGGCTTTTTGCACCCAGTAGTCCTGGCTTCGACTGAAGTAATCTACAATGCCTTCCCCATCTCTTCGATCCGGTGCATCATCAAAGGTTATTTCCATACTTTCATCTTCATCTGTTGAACAGTTTAAAAATTTTGTTGAGACTGATTCCAAATGTTTTTTATTCTTTTAAAATATTCTTACTTGAATTTTTAAATCTGTTATATTCACTTCGCTTTCTTTCTGGCTGGGTTTGTGGCAAAATCTTTGGAAGGCTAAATGACCCACTTCCCATCAAACTATTGAGCTGAAACTTGGCACATAGACTTTTTGCCATTGGCAACACATTCTATTAAATTTTCAGCCCCACCTCAAAAAATGAAGAAGATGAAGCTAAATCCACTTTCCATTTCTTTTTTCTTGTATTTATTTTATAAATCATTTCATGTGTATATTTGCTTGAATTTTTTTATAACTTGCATTTTATTGTTGGTTCTTTTTTTTTTAAATTTAGTATTTTGTAAAATATGTCTTTCAGTTTCAGCCAACTATAACTTTGATTAAGTAAAGCTTTACAACACTAACTTACTTTGTATCTTTTAACAGTCCTCAGCTCTTATTACCCTAATTTCTTGTGTTACCCCCAACCCTTGTGCTACCATAATTTCTTGTGTCACCCTCAACTCTTGTTACCCCAACCCTTCTGCCACCCTAATTTCTTGTGTTATCCCCAACCCTTCTGCCACCCTGATTTCTTGTGTTATCCCCAACCCTTCTGCTACCCTAATTTCTTGTGTTATTCCTAACCCTTCTGCTACCCTAATTTCTTATGTTATCCCCAACCCTTCTGCCACCCTAATTTCTTGTGTTATTCCTAACCCTTCTGCTACCCTAATTTTTTTGTGTTACCCTCAACTCTTGTTCTTCCAAGCTTACCATCATCCTCATCACTGTCATCCATTTTAGTTTGACTTCCTGTAGCCCCTCCCCCTGATTTTGCTCCCTGGTCATCCTCAGAGTCATCTGAATCTTGCCACTCTTGTAATCTACGATCTTCTGCAATAATGACAGACCATTGGTCCAACTTATGGATTTCCAGAGCGTAGAAGTCGTTGAGTGTAACTTGTTTGTCCCCATCTTCATAAATACCTCCATACATAAAAAGTGTTCCATCTTTAACCTGAAAATACATTTGATACATACAAATATATGAGTTTGACAAAAAACATTTTAGTGAAGTTACAAATACGATTGGAAGTAAATTAAACTTGATAACTGTAAAAATATATTGACTATTTCCTATATTTCGAGTATGTTTAAAATACAGTTTTAATACATTTGGATAAGGATAACACCCCTTACCCTCTATCTCTCTCTCTCAAGACCAGGAAATTGAAGAGTGAAATATATTTTTGAAATGTTCCTTACTAAAGTTACTTGTATTAAGTTGTATAATGCATTGTTATTGCAAGGGAAGTAACTGGAAAAATTAGTTGTCATAAATTAGTTATTTTCTCCCAAAAATTATATATATTGTGACTACTGCGCATATATTTTGGAATGCAGGAAAACAAGGATCCACCAAATTAGTTGAATGACTATGACAGATGGATTAAAATTTCCGGCACAATTTCAGATTTCTAGGAAATGTAAAAAATGGTTTTAAATAAATAAAAAAATGACAACCCAGTGTAAACATCATTTTGACCTGTGGAGATAAAGGAAGCTACTTTGGAAGCTACTTTGGAAGCTACTTTGCCACATCAGATATATACAATGAAATAATTCTTCTTGAAATCAAAGTCCGCTTTTGATGGAACATGAAATGATATTTTTATGGCACATTTTGATGATAGTATTGATTTCCATACAATTTTTGTGTAAAAAAAGAAAAATGATTTTCAAATTGCTTACAGCTAAAGCAGTATTCATGCGTTTTGATGGCCAGAACTGGTCGACATCCATGCCCAGACCTGCAGTCACACCTGCAGTTTCCTCCCCGGGAGTGCCAGTCGGCTGTGCGTAAGAGACTTTAAATACCCCATCATTAGTTGAATTTGTGGAATCCTCTGCACTTTCCAGTTCTAGATTCTCCACCGCTTCCTGGGCCACCTCCATATCATCTTCCATTTCCTCCTCCTCCTCACCTTCTTCATCCCCCTCATTAGCACCTTGGTCCTCATCTTCTTTTTTCTTCCTTCGTCTCTTTTTCTTTTCACCTGCTACTTGCTTCTTGCCTCTGGGAATATTATCAGAGAACCAAATCACAGAATGATGTAAAACATCCACAAACTGGCTTAAAAACATATATACCCAAGCCACTGCACACAGACTTTTTCACATAGGTCCTCTTAGGGTAGAGGGGAAGTTGAACTTAAAGAAAGCATTGAAACCAAATATTTGCTATCTTCACTTTGTGCTCTTGAAGACAATCAAATAAGATATTTGTTGGCCCAAGGCCTTGAATTTGATTGTCACTGGTAACAGTTACATATTAATTATTTTCATGGATATAATGGAAGTTTTTCAGCTCAGATAATTTATTTACCCTATTTTTAAAATTTTTTTTGAAAAATCAAATAATTTTTTTTTACTTTCCTTTGAATATAAAACAGCGGTGGTGTCTACACTTAAAGAACAACATGATTTAAAATAAGTATATGCTGGTTTAATTTTGATTTTTTAAAAATTGTAATTTTCCTTGTTACAAAGGTAGGAACATTGAAATTAAGCCTTTCTATGCATTGTCTTGGATGCTCTTTAATATAAATATATAAAAAAATGTGAAATGTGTCGTTAGTGAAACCAACAAATTTACTCTATTTATTAGCTAAAATGCAAAAAGAACAAAATTATTTAAAAACTACATTATAATAAATGTGCAACAGACCACCAGTACCTTAGTTGTAGAGAAAACCACTTTCCTTTCTCCAAGTCCATTGACCAGAGCTCATTGAAAAAAACACTTTCAAGATCTTCATCATCATCTTCCTTAACAAATAAATAATGAAAAATATTATTTTAGAAACATGAAATTTGTTTTTTAATTGAACAAAGAGAATCCTCAAATGGGAGGTAGATCAATAACTCCACTGAAATTGGCAGCAGTAGCAGATAAAACTAATACCGGTACCTCTCATCTGACTTGATTTCCACAATACTTGAGATCAGTAACATTTGCTTGACTAAATTTTTAAATCGATATTTATAATTTATTTTACTATAGAGTCAGTGAAAATGGGTACCGTACTATAATTATGTTTCAAATGCTTTAAAAAAACATTATCTTAAACATAAATACAAGCCCCAGGTGAAGAGTTTTTAATTGTTATTTTAATGAAATGAACAGATTCTTATTTTAAATATGTAAATTTAAAACTAATGATAATGTAAATTGCACAAGAAATAATTTATTAAAATAAGCTGAAGCTATGGTGCTCCGTGACTATCACGTAAAGTTGAATGAACTTCCTGTGAACATGTCCTACAGTTTAAAATTAAAAGGTTAAAAAAGCTGCACTTACCTCATCAAATACGCCACCAAATAAAAATGCTTTGTTTCCAGTGGCAACAGCTGCTGACATTCCTGAACGAGCAGAGGGTCGAGCACCACTTTGTTTAACTGGCTGCCATTTCCATTTTTGGGTGGCATCAGTTGAGCCTTCTCTTTTTTCTAAATGTCCAAGCATTACATTTTAACTAATAATAATAATAAAGTTCATTTCAAAAACACGCTTCATCCCCAAAGGTTCGAACTACAACGAATAAGCCACACAAAAAAAGAGTTATTCAGATTTATTGGAGCCAGGGTTTATAGGGTCCTCTGTTCCCTTGCACTCTATGTTCAAAGATGATATTTAAAGACAAAGTACATTTCAAATGAGTGAAGTGAACATTTTTCTGCTCTATCGTTTGTTAAATGTTATGAAAGTATATGGAGAAAATGAATGGCCTAGCAACGCCATAGTCGGGCGACCACAACCAACTTGGCTTGGCATCAAATACCGGCTACCAAACAAAAAGAAAGAAAGATGTCAAACAGAAAATCATGTCATCAGTATTCAAGAATGACTTCCAAAAGTTGATTAGAGCAGCGGAACTGTTGACGAACTTCTTCAAGAATACAATTATAAAATGTGTCATACAAATTTTTTAAGTGCAAGTATAATTATTATTTGTAGATAAACAGCATAATCAATTCAAATGTTTTAACCTAAAAAAAAAAAAAAGTTTTTTTTACTTTACAAAGTTACTCCCATTAGGTACAGTAAAAGATGGCAATAGCTCTGTAACAAACCCTGCATAAGTGAAGCATTCATTGCAATATCTCTGTAACAAACCCTGCATAAGTGAAGCATTCATTGCAATATCTCTGTAACAAACCCTGCATAAGTGAAGCATTTATTGCAATATCTCTAACAAACCCTGCATAAGTGAAGCATTCATTGCAATATCTCTAACAAACCCTGCATAAGTGAAGCATTCATTCATTTCCCACTTTCTGAAACAGCCAATAACTATTTGAAAAATATGCTTTTATTCAACTGCCTATTTTCTACAGTAAGAATGAGAAGGTAAATTCAATGTTCAGGTAAGACGCAAGCTTACTTTCTAAGGCAAGGGCAAACATGTCTGTGTGAGTTGTGCCCTTGTCTACATCTTTCTTGACTCGCTCTTTGCTGTATCCACCATATATGATGATTTTACCCAAGTCCGGAACAGGCAACAGGACACAGCCTGATCTGTTGGTTTGTTGAGATATATGAATATCATCTAATTTTATGGTTGCTAAGCTCTTTCGTAGGTTAAAACAAGGTTAAAACAATTTAAGTACACAAATTTTCACTATCACCGTATACAACAGAGTGAAGGTTCATTTAAGACAAAGCAAAGATAAACATTTCTGATAACGACTAAACAATAACAGCCTATATCACTGGCTCTCTCTCCAAGTTAAATGGAGTTGGATTACTGAGGAGAAATAAATGCTCAGAAATTTATTTAGAGAATTTTAGGAATAGTTTTTTTTTTAAATCTTAATTGCACAATAAAATAAAAATAAATGTTACCAAATCATTTGGAGGTAAACAATGTTACCAAATCATTTGGAGGTAAACAATGTTACCGTCCCATTTGGAGGCAAACAATGTTACCAAATCATTTGGAGGTAAACAATGTTACCAAATCATTTGGAGGTAAACAATGTTACCAAATCATTTGGAGGTAAACAATGTTACCAAATCATTTGGAGGTAAACAATGTTACCGTCCCATTTGGAGGTAAACAATGTTACCAAATCATTTGGAGGTAAACAATGTTACCAAATCATTTGGAGGTAAACAATGTTACCAAATCATTTGGAGGTAAACAATGTTACCGTCCCATTTGGAGGTAAACAATGTTACCAAATCATTTGGAGGTAAACAATGTTACCAAATCATTTGGAGGTAAACAATGTTACCGTCTCATTTGGAGGTAAACAATGTTACCGTCTCATTTGGAGGTAAACAATGTTACCAAATCATTTGGAGGTAAACAATGTTACCAAATCATTTGGAGGTAAACAATGTTACCGTCTCATTTGGAGGTAAACAATGTTACCGTCCCATTTGGAGGTAAACAATGTTACCGAATCATTTGGAGGTAAACAATGTTACCAAATCATTTGGAGGTAAACAATGTTACCAACTCATTTGGAGGTAAACAATGTTATCAACTCACTTGGAGGTAAACAATGTTACCAACTCATTTGGAGGTAAACAATGTTACCATCTCATTTGGAGGTAAACAATGTTACCAAATCATTTGGAGGTAAACAATGTTACCATCTCATTTGGAGGTAAACAATGTTATCAACTCATTTGGAGGTAAACAATGTTACCAACTCATTTGGAGGTAAACAATGTTACCAACTCATTTGGAGGTAAACAATGTTATCAACTCATTTGGAGGTAAACAATGTTACCAACTCATTTGGAGGTAAACAATGTTACCATCTCATTTGGAGGAGAGGTAAACAATGTTACCAACTCATTTGGAGGTAAACAATGTTACCAACTCATTTGGAGGTAAACAATGTTATCAACTCATTTGGAGGTAAACAATGTTACCAACTCATTTGGAGGTAAACAATGTTGCCATCTCATTTGGAGGTAAACAATGTTACCGTCTCATTTGGAGGTAAACAATGTTACCAAATCATTTGGAGGTAAACAATGTTACCGTCTCATTTGGAGGTAAACAATGTTACCGTCTCATTTGGAGGTAAACAATGTTACCATCTCATTTGGAGGTAAACAATGTTATCAACTCATTTGGAGGTAAACAATGTTACCAACTCATTTGGAGGTAAACAATGTTACCAACTCATTTGGAGGTAAACAATGTTATCAACTCATTTGGAGGTAAACAATGTTACCAACTCATTTGGAGGTAAACAATGTTACCAAATCATTTGGAGGTAAACAATGTTACCAAATCATTTGGAGGTAAACAATGTTACCGTCTCATTTGGAGGTAAACAATGTTACCGTCCCATTTGGAGGTAAACAATGTTACCAAATCATTTGGAGGTAAACAATGTTACCAAATCATTTGGAGGTAAACAATGTTACCAACTCATTTGGAGGTAAACAATGTTACCATCTCATTTGGAGGTAAACAATGTTACCAAATCATTTGGAGGTAAACAATGTTACCATCTCATTTGGAGGTAAACAATGTTACCGTCTCATTTGGAGGTAAACAATGTTACCAACTCATTTGGAGGTAAACAATGTTACCATCTCATTTGGAGGTAAACAATGTTACCGTCTCATTTGGAGGTAAACAATGTTACCAACTCATTTGGAGGTAAACAATGTTACCAACTCATTTGGAGGTAAACAATGTTACCAACTCATTTGGAGGTAAACAATGTTATCAACTCATTTGGAGGTAAACAATGTTACCGTCTCATTTGGATGTCTGCAGAGGGGGAACATAGGTGTTTAATTTGATTTTATGTGGTTAAGGTGGGAATGAAGTTGTATGAGCCCAGGTAAAAGATTATGACTTGTTTTTTTATTTGAAGGCAATTTATTGTGTCTTTGGGGTCGGAATGGACATGGGTGTGAAAACACATCTTCCTGTTGAGATCATACCCATAGCCCATCCAATGAACCACTATTATTTTTTGTTAGCTCTGATAAGCTGATTCGAAGTTTTAGTGATGATGTAGGCATATGTAGCTGTTCATCGGATGCTCCCAGTTATGCTGGTTTGTCTACTCTTTCATGTCATGGTATATTGTGGTGTCCTGGTGTATTGTGGTGTTGTGGTATATTGTGGTGTTCTGGTATTTTGTGGTGTCCTGGTTACATTGTGGTGACCTGGCATCCATTGTAAGGTCAGCTTGACTGCAAAAGTTTTGAGGAAAGTACTTATTTTGAGAAATAGTGATTGTACTGTTGTTGTGAGATGTTGATACTCAGATGCAGTTAGAGAAAACAACTACATTTCTCTGATTGCTTGGATAAACTATGAAGATTGCAGATAGGTGGTGTAAAGTTGCTTCAATAGCAGTCACTTCTGCCCAACAGTAAGAAGTTCACACAACAGCAAGTAGTCCACACATCAGTAAGTAGTTCACACAACAGTAAGTAGTTCACACAACAGTAAGTAGGTCACAAAAAAGTAAGTAGGTCACAGTAAGTGGGAGATGAGCTGGGACATGGAATTTCACCCTGCCAAGTGCCAGACACTGTCAGTCTCTAGAAGTTGTACTCCTCTACACATACGAACTGCGTGGCCATATACTTGAGCCAGTTTCCTTCGTTAAGTACCTGGGTGTTGCCATTTAAATAGAGGTCCACTGGGACGAGCATATGAACAATGTGTGCAACCAGGCAAACAAGACCCTGGGGTTCTTAACGCATAATCTAAAGATCAGCAACTCCAGTGTGAAAGAAAGAGCCTATAAAGCCTTAGTCCGTCCGCTTTTAGATTATGCATCTTCAGTTTGACCCATTTACCCAGAAGAGCATCGATAGGTTGGAAGTGATCCAGCGACGGGCAGCACACTTTGTCCTGAACAGGTACAAGAATACCCTTAGTGTTGGCAGGATGCTGGAAAAACTAGGCTGGTCACCATTGGAGGAACGACGACGACTATCCAGGCTCTCCATGATGTACAAGATAAATAATCCACTGCTCCAGCATTATACAGAAACTCGTCCCTCTCCCCCATAGACAGCGATGAGGCCATGACAGGCAGTTCTGGCTCATATCAGCGAGAAGCCAGTATAGGAACTGCTCATTCCTGCCAAAGACAATCAGGGACTGGAACAAGCTTTCAAAGGGAACAGTTAAGGCGACAACACTTGACACATTTGCATCTATTGCTTAAGGCCTTCCACTCCCCAGTGCATGATACCCTCACAAAGTGGCCCTTGCAACCCCCAGTGCATGATACCCTCACAAATGAGCCCTTGCAACCAGGGAAATATCCTTATCAAAACCAGGTACAGAAACATTGCAAATCTCCTCTACATGCATATTAGGAGCCAAAATGGTCAATAAATTAATATATAGAAGAAGAAGAAGTAAGTAGGTCACACAACAGTAAGTAGGTCATGTTTCAATTTGGTTAAAACTAATTATAGATAAAGAGGAAACTTTCACTATTGTTGGCGTGACAAAGGGAGCTTAATAAGACCAACCTGGGAGATGGACCTGTGCCCGTTGGATTTAATGTTGTCCATGTGTATGTCTCTAGGTCAAAACAGTATACATCGTTGTAATATTTGTAGTCTCTATAATGAAACAAAAGCACACAACTAAAAAATTAAGCAGAAATATATTAATAGTATTTGTTATAGACTAATAATACAGATAATTAAATTGTCTTTCATTAAATTTACTTTAAATTTACTTTAAAAAGAATAAGTTGCACAATACAAAACAAAAATGTTCATTAAAAAGTTTAAGACGTTGAAAAAGCCATAACATTGATAATTAGTTAACTAATGGCTGACCTTATGTTGTCATGGAAACCACCAAAAACAATAATTTGTTTCTTTAAAGCCACCATTCTATGTCCACTCCGAGCAGAAGGTCCACCTGGCACTCTGAAAAAAAAATATGTAATTTTTATTCTTGAACTGTATCACCAATTGTAATGAACAGAGTATAAAATGCAGGGCCTGATGCTGAGACTAATAAGTTAGACTTTAATCTTAATACTAATAAGTTAGCCTTTAATCTGAATAATAATAAGTTAGACTTTAATCTGAATACAAAAAAAATTAGACTTTAATCTGAATAAAATAATCACACCATCAGTCTGCAATTGTTTAAATAAGAAATGTGTCTTAATAAATAATTCACTTCAAATCCAAGTGATAATGATGAGTTCAAGAAATACTAAACACTACATACAGTTTTATTTAGACATCAATAATTTACACCAGTGGTTTCCTACCTGTTGTATCTATGAGAAACTAATTCATACATATCTGCCACACACCTATAAATATCAGGTCTTTTCATAAAAATATCTGTGCTTTGGTGTAATCACTAATAATGTTTTTCTTTTCAATTAGATGGATTTATAATTTTAATTTTACTTTGTAGGTAAGTGACTACAAAAAAAAAAAAAAAACCTTCCGATATTAATTTGTATGATTTTATTATTAAAATCTAGGGAAACTCCAGTGTGTTGTAGCATGCCAGTTGAAAACCAATGTATTACACAATTAGAACACATCAGGGGACATGATGGGTTATTTACATTAAATGATCTATGTATTCTCTTTATAAACCTAAAAATTCAGAGCACACTGAATCTATAAGTTTTCAGAATTTGCTTGATATCTGGTAGTAAGACTGATTATGACCTAATATAGGAGTTACATTTGAATAAGAGGTTTGACATGTACAAAGTGGTAACAGAATTCGCTTGATATCTGGTAGTAAGACTGATGATGACCTGATATAGGAGTTACATTTGAATAAGAGGTTTGACATGTACAAAGTGGTAACAGAATTCCACCAACTTACTTTATCTGCTCCCACTTTTTATCCCTGAGATTTAAACTCCAAAAGTCCTTGTAGTGATAGAACTGATTCTGTGTGTGGCTGGAGAACTCTCCCCCAAAGACCCACATCTGACCTCCCTGGTGTGATACGGTGACAGCCTTAATGTAATAAACTTGTTATAGATGTGATACAGTGACAGCCTGGATATAATCAACATGTTATTGATATGATACGGTGACAGCCTGGATATAATAAACATGTTATTGGTGTGATAAAGTGAGAGCCTGGATATAATAAACTTGTCATTGGTGTGATACAGCTAGAGACTGGATATAATAAACTTGTCATTGGTGTGATACAGTGACGGTGTTATAGTATACATCTTGACTTAATTTTGTTTACTTCAACCTAGATCTAAAGTGTTTCACCATCCCCATCCCCTTTTTTGTTTTGATATGGACACTACCCATTAAATGTGTCGCGCCAATACTTTTTACCCACCCTTCCATGATTGGGAAAAAATTTGTTTACGTTCGAATACACTTTATTTGTTGTAAAGAATGCAAACAGGTGATGAAATTTCTAGAGTTTCTTCTCTAGAGGGTTCTAATTTACTCCTATATATAAGCTGGCAGCTTTCCTAGCGGGAGAGATTTTTCGATTTTCCTAGACATTTCCGAGGCATCATATATTTTCCAGAATTGTACTTTTTCTCTTGTGGTGCTGAAAGCTAATACAGTTTATATTTCTGTCGATTTATATATTGTATTTTTATATAATTTAATAGTACAATTAAATTGAATATTGTTAGTATGACTAGGTTTTGGTATAGTTTTTCTCTGCGTACCGTTTCTTTGGTTCTTTGTTACGTATTGTTCATTTAAATAGTCAAATCTTAAAACAGATTAAATTTTCAAAACTATATAACAGTACGTACGGACAATTTGGGTAAAATAAACCTGCTATTAACATGATACAGTGACAGCATGAATGTTAAAAACAAGTTATACAAATGTTTAAAAAATGTATTCATACGTGTCTGAGCTCCTCACATATAAGACGTACATAAAGGTTGAAACATAGAACACATACATAAAATTTGAGACATGAGGTGAGGTATTTCAATTTGAAAAAAAATAACTGGGTGACTGACCTGGTGTGCACTGCGTGGAGGTGGTGCGTTGGGTATAGATATCCTGATCCACTCATTCCTCTTGATTTGATAAGCAAACAGATCATTGTACACAAACATCTGTGGGAAAACATATTGTTATTTATGTTCACTTAACATAACAAACAAAGTTAAAATGTCATATTATTTTACACAGTTCAAAATCATACTGAAGGCTCTAGATTTGTGTAGTGTTTCATGTAAAGGTGGAGAGGGGATCTGACCACAATGACCCTTAATAAAACATACAGTGTTTCAGATGAAGATAATTGCTGGAGAGGGGATTAATCCTCATAACTTTTATATATCTAATATACATTTACAAAAATCTTTATGATTGTATACATCAGTTATATAAAACTAGTAAACTCTACCATGTGCAATTTTTAAAAAATTGTATCTTTATATGAATCTAAGAGAATAACTTATATGCACAGATCCACACATTATATTAGGATGGAAGAAACAGTAAATGACCAGTCTAAAAGATATTTTAGAAGATATATAGAAAGTTTTAGAGCTTATTGTGGTAGAGCAAATAACGTTTCTAGGACTCAAAAGAAGGATTTGACCCCTTTATTATTCTACCTGATTGTGTCAAAGCCAAAATTAGTTGCTAAACCATTATATGATGCAGACTTAGAACTAATTCAGAACATTATATGATGTAACCTTAGAGCTTATTCAGAGACATTTATATTATTGTGTGTATAAATTAATATATCTATTTTGAGGATTGTACCCTTTTTTCTACTGGCTGTAAGTTGATAATTTTTTTTGCTTCTGTACTCAAATTTATATTTATATAGAAATTTATTTTCAAAATGAGGTTAAAGTTTATTATCACTAGATTTTTCATAGTTTTCTTTAAAAACTGTTAGATCAGTCTTTTGTTATGAGCCAACTATTAATCTTTAATCTTTATAACCATAACAGTACGTAACAGATGCACTTGTAGAAGTCATTCAGATTATTATATGATGCACAGTTAGAACTCATTCAGTATTCATGAAGTAATCATAAGCTCTTCTGTTAGTCTGTTAGTTTTAAAATGAAACATGTGAAATTAAGTTCTATACACAGCTGCATTGTTTATGTCATGAGTTACCACCATCTTTTTTTTCTGTAACACTTCGAGAATGTAACCAATTTTCTGAATAGATCAAGTCAGGATCCACTATATTTTAATGGATAAAAAGACTCCTTAAAACAAAGTCCATGGTGAATATCAGCTTTGCGGCTTTCTAAAAACAAGAGATAAACTTAGAGATATTAGCAGTTGAATGTGTTTACCCTCACTAAACACACCGACTTCATGATGTTAATAAAAAGTGGGAAAAGAGACCTACTTTGTTCCCTGTAAAGTACTCTCCTCCAAACAAAAGCAGTTCATCTTTATCTGGGTGTGGTACCAACGAGCCATTGCACCTGATAGGGGAAAGCATCAAAATGTAATAAATAATGTTTTATTATTTACACTTTTTAGTCAAAAATTGTACACCAGCATGCACAAATTGCACACAAAAATTTGATTTGAGATTAACTGAAAATACTGATGAGTCATTCCACTTAACACAAGCAGAAAGAATGAATATAAGATAAGATTTTTTAATTTTTTATTGATCCAAACAAATGGAAATGTTTTTTCATTGCATTGTACATATACATTTTCAGCACATAAATAAATACACATTTAATAAAGTCCACATTTTCCAACTAAAACAATTTAAACACAAGACAACTACATGAAATTATTTCACTAGTTTAAAAAACAGCCATTCAGTGAACTCCATTAGACATAACAGGGATTTAATTAGTTCTCATTTAGATTTTGTGACATCTGGGGGAGCACGCTGGTAAATTCATACAGATTGGGGAACAAAAGAATTTTTATATCTTTCATTCCTCGCCCTGAGAGAAAGAATTTGTTCTGAATGGGCCGATCCAAGTATCTGTGATGAAGAGGGTGGGATGCATCATCCAAAATGTGAGGAGTGAAACATATTTTAAAATATTTCCCTTAAAATATTAATTAAGTCTTGCTAACCGTGGTGAAGGAGGGTCAGACCGTTCCTCGATTACTTGTTCTTTTCTTCTGTCTTGTTCTTGAAACTCAGCAATAAGTTTTTCTATGTCTTCCTAAAGTAAAGTCGTGTTGTAACAAATTAATTTCTTTTAGTTGAATAATAAAGCATTTCATTATTTATTCCTATCACTTCTTTGAGCACATTACTATTCTAACAATCTTAAAGTAAAAAATATGTACATATGTATTGAAAGTAGCACTGCAAAAATTTTGTTTAAGATGCCAATAATCCCTGTTTTCAGAATCTTTTATCACACTGCAGAGTTTTTAAACATAGTGAAATTGCCCAAAACTTAATTTTCACCACCAGATAAGTGAATATTGTTATGGAATTGGATGTGTCTTTCCTGTCCATGAAATTTCATATTTATCATATCAAGCTTCCTCAATTAAGTAAAAAAGAATTCATTTGCTGCCCTCTTGGATACTACTTCTCAGCTAAGTGCTATTTTTAAATTTCATTCTGGTTTTTTCTGTTTTTTCGCTGACGAAGGCTTCCTGCCAACATGTTCGTTGTTTTGTTGCGTTCCTTTTTTCAGGTTTAACTTTACTTTGTTTTACTAATTTCCTATTGTGCTAACATGATTGCAGTCGCTCCCTTTATTACCCTTCCCATTCAAAGACATCATTGAAATTTCCTTTCAATGACATATACACATTGGTAAGGTGAAGGAGCTTGTCATAAAATTCTACATCTTTACAGAGTTCTTTTAAAAATCATACTGAAGGCTCTAGATTTGATGTAATTAACTATTGAGATAAGCCTAGCATGAGGAAGCGAGATGACAAGATCAAAAATGCATCATGCATTTTAGTGTCGTAAATTAAAAGTGCATAGGCCTAAACAGTGAGAGCTTTTTAACGTGTTCAATAATTAATTAGTTATCTCTATATCATCTATAAAACACATTGTCAGTCATTAACAAAGTACAAGTTTATTCTAATAATTACTTAATAACTAGCCAATATACCCCACGTTGCCCAAGATTGCATTTGGAAAAAAAGCTTCAACAGCCTTTTAGCTAACATCTAAATTAAGGGCCATGAAAAAATCCCATCGCTAAAGTAAATAAAATTTTTTAAAATTTTTCTCCTAAAAAACAAAACATTTATAATAACTTTTGTAAACATTTCATCCTCAAAAGAGATCCCATTCCCTGATTGAATCCCATTCCCAGTCAAAAACCAATTCTTGGTGGGATCCTATTCCCAGTAGTATCCCATTCCCAGATGGATCCATTCCCATTTGAGATCCCATTAACCACCATACAATATGAATATGCAATTTCATTGACTTGTATTGTAATTACCTGCCCCTTCTTTGGGAAGCAAGTTCGTTCACATTTAGTTAGAGCCTAGCATCTGTACAAACCAAAATTATATTTATCTACTATAGATTTCAACTTCAAGATTATTATATTTTAAAAATATTTTTTCAACAATCAACATATTTTTACCCGTTTCAGTAGTTCTAATTACAAAAAAAAAATAATACTTAAATGGAAACTGCAATCAGGATGAAGCAATAAGAAATATACACAGTCACAGAGACGGGTAGAAGAAAACCTTAAGAAGGACCTGTCGAATCGCATGTGCAAATTCTTTGATTTCATTTCATTTGACACTTTTGTAATTGATATAATATGTCAACCCTTTCCTGTCAACTACATACCTATTATACATTACAAGCCAAGTGCGTCTGTCTGTATTTTTGCTGTCAAAGGCTTTTTGGCAGAAAATTCAACTTTTTGTATTGTTTATTTATTTATTTAGGCATTTTTTTATAGCGCTTACCTTACAGCTCTAAGCGCTTTACAATTATTAAAAATATGTAAACTATAAACTGCTAAAGTAAAATAAAAAGGAAAAAAACAGAGACACTAGAATAATAACTACAGTGACAGTGTGAAAAATAAAATAATAAAGTAGCTTAAACATTAAAATAGCTATAAAAATTAGTACACTTTGGCACGTTTCGGCCTATACTACAGGATCAACCCGAGACAGAAAATGAGGCAGGGCAAGGAGGGTGCATCACAGGTCATAGGTGGACCTAAACAGATGGGTTTTAAGGGACTTTTTGAAAGTGGACGAGGTTTCACAATGACGGATGTGGAAGGGGAGCTGGTTCCAGAACGTGTGGGCGCATGGAAGTAGAAGGAGCGTTCACCAATGGTCTTAGTTTTGGTTATTGGGATTGAGAGGGTTCTATTGGCAATTGAAGAGCGTAGTTGTCTTGTGGGGGTGTAAGGAAGCAACAGTTCAGAGAGATAGAAAGGAAAGTGAGGGTCAGTGAACGAGTTGAAGCATAGATTGGCAGACTTGTACTTGATGCGAGAGGATATTGGAAGCCAGTGGAGTTGCCGCATATGTGGTTGAATGTGGTCATGTTTCACTGACTAACGGTCACTAGTAACACCACGTCAATAGTAATAGTAGTAGTAGTAGTAGTCCTAAGTCGTCGTCGTGGTCAGTCACTCTTAATCTTATTAATTATAAATAATAAATTAATTCTACTTCTCCTTTAACAGCAAGCTCTTTTCTGGTACGCTTCTCTGCTTTTCGCTCAGTCTTTAGTTCTGTTTTTTCCTTTCCTTTTCCCTTTTTCTCTTTTTTATTTTTCTTTCCCATCGTTATGAATGGGTATTCTGCGCAGTGAATGTTTACTACTCCTTGGTTTAACACAGTTCAAATGATTTCGAAAGTGCAACCATATTTTGTTTCCGCTTCCGTCAAGAAGTAACCACGTGCCAGAGTAGTGTCGGAGAAAATAACTTGGTGCGAGATTGTTATTTTAATTCATTCTTTACTGTAAGACCTCACATACAGGCAGTGAATTTATTTTAAGTATTCAAATGTAGATGAATCTATCCAACAATTAAATGCTAAAAATATATATAATTTCTTCATTCTTTAGGATTGAACTTAACTGTGATCTGGATTCTTTTTTAAGTGTTAATAGTTGATCATAAAAGCAATAGACGCATAAGACTAAGAAAGAAAATGTGCATTTTTTCCTCAATGTGACAATATATCATAATCATTTCGACTTACTCAAGTTACTTCTTTGCGATACGATAATTTTTTTTTTTAATGTCACGATTATTTTATCCATAAACTGAGAACTATAAACGTTCGTAAATTCTGGTCTTTTTCCATTTCGATACACAATCATGTCTTTTTTTTCTTTCTTTTTTTTAAAAAAAGTTTTGCTTCACATTTTCCATGTCGCTTCGAATCAATCACACCTAAGTCTAATTACTAGCCGACACATTAGGTCATTCTTAGAAATTGATCAAGATCAAAATTAAACATTAATAGTTCACTTAAATCAGCCTAGAGTTCCTTGCATCTTTGGTGTTTAATAAATGGGACTGTTGAATATGGGGTAGCCTAGGTCAGCTTGGCATGCGAAGGACGAAAGGCAATAGTCGGCATATGATTAAACTATATATTCAAATAAGACAGATATCATAAAGGTGACAGCAGGGTCGTCATTTGGGTAGGGCGGGGTGCATTTTTGCCCCCCCCCCAATGAATTTGCAGGTTTTATTTAAATTGCTATCTACTGTGGCGCCTCCAGTAATTCACAGCTTATCAAACCGACCAAGTTTTGGTTTTGCCCCCCGCTCCTGAAAAAAACCTGAAATGATGCCCCTGGGTGAGAGGTTTGACACAGGCATTCAAATTTCTGATCAATGTAAAATCTAAATATGTCACACGCGTATGGGGTGTAAAAATAGAATTTTAAAAAGAAAACAATATGTGTAAATGTTGCCTTATTTTTTTGTATTAAAAAACTACCCAGCATTTTCGTTGTCACAATTTTTTTTTCCGGATTTATTCCAGCAGCTTTAAAGAAACAGGTAAAACTGCATATTTCTACCAACAAACCAAACGATATATATAGACATATATACTGTCAAAATTGCCCTATATAGGTACATTTTTTCTCATCGCTCATTTAAAATTTAAAAAACATTTTTTTTTTAAATCAGAATTTGGGGATTTTTTAAATTAATGTTCAATAATTTATTTTTTTTCCTTCTTGAACTGACGAGACTGAGCCGGCTAACATTGACTACAGCCAGGGGCTCGGCGATCTATCAAGCATCTCCCGATGGGCCCATGCGACGGCCGCTAACCGCTACGATAAGAAAATGTAAAATTGTTATTGTATAACAGTATAACACCGGTCACCCAAGGCTGAGATGGATCGACGGTGTAGAGAAGGATTTACAGCAGTTCGGGGTTCGCGCATGGAGGAACCAAGGATCGTTTCAAATGGACGATTGTGGTGGAGCAGGCTGCAAGTTGATGATATTGTATAATAGTATGCAAACGCTTTTGAAATAATGAAAAGAAAGATTTCATATTTTTGCTTCAGAATTTTTAAAGCTATGTAAGATCAGACAGATAAAACCATTAAAATTATAAACTAAATTTTTGAAATAGTAAACCAAAAATCTCTATGATCCTTATTTTATGAGAAAAAATGGATTATTAACAGAAATAAACGAAAGAATATCGGCCGGAAACAGGGCATACTTCACTTGTCAAAATACTCAAAAGTAAAAAGAAAAAAGAAAAAAACAAACTATATATAAAATTGTAAATGTAATCAGACCAGTTTAACAAACGCAAGTGAAACTTGTACCCTAACAGAAACTGCAAAAAACCTATTAAACCCATGAGAGAGAAAAGTTATCCAGAAAATATACTGACAACAAAGTATGAAATATGGATGGGGAATACGAACCAACCAGAAATTGTATAGTCTATTTCAGGATCCCACGCTAGAAGCAGAAATAAAAAATGGACAGGCTACGCTGCGCGGGACACTTGGAAATAATGCCGCATGGCAGAGGAGTGAAGAGTGTGCACCACCAAAACCCCCGGATGAAAACGGCACAAGTGCAGACCTCACCTATAGGGCTACCAGGCACCCGTCTATAGTACGGACCTATAGGATTACCAGGCACCCGTCTATAGTACGGACCTATAGGGCTACCAGGCACCCGTCTATAGTACGGACCTATAGGGCTACCAGGCACCCGTCTATAGTACAAGAGAGATCGAAAATTTTTTTTTTTTTTTCCATTCTATGGTACAAAAAGATGTGGGTCCAGCCCAACCCCTGAAACTCAATGGGAACAAATAGATGGGGGTCGGAGAATCCTTTATTTATTCAAATCTTCGGAAAATATTGATAACTCAAACAGTGGATTATTCGAAGTTACTGTTCAAAAGTATAATTTAAAAAACGCGCAAAATTTAAATTTTTAATGGGAAGTGTGATTCAACGAGAACAGTTTCACCCTGTTTTGGGTTGTGTGTGGGGGGGTGGGGGGTGGGGTGGTGTTATTTTACACATATTTAAACAGCATATATTTTATGGCGAATTTTTAAACAAGTAGGTTCTCTTTCAAAATATTTTCAAACACAAGAAGTTGATGGGTTGGCAGCCCAGAGGATGACTGGAAAAACAGTTGTCTAATTGAATCGAACTTGGCGACAACCCCACCTTTCAAATAACGTCGCACAAAATTTCACCCAATGGGCGCATGTCAAGTGAGATATGAAGAACCAGACGACTTTTAAGTTCGAGCAGAGTAACTACCCGCGCGTTCCATGAAACGAGAAGCTTTGGGTAGAGAGGTTGCAGACGAGGATCCACTGTTTGATCCCATTAAAAAAATTCCTTCTGGTGTTAATGATCATGCTGTGAAGACGACGTTGAATAGTTTCGCTAAAGATTTTTAATTTATAGGGAACGGCAAGATGGCTGCGAGTATGGCATGCCTCGATTTGAAGAGATTCGATGAACAGTACGGAGTTTCGCGTGAAACTTTTGAATTTCTTGAAAACACATTTTTAATTATTTTAAAAAAAAAATTTTTTTTTGCGATTCAATGCCAACGTGATTATATAGAAGACGTCAGTACGTGTTAAAAATTGAGACTTCTGCTTCTATATCATACTGTGAGATTTATGCTCCTATATCATACTGTGAGACTTCTGCTTCTATATCATACTGTGAGATTTATGCTCCTATATCATACTGTGAGACTTCTGCTTCTATATCATACTGTGAGATTTATGCCCCTATATCATACTGTGAGTGTGAGACTTATGCTCCTATATTATACTGTGAGACTTATTCTCCTAAATCAAACTGTGAGACTTATGCTCCTATATTATACTGTGAGACTTATTCTCCTAAATCAAACTGTGAGACTTATGCTCCTATATTATACTGTGAGACTTATTCTCCTAAATCAAACTGTGAGACTTATGCTCCTATATTATACTGTGAGACTTATTCTCCTAAATCAAACTGTGAGACTTATGCTCCTATATTATACTGTGAGACTTATTCTCCTAAATCAAACTGTGAGACTTATGCTCATATATCATACTAAAAAAGTATAATTTATTGTCAAATGCATATTAAGTATTATTCAGTATTATTTACTTGTTATAAATATTGACCGACTCTTACTCTTACCATATTCCATGTTACGTGAGATCGAAGTTTCTCAAAACAGAATGTATTCAAAAGTCGATTGAGACTGAGGTTGAAACCAACTTCATTTGGATTCTAATTGGAAGTATTATGCTCATGAACTGTGATGCAGTGAAGCAGACATTACAGTCAAGCATACATTACAGTGAGGCAGGCATTACAGTCAAGCATACATTACAGTGAAGCAGACATTACAGTCAAGCATACATTACAGTGGAGTTAATAATTACAATGAAGCAGACATTACAGCAAATTCGTGAAAGGGAAAAATAATTGATGGCCTGGCAAATTATAACACGGGGGTGGGGTGTCAAGAGGGCGGTCCAGCCAGGGGAGCGAAGTTTTTTCTTTATATGGAGGAACGGCATTTGTCGTTGGAAGGGGAGGCGCATTTCTTTTCCCGCCACGGGCTGCACACCCCTTGTTAAGCTACTTTTCATCGAACACCTAAAATCGATTACATTATTTTGGTAATCGCGCGCATAAATTTTGTTCTTGTTATTTTTCACAAGTAAGTCTCAATTTTTAGTTTTGATATGAGTAAATGTTTAGTTTTGATATGAGTCAATGTTTTGTTTTGATATGAGTAAATGTTTGTTTTTTTAAATTCACGCCTGCAAAGATCAAGTCGCCTGTCATCTATTTTTGGAAAGACAAATTTTCTCAGAAAAAATGTAGTGGATGCCATGGGAATGATGTATTGGATGCCATGGGAATGATGTATTGGATGCCATGGGAATGATGTATTGGATGCCATGGGAATGATGTATTGGATGCCATTGAAATGATTTATTTGATGTCACAGGAATGGTGCACTGTCACAGATCACAGTTCTTGAGCATAATACTTCCAATCTTTTGATATCAATCAACTGCAAGGGGGGGGGGGTCTTCATAGTAGGGGGAGCTGCTTCCAATATGAATTGAGGCGGGGAGGGGGGGTCTTCATAGTAGGGGGAGCTGCTTCCAATAAGAATTGAGGCGGGGGAGTAATATCCACTCTATTTCTCCAGGTACCAAAATTAATTTTGGACAAGTAAAAAAATACAAGAAGCCGATATTGAAAAATTACTGAATTTGATGCGCAAAAAATGGTCTGTGTTTACTGTATTAAAAAAAAAAAATATTTATATGGCTAGATGTGAAAACAATGAAGCAAATGACCGTTGAAAAATGTGTGGCAACTGCGGCTGAGCAGCGGAAAACTTGCTTAACTTTTGATAGCATAAGAGATGTCAGAAACACAGAAGCAAACACTCTACTGATATAATATTTAGAAAGGATGCCACGGAAATGATGTATTGGATGCCACGGGAATGATGTATTGGATGCCACGGGAATGATGTATTGGATGCCACGGGAATGATGTATTGGATGCCATGAGAATGATGTATTGGATGCCTCGGCAATGATGTATTGGATGCCATGGGAATGATGTATTGGATGCCACGGGAATGATGTATTGGATGCCACGGGAATGATGTATTGGATGCAACGGCAATGATGTATTGGATGCCACGGCAATGATGTATTGGATGCCACGGGAATGATGTATTGGATGCCACGGGAATGATGTATTGGATGCCACGGGAATGATGTATTGGATGCCACGGGAATGATGTATTGGATGCCACGGGAATGATGTATTGGATGCCACGGGAATGATGTATTGGATGCCACGGGAATGATGTATTGGATGCCACGGGAATGATGTATTGGATGCCACGGGAATGATGTATTGGATGCCACGGGAATGATGTATTGGATGCCACGGGAATGATGTATTGGATGCCACGGGAATGATGTATTGGATGCCACGGGAATGATGTATTGGATGCCACGGGAATGATGTATTGGATGCCATGGGAATGATGTATTGGATGCCACGGGAATGATGTATTGGATGCCACGGGAATGATGTATTGGATGCCACGGGAATGATGTATTGGATGCCACGGGAATGATGTATTGGATGCAACGGCAATGATGTATTGGATGCCACGGCAATGATGTATTGGATGCCTCGGCAATGATGTATTGGATGCCATGGGAATGATGTATAGGATGCCACGGGAATGATGTATTGGATGCCACGGGAATGATGTATTGGATGCCACGGGAATGATGTATTGGATGCCACAGCAATGATGTATAGGATGCCACGGGAATGATGTATTGGATGCCACGGGAATGATGTATTGGATGCCACGGGAATGATGTATTGGATGCCACGGGAATGATGTATTGGATGCCACGGGAATGATGTATTGGATGCCACGGGAATAGGATGCCACGGCAATGATGTATAGGATGCCACGGGAATGATGTATTGGATGCCACGGGAATGATGTATTGGATGCCACGGGAATGATGTATTGGATGCCACGGCAATGATGTATTGGATGCCACGTCAATGATGTATTGGATGCCACGGGAATGATGTATTGGATGCCATGGGAATGATGTATTGGATGCCTCGGCAATGATGTATTGGATAACATGGGAATGATGTATTGGATGCCTCGGCAATGATGTATTGGATGCCACGGGAATGATGTATTGGATGCCTCGGCAATGATGTATTGGATGCCTCGGCAATGATGTATTGGATGCCACGGGAATGATGTATTGGATGCCACGGGAATGATGTATAGGATGCCACAGCAATGATGTATAGGATGCCACGGGAATGATGTATAGGATGCGACGGGAATGATGTATCGGATGCCACGGGAATGATGTATTGGATGCCATGGGAATGATGTATTGGATGCCACGGGAATGATGTATTGGATGCCACGGGAATGATGTATTGGATGCCATGGGAATGATGTATTGGATGCCATGGGAATGATGTATTGGATGTCACAGTAATTATGTTTTGGATCACATGGTAATGATGTATTGGATGCCATGGTAATGATGTATTGGATGCCACGGGAATGATGTATAGGATGCCACGGAAATGATGTATTGGATGCCATGGAAATGATGTATTGGATGCCACAGTAATTATGTTTTGGACGCCATGGTAATGATATATTGGATGCCATGGTAATGATGTATTGGATGCCATGAAAATGATGTATTGGATGCCATGATAATGATGTATAGGATGCCACGGGAATGATGTATTGGATGCCGTGGGATTGATGTAGTGGATGCCACAGGAATGATGTATTGGATGTCATGGTAATGATGTATTGGATGCCACGGGAATGATGTATTGGATGCCACGGGAATGATGTATTGGATGCCACGGGAATGATGTATTGGATGCCACGGGAATGATGTATTGGATGCCACGGGAATGATGTATTGGATGCCACGGGAAGGATATATTGGATGCCATGTGAATGTGAATGTTTTTTCCTTTTTATTTAACCTTAGCAGTTTATAGTTTACATATTTTTAATATTTGTAAAGCGCTTAGAGCTGAAAGGTAAGCGCTATAAAAAAAAATGCCTAAATAAATAAATGATGTATTGCATGCAACGGGAATGATGTATTGGATACCTATGGAAATATGTATTGGACGCCATGGAAATGATGTACTGGATGCCGTGGGAATGATGTACTGGATGCCGTGGGAATGATGTAATGTGTGCCATGAGAATGATGTATTGGATGCCACAGGAATGATGTATTGGATGACACGGGATTGATGTATTGGAAGTCGTGGGAATGATGTTTTGGGTGCAACAGGAATGATGTATCTAATTGAAAGATTGTTGGAAGCTTTCACAGGTGGGGAGAAATCTGGCGGAGTACTCAAAGAGGAAGTGGTCAAAATTTTGATGAAATTACATTTTGACATGTCATGGATTAGAGGCCAGTGTTTTGACGGAGAAGGCAATCGCGGTTGATATTTTGGAGAGAACACATTATGTGTGTTACGAGGGAGAGAACACAGAATGGGTGGTTACGAGGGGAGAACACATAATGGGGGTAGGAGAACACGGGAGTGTGACTTTAACCCGAGCATTGGAGTTCCCTCGCAAATATAAAAGTTAAGATTTTTCCATGCTTAAGGCCCGGAAAAAATAAAGAAAAATTGAATGTTTCGATAGTAGTATGTTAAGTTTTAGCCCTAAAGTAATTGCAGTACCGGTACCATTTAAAAATAAAATAGTTATATTAGTGACCCCTCAGAGCCAAGCCTCATTTCACCACACCTCCGGTTAGCAAAGGACATTACATTACGTACAGCCAATGATTTTCAAACTTGACGTCATCATATGTCTAAACAGCAAACCACAAATGAAAATTATTTTTAATGTAGCAAGGGAATATGTGAATCTGCAGCTAGAGCCCTAGATGATTGAAATGACTTTGACATGTCTGATGTAGGCCTACATAGGATGAATCAGATATACACTGATCAAAATAAAGTCTGTGGTTTCAGAATTTGTAGAAAAATATAATCATTTCTCATTCCCTTTTTATTTTAAAAGAATAACTTTAAAAAAAAAATATCAATATTAACACGGAGAACAAATAGCAAATAAATGATTCTTCCATGAAATAAATTTATGGCAAATCCAAAATGAAGCTTATAAAATAAACTGCTTTATTCAAGCCCTAGTGGTATTAAGTCGATGGAGCCATTTTATAAGCAATCTTAATTTCATTTGGTTCGCTTTGGTCTAGGAGTGTGTAAGTGTAAGCCTCAATTTTCGAGATTTCAAAAAATTATTTTCTGCCACTTGACGAATTGGTCTTGTTCAAGTGGCATATAATGTCAATTAATTACCGTATTTGTAGAAGAAATGGGACGTAAATAAATTAAATAACGGAGTAATAATAACAAGTAATTTAAAAGAATTACTGCCTCTGTTATGAAATATGCACTATATGTCGAATTTTTCACTTTAGATAACACAAGAGTAGCTTATTTACAGTAAAATGGTAAAAAAAAATTATTTTTTTTCAAATTTAACCAATTTTAGCGTATAACCAATATACATATTATATAAATTTTAGGTTATTTTAAAGCTTACTTTCACAAATATTTTGTTAATTTCGACAATATTATAAAAAAGTGCACAAAATTTGTGTACTCATTTTCTGTACATCGTAAAAGGAATGAATGGTCATTGGTTAAGAAGTCAAATGCCCGGATGATGTTATCTGCTCTCCTATGTTTTCACGGAATCTTACATGGCAATTTTAGAGAGCATGATTGATATAAAATTGTATAATAGATAGCCTTTGGGTAACCCAAATCATCTCTGATTAAGAGTATTTGGCATCATGGTTAGAAAAGAAGAATTATGTGACTGGTTCCGAAACCTCCATCCGTGTAAACGAGTGGATTACATGTGTGGATTGCTGCATATATGCCTCCCTCTTGAACTACGGTTTATCGGATCAGTGCTAGAGGACTTGGCAAAGAAAGATTTCCATTACCTTCGCGATGCCGAAATTAAAGCAAATCAACTAGGAGAATTCACCAACTTAAATTCCATGTTGTTGACGGACGAAAAATTACGGACTAAAATTATAATAGCTTTAGCACTTTTAAATTCGTCTAACTCGTCATGTGCAGAGAATATTTTTGAAATTTTGGAAAGACAGATTGACAACTTGTTAACTTATGTTCATAGCCACCATTCTAAACAATTAACTGATGAAGTACATTTGATGTTGACGATGGCAATACATCACCCAGCCTTTAAAGCATATCAGAAAACTATACTTGACGATAAGTTAAAAGTATTGGAAAAACAAAATCCTGACTTTTTTTGGGTTAGTATGACAGCTGTCGGCATTGAAAACTGAACATTATTGGCAACATTTGCTTAAAAATTTATTTTTTAGGGGTGTATTATGGTTAACATTGTGTGTGTATTTTGATACATACATTGTACATTAATAATGGGGTATAGCTGCCTACGTAGTATTAACTTCTAGGCAGTGTCTACACGTCCGGCGCGCCGGACGTCTATCTCCCGCACTATGTGTCCGGCGACCAAGTCACATGACCGCCGTAACAAAGTGGCGAGAGATATCGTGTCGGTCAGCCTTGTCACGTGACTGCGAATAATTCAAAACTATTGTTAATTTTAAAATCTATTTCTCTACCAAGTAATGTACTGAGTATCTTGAATGCAAATAATAGAAAAAGAAACTTAAGTGAAAGTGGCTTGTAAACATTTTTGTTTAGTTTGTTATTTTTTGTGTACCAGTAATCCATAAAATAAATTAGGGGCCAGTGTGGCAACCAATAAAAGTTAAAGATTTCATTTTAAATTATTTCAATTGCTACAAAATATTTAAAAACTTCTCATGAAACTACTGTTGCTGAGGAACATGATAATATAAATATATACAAAATATTTTAATTAAAATGGGAAGAAAAAAAACGACCCTATCCCCGGTATAGATCCTCAAACATTCCTATCGTCAAGCAACCACTCTACCACAAGACCAGACAAGATGTACTAAATCGTACTTCGTTTGGAATTATAAAAACTACTAGCCGTCCGGCCATGTCCGGCGGTCACGTGACAAGTCGCCGGACGTGTATCTTGCGCACTACACGTCCGGCGCGCCGGACGTGTAGACACTTCGTAACTTCTATTACTATATTTCCAATCCTGCCTGCCTAATGCACAAAATAACTGAAACTGAAAGTTAGGGCCCAAGCCACCTAATTAGTATTAATATTAGGCTTACAAGACATAATTTAAAAAGTTGAAACCAGGACCTCTTAGTATATAACACCAGTGGCCTCTCCAGGGTGGTACTTTTGTTTATGAATTTTTTTTTTTTACCAAGGTTCAAGATAAGATTGGGGTCGCAATTTTGGGCAGCATTTAGTCAAGGCACACCAAAAAAAAACAATGAGTTTCATTGCCAGGCAAGGTCTTAAAAGCCACGTCTTGTGTGTTGGCAGCGTTGGGTATTTGGGGAAAGACTATTCATATTTCTCACTGAAACTTGCATCAACTTACCGTACTTATTTAATAAAGTTCTTTATTTTTGGTTTTTGCTTGTTAGTCGAAATCTCTTAGACTAAGACTAAGTAATTTGGAATTTATCATAATCAATTGAAGAATACAGTCTTAAAATTATAGAATTGTATTCTCGCTTTTCATAGGATGGGGTTCATATGCTTCAGACATCAGGCACATTTAGCTCAAGCCCATATATTCCAAGAGGCCCCAAATTTACAATGGACACATCGATATTCATCAAGATTAATAACAAAATATGTTGTCATACATACTTAAAACGAAGTGTCTACATGTCTACCCTCACTATTATTGTTTTAGCATCATATTTTTTATTACCGTAATTATCTCTTCCTCTCAGCATTGCTTCCTTCTAGAATGCATTATTGCTTAACTCCCACTTTGTTTTGGTAATATACCCAAGTATTTAGTTCTATTATTTGTTTGCAAGATACTCAGTACATTACTTGGTAGAGAAATAGATTTTAAAATTAGCAATAGTTTTGAATCATTTGCGGTCACATGACAAGGCTGATGGACAAATATCTCGCGTCACTTGTTATGGCGGTCATGTGACTTGATCTCCGGACGAATATCTCGATAAAGTATTCTTCTGGCGATCATGTGACTTGGTCGCTGGACAAATAGTGCACGAGATATACGGGAAATATATATAGACACTGCCTACTTAAAACTGTACACATGTCATTTTAGGGTAGTTATAAATAATTATAGCATTTTATACCAACTCACTTTTCAATATTGCCAATGTGTTTGAGACGCTCAAAAGCAGAACAAATAAATTAACTTTTACTTAAAGATAGAACCTAGTCCTAAGTTAAATTTCACTAATCTAGTTCTTCATTTTAAAAATATGAGCAATGAAAACATATTGATCTATCCAAGATTTGTAAATACAGTACAATTTCAAAAATAAAAGTGTGATAGAAGTAAAAGTGAAAATAATACCATAAATATTTATGATCTTAATAAGAAATATTAAAAAGACTTCCAACAATAAATTATTATCATGTCATTTGGGGATACTCTGCCAGCATAGCTAAAAAAAAAAGCTTTTTGTTGTTGTTAAAGGGGCAATTATGACAGCCAATGACCAAAGATTCTATAACTGGGTACATACTGTGACATACAAATAAGTAGGGTCTCTTTTGTCGTCCTCATACACACCAGTACATAAAAACTCCTAATCTGATCACTTAGCCCCCCTATCCTCCCACTCCCCCATCCCTGATGCATAGATAATTTATATATGTGCCTTAACTAGAGTAGCACCGAAAAGAAAATGTGCACATAATAGATTCACAGGGCTCACTTAGCTAAATTGGCTGCCAATTATTTGTTGTTTCTTAAATGTAGAAAAATGGCAATACAGTTGATCTGCTAATTAATTAATTGGTGTAAACCTACCATCAACTGCAGCTTATTTTATGTACCTTTTTAGACATTCACATCATGAAATTTGTCATATTCAATAATTCATTGCAAATTTAAATTATTTTTAACACTGCCAACTCTTATTTTTTACACAGCAATTGTAAATTTAGGTTACTTTGCTGGAAATGTTGAAACTCTCATGATAAAAGCTTTATTTGTGTTATTACTGATTAAGCCCAGAGTAGTATTATTAGCTACTGGTATTATTAAATTTCATGAATATATTGAAGCTGAAAATACAGTATATCTATTAATTCCAATAATATGTATTGGTGTTTAAAATTTAGGCTGAGAAAAAATTAAATTGCCAAGCCAAATGCAATTTTTAAAAAAAGTTGTATTATAATTATCACAATAGAAAATTATTTTAGTTGACATTTTGTCAGTCTTCATCAAAACCTTTGCATGATTTAACATTAGATGTGGATACTAATTAAAAAAAAATAATGTCTACAGTATGAGAACGAAGCTGATCTGAATCTGCCTTCTAGACCTCTTGACTCTGAAATAAGCCATAATGTATTTCCAACAGACAACCAAACACTCATATGTGACAAGCCAGAAAAAGGTATTAATACAATTTTTATTACTGACATGTATAATCAGGCTATCCTTCTCTATACTTAACTCTTCTCTATATTTTGTGAAATATACTGTATATACTTGCGTATAGGTCACACCAGTGGATAAGTTTGCACCCTTGGTTTGGGGGAGTTACACGGCCCTTTTTTAATGTAAATATAACTAATTTTTTTTACAAAAGTAAAATAAAATTCTCAACAACAACTTGAAAACTGAAAAGCAATAGTCAAAAACTAAATAATCTTTAATAAACAATAACAGCTGATTGCCCTCTGCTCGAACATAAGCGAGAGCAAATGATTCTGCAACTTTTCGTATAAATGTCTGTTCCACACTGAATAACAGTAAGTGAAATTGTGATTGGTTGTAATGGCATGGTATTTCCTTTTAGAGTGCAGAGCTGCTCTGTTTAGACAAAAACTTGGATACCAGTAATCTCTTGAAAATATTTTTTTCGTGGTAAATCGCATAGTAAATTTGAGCAGTATAACAAAAAGTAAAAAAGTGTAACCTTTGCACGAGTATTTACGGTAGGTACATTTATTTCATTGACACCATTAGTCAAGGCTGAATTAACCAAGTCTGTTTAGTTATTAGCCTAATAATGCTTCTTAATATATACCATTTAAATTCTAATATAAAGTTAATTGAAAGAATATATTTCTGATAATTCTCTCTTTATTTTTATACTTATATTTATTTTTTTCCACAGTATCAATTGTATCTATAGAAATTTTAGGTAATAAAGATGTTCCTCATAGCAAAAAAAATGAAATTAGTGTGAAGGAGTACCATATACAAGTAAGTGTGATTTATAATGCCTTAATATTATTATATATTAATCACGCATTTAGAAAGAAACTAAATATTATTCTTTTTATAACAATATAAAATTTGTCACTGTCAAATTAAAAAATACTCTAACTTTGAATGGAATATTTTTGTTTAAAATTTTTATTTTAAAAAAATCTTATATTACAGTCAAAATGGTCTAATGGTGAGATTAGAGAAGTTTATATGAAGCCCAAAGCACTACATGATCTGCATTTGCAAGTAAGGACCTTATAAGCTATGAAAATTTAAAATCACATAGTAAAATACTTCTTCATCATGGGGAAATGCCAACATTAAAAAAAACAAAAACAACCTATAATAATTTACACATACAAAGCAATTTTCTTCAAATTATCAGATTTAACTTTTTTTTTTATAATATTAAAAATTTGAGAATTCTTATACAGTTAATTTAAAAAAAAAAAAAAAACTTTTAAAGAGAATTAAAGATTCCTTCCCATTAAAATAAAAATTTGAGAAATCTTATACAGTTAATTTAAAAAAAAAAAAAAACTTTTAAAGAGAATTAAAGATTCCTTCCCATTAAGAAGTCTTGCATTCAAATTTTATAGAATAACAAATCATTTATGGTACCTCAAATGTGTCTGCTAGTTTTGTTTGTTTAGTTTATTATTGATGGTTGATGTGTTGACAGCATTAATTATAGCATGTTGCCAATACAATTCGCTCCTCCACAAACACCTTTTAAAACTAACAGGCAAAGCCTTTTCCTCAGGGGAATTTGTTTTGTTATCAAAATAGATATCCATGAGCTTCTCTGCTCTTTCTGTTAGGTGTGAAAAAAACTATAAAACCTGTTCATAATTTGAGAGATGCCTGTAATTTTGTTTTAATTGTCTGAGATAAGAAAACAAAAAATATTCCTTTATTTTCCTAAATTATTTAATTCCATATTCATTAAATCAAGTCTGTGGAACAAAAAAACAAAACACTTTGAATATAATATGAATAATAGTAATATTTTTAAGGTTGTTTTTATATGAAACTCTAATATTTTAAACATCTGGCTTTTTATCCTTCATTAATTGTAGTGATACATCTATTATATTAGACTTGAAATTAGGATTACACCAAAAGAAACTAAAGTAATACCTCGAACAATGCGAGGTTAGGGTCTAGAACCCGGCACAGATCAGGAGGAATCGCAATTTTTTGTTATCAAATGTACAAAAGTAACAAGAAAGACACATTTATATCCATGGCTAATATTAATTGAAATTAACTGGTCAATAATTTCTTTTCAGTTACTTAATCAGTTGCCAGAAGAAAAGAAAAAACGCAAGTTATTACCATACTACCCTGGAAAAGGTTTGTAAAATTATTTGGTTTATTTAAATCTTAAAAATAAATGAAACATATCAGAATAATTTGAGATAGTGATAAACTTAAGAAGAGGTGAAAAAAAAAAAACCCTCCCCCACACAAAAAAAACCAAACCCACCAGAATGTTGTAAAAAGAAAAAACGCAAGTTATTACCATACTACCCTGGAAAAGGTTTGTAAAATTATTTGGTTTATTTAAAACTTAAAAATAAATGAAACATATCAGAATAATTTGAGATAGTGATAAACTTAAGAAGAGGTGAAAAAAAAAAAACCCTCCCCCACACAAAAAAAACCAAACCCACCAGAATGTTGTACTCAAGTTAAGTAATAATGATTGATTGTTGTCACAAAATCAAATTAAATCCGATATGATAAATATGCTTATATATAAATATATGTAATCTTTAATATGTAAGTATCATATTCTAAATGAGAAATACTTTTAATGTGATAATTACAGAATTATTCTAAGTATTTATAAAATATTTTTATACAATTCTTGATAGCGAAATCACGAAATTGTTGTATTTTCCCTAAGTGCCTAGTAAAAAGAGATTGGCCCAATACTATCATCTGTGTATAACTATTATTAATTTTAAAGCAAATTTAATTTTAAAAATATAATAGTTATAGCTCAATTTGACATTTTATTTTGAATAATAGGCATTCTATTATAACTAAACTTTAATTAAAAATGTATTTCGCCCCATTATTATAGCGTTTTAGTAAGCACTTCCATAACGACTGGAAAGTCTGAAAATAGCTTTTATTAAAGCTTTAAAAAATATTTGGGTGTTGGCGCATTTGATTAGATAGTAACATCTCACTGTCAAATAGGCTACACACAAATTGGTATATAGATATTATCTCTCAAAACTCAATGAAGATGGAAAGGGGAAAATGTGGATTCAAATTCTTGGAAACTAAGGATATGATAATTTTTCCATATATATAATTCTGGGGCGAGAATAAGGGGTTCCCACATATTTATGAGTATAACAATATGTTTAAAATAAAAATATGTTGTAAACATTCTGTGAAAATACATCTAAAATCTAAAAGAATGAGAAAATGGACATTTTTATGTTAACAATATCTAAGAACCCAATAATTTTAAATATGTAAATATTAAATCTATAAAAATATATACATCTTTTATCATTCCCGAAATTACAGTTTAGGGGTGTGAACAAATAGTGGTTAAGATTTCTTTACATATACAGAAATATTATTTTTTCTGTTTTGCACAAAATACAGTCGAGGGGCATGAAATTTTTTTAATATATTGAGAATAGTTCTTTAAAAGCACAACTGTTACAGACGTGAAAATTGGTTAAGAGATTCTTTTTATATAAATATAAGTATTCTGTATTTTATTATTTTTCGATAGTATAGTTCAGGAGTGAAGAAGAGGTTGGATAAATTTTTAATGAAGATACCGGTACCAATATTTCAAAATCTGTTAATGTTACAGACATTTAAAAATGGTACAAAGGTTTATTTTTTTAACTTTCAGGACATGTTTTTACAATGTATAGAAAATATGTTTTCATTTATATCAGGGGTATTAAAAGGGGATGTGTAGGCCTATATAATAGAAGGACATTATTATATATTCATAAATATACAACTCTGGGGCATTGCAAATTGTCATATTTATTTGAGGATTAAATATATCAAAACCCCATTCAGTTATATTTAAGTTAAAACATAATTTTTAGAAGAGACTTTGTAATAGCAGGGAGAAGTAGCACTATTTGCCTTCCAAGATTATCTCGGTATCACCTGGTATTATCTTGTAGTGTTTAAATAAATCTATTTGAATAATAAAACTCCTTTTCTTTTCATCAAATAATTTAGTTTACTGGCCTGTGCAGAAAACCCTAGATCAATTTTGTTCTTTCAATTTTGTGTTCAGTTTTTATTCTTTGTAAAAGTCATAAATCTGCAATTTTGTCTATGAGGTCAAATAAAATAGCAAAGATAAATGGACATTCATTTATAGATGAGTATCAGTCTTGCAAACATAAAAACTTAAATATGAACCAATGTAAATATTAATAAGTAAATATGATATTAAAAGTCCATTTAATGAGGGGAAAATAATTATTATATTATTGAAAGTTAATAAACCAACTTAAAAGAAAACTTTAAGCATAAGAAATGAGTTGTAAAATTATCTTTTCAATAAATATGAAATTATAGATCTCAAAACACTTATCTTATTTTCAAATTTTGCTTAATTTGTTAATTTTGTTATATTTAGCAAACAAAGATGAGTCACCAGAAAAACAGATGCAAACAGCAAATGAATATCTCAGGTAAATGATGAATGAAAAAATATCTGAATCTGTGTACATATGCCTGGTCATATTTACATAGTGTATTACGATAGTCCAAAAGTTTATATTTATTTTAAACTTTTATTAAAACTCCAGAGTTTCTCATATCAAACTACTATGTGTGTTTTGTGCAAAATATCTTCAGGAACTATCAGACTTTGAATTTTCTTTTGGCAAGTACCCACATTTTATAAACTCTTTTCAACAGAAAAATGGCAAAGGTCTTAAGCCAGATCCCTGATTGTGAAGTATTTACAGAACCATTTAGACGTGGAACACTAGTCAACCAGCCCTCTAGTATAGCAAGCACTTCATCCAATGTGCCACAGCAGCATAAGCCTTTTATATACCAAACAAGTCCACCATGTGGAGGTTAGTCTTTTATTTATGTTAAATTTATATATTTTCAGTTGAAATAATTAATTTAAATCTGCCTCTTATTTCATTATATATGTGCAATCTAAAAAAAATATTATTTTTCTTTTTACAGATCATCCTACTCAATTATATGATCACAATCACAGACAGAATCCACTCAGGTAAAATTTAAGAAATACACCCAGCATCATCTGGACTTTTCCCCCTCATTTTCCCCCTTTTCCCACACTGTCTGAAGAAATATACTGCCTGTTTGTTATTTAGGTTGCTTATATATATTTTCAAACTATATAATAAAAAACATGCTTTGAGCTATGTCCATTTCTAATACCAGTGCTGATACCTGACCTTATGCAAGAAGAAAAAGATTTTTTTAAGCATTCAAGTAAAACACATTTTATTTAGTTATTATGTCTTTAAATAAGTTTAGATAAATTGCTTACACACATTGTAATCCATTATTCATTTAATTAAAACTCTTTCTGTCCAGAATGTTCAACAACTTCCCACCTACGCAAAGCTCACCAGGTCCATCACAGCTGTCCTCTACGACTAACTCACCTTCCAACTCGAGGACATCATCTCCTGTGCCTCAGAATCCATCTGCACAAAGCCGTTACAAGATGGGTCCTATTGGGAGTGTGGAAATGGTTCATTCCATCCGACCTTCTAACATTGAGCTCTCACTTAACCAGCTTCTTCTCTTACTCAACTTAGAGAAATATTTTGAGAATCTAAAAGAATTCTCAATAAAGCAGGTAAGCTGAACAAATAGACATGTTTTAAAGAATTCTTAGTCATTTCTAACTTAGCCAGTAAAGATAAGTTTATTCAAATTGCAAATTTTATAAATGAAAAATACTGTTTGTTTTGCTATAATTTTTTTTTAAGGATGCCCTGATTTCACAAAAAAATAAAACCCTTGAGGCCAGATACAGATATGATCCACTGTGCAACTAAATATATTAGTAATACTAGGTTTAAAACTTAAAAGAAGTAATTAACTCTTTCTCTCCGGAATTATTTTCCGCGTTCTGACAGAATTATCTATTTTGCATTTTTGTAACGCACTACTATGTTATCTCTAAACCTTCATAACTTTTTTGTTTTTCATCAGAAAGTGCTAAGTTTGGTATGGAATTATAGGAGAATGTATGCCCTTTACAAGCAAACCAGACTTGGGTTTACATTTTAATATATAAATGTGATTATCATTTCAGAAAAATAAAATTTAAAAATAAAAAAACTTACCAACTGTTCACAAAACGCTCATTCCAAGTCACACGAGGAGAAATATATAATCCAAAGTGAAACAAAAATTTTTTTTTTTTTCTGAACTATATCCATATGTGCATCACAAATAATAAAGATCAACTTAAAAAATAAATAAAAATGAACCTCAGAGCACATTGTCACCATCACACAAAAAATTTGTGAACAAAATTTAACTATTTCCACTGGAAACAATTTGTTGCTATTATAAAATATTTCGTTGTATTCTTGTATGTACTAACATTATAATGGTAAATGGAACATTTACCATACATTTGTCATATCTTTTCATCTGTATTTAGCTATGGTAAGCCTAAAACAATTCATATTGATTTGCACTTTAGCTGGGGGAGGGGCTGGTTTTTCATCAGCTGATGAATTACCAATGTCATTATTTGGTCACTAGTACTACTAATACTAGGATTATAATCATACTATTTAAAGGAATCAGCTTCTGCATATGAGATAATAAAATCACTGTCTGAATCATCATCAGAGTAATATTTTCAACCTTTATTAGATCGATCACCAGATGGGTTAGGTCAAGATTTCATGTTTGTAAACAAAAATAAAATAGACAATCAAAACAACCGCTTCAAACACTTCGTTCTTTGCAAAACCTCTTTCAAACACCAAAAAACTGGATGTTTTACAAAGGGAAATCATTCTGGAATTGATTTAAAATAACTAAAAACCATTAGCTAAGAAAAGAGCCGAAATAAACAGGTTTTTATACATCGACGATGCCATTGTCGATACGACAAAATCTTCATTTCAAATCCACGATGGGAGCGTTGTTCCAGAGAGAAAGAGTTAAATGGTTATTGAGGTGTTAAAATATTGTTTTCTTCTCTTGCAGGTCATTCAAATGTCTACAGAAGACTTTGCCAAAGCTGGTCTACCAGCAGATGCTCAGGACAGATTGAGGAAGAAACTGGACAAACTGAAGTGTGTTCTTTAAAAAAATTTGTCACAATAAGTTTTAACATAAGTTATTTAATTTCCAACTCCTGGCTTTCTTCTGGTAAAGGTAGAAGAGAAATATGAATAATTAAGATGTTTTTTAATGTTATCAAGGAAAGTGTTTCTCTGCTAGCAGAATACATTTTGCTATACTGAGAATAGGATATGATTAACGTATAACTTTTTAGGGGGGAAAAAATACCTTTTAATTAATGTAGTTATTCACATAAAAAACTTATGATCAGGTGTCAGAGCTCTCACTATAGAGTGCGCCTTTAAGTTCTAAATTTTAAGAATTCTGTTACACAATATTTGAATATTTTATTGCAGGCAAACTCTTGACAGTAATGGGATCACTGAATCTCTTAGCAGGACTTCATTCCCAGAGTCACCAATGTATCAAATTAATTGTCTTCCATCTGGAAGTCCGATGTACATGACCCAGCCATATTGCTCTATATTCCACCCCACACCAGCCTACACCCCTCAGCCCATAGGACTGCTTCAGTCTCCTCCAGGACACTATCAACCAGGTGAAACATCTCCTGCCAACACAGAAGCCATGAGCCCTCCACCTAGTCCTTTGCAAGTGTCAGGTTTAACAGCTGACCAGATGCAGGTTCACCCCATAGGCCATGTGCCCTTAGCTGCTGGACCCACATCCCTTATGTCATCTCCAGCAGCAATAGTAGCATCTTTAGGAGTTTCAGATGTAAAAATCTTAAAGCAGCCATGGTCTCAAGCAATGGATAGCTCAGGTTCTGAAGAAGACAGAGGTAAATATATGTTGTTGTGTCAAGTAATCCAGTTTTATCCTGTGCTGCTCTTGACTGGTTACTTTTTATAAGAATTAGTTCACTATCATTTTGTAGCAACATTTGAAGGACTAAAACATATCTCCTGCACAGCATAAGATACTTTCTATGAAGTGTGTTATTTCAGTCTTCCAAATAATGGCTTTATCATAAAACAAATGATTTTATCAATGATTATGTGAACAACTTATCCTGGCATTTTATAAACATTATCCAGCTCTGAATAAATTTCCTCTTACGGTTCTAAAGAACATTGTTAAGAGTGTCAGGTTGATAATTCCATCTTGACTGGGTATTGGCGTAATCTGTCAAGCACATTAGCTCTTAAAGTTTAATTAAAGATGAACACACTTAAAATGTAGGAAACATAAATCAGCTGCCATAATATCTTCCTTTATCCTCTGTATAAGTACAGTCAGTTTGTCTTACTTGTACCATGGTGCTGTGAAAGTTATCTAAACGTTTAAAAACAAATTACAATTATTATTTTCACTCCGTTACCTGATGTGAGGTTATTTTTAGTACATTCTTGAATTTAGGTGTGTTTGGGCACATATTTAAATGTTAAATTTTTCCATTGAAAAAATAAAAACAGTTTGAAAGAAAGTGATGCTTTTGCTTTATTTAAAAATAAAATTGTATTGCAGGGGCTAATAAAATAAAGGGTAGAGGAAGACCTCATCAGAGTCAATCACTTCCCCAAATCAGCCAGTCTGCTGTTACAGTATCTGCTTCTGATGAATCTAAGATTTCTGCCCTGCCAAATTCACTTTCAGTACCTCACACGCATCCGCCTCTTATCAACACAGAGCAAAGGACAGACACTCCTCCACCATCTATCCACTCATTACCTACGGCCATTGTTAATGGTTATGCATCAGACCCATCACCACATCAGTTACAAGGACCTCCGCCTCCTCTTAGGGGGATTTACCCTGCCTTGCGTTTTAAAACTCCGCAGCCAACACACACTGGACAAAAAAATTTAATCCCGATGCCCATGTCATTTGGTATGCATCCTCCGCAAGGCATTGGTAAAAACAGTGGATCTGTGGGGCCAATGCACCCTCCTCTGCATCCTATCCATTCCTTTATCAATACGCAGACTGGTGTACCTTCAAGCCAACTTATGATGCTGTCACAAACTCTTCAGTCAAACTCTCTTCCGCTGGGTCCCCAGTCACAGCAGTCATCTTTATCTGAAAGTGCTAATGTTCTGTATTATGTTCCCCTGCAACCAAATATCCTTACATCTATAGCCAACTCTTCAGCTGCTATCACAACTACTCAGTCCCACTTAACTGGCCAGCCCCACAGCCATTCCCCTGCTCCAGCAGCAAGTTCGGGTGCTGAGCAGGTGCAGGGAGCACCGGTGATTGTTAGTTCAGAATTAGTGGACTCGGGCAGATCGGATGGGTCTTGTTTAACCCCACCAAGTCACACGCCACCACATCACAATATTCTCAAGTCTCAAAGTAATGCAAGTGGTCCTGACTCTGGAACTCCAAGTCCACCTCTTCCGCTTCCATCAAGCACCAAACAGCCAGGTTTATACTATTATGTTGTTCCTCATCAGCAGAATAATGGATATGTATCCCACATGCCACCACTTTACCACCATCTCCAGCAAAACCCACAACCTCCACCACAGCCTTTGCCAAATGGAGTAGCCCCAGAGATGTACTGGCCTGGTCACCGCTTCCCAGGTCAGATGGCCCCTGGAGTGTGGCCCCCTTTTCTTTATGGAAATAGCGTATATCCACCTTATAATCCTTCTGTCAATCCAACTGTGACTACCAACAGTTCAAGTATGCAAACCAACACATCAAATCAAGCCCCACCCAGTGTGGTGGCTAGCACAAAAAGTTCGTGTTACAACTGTGGTCATGTAGGTCACAAGGCCTCACATTGTGAAGAGAATACAATGGAGAACATGTCAAGTAAGTTAGTTTTAAATAAAACTATTATATTTTTAAGGCACATACGATTGCTAACAAACCCTTAACTTACACCATGAAAGCCTAATTTCAATCCATTTTGTAAATTTTTAAAGCATTTTTATAATGTGGTATACCAGATTTCCCTTTCTTCAGCTCAGATAATTTCATTATTTTCTTGTCTCTGCCACAGATACATTTCGTCTAAATATAAAACCCCCAGACTACAAACCTAAGTCAGATTCAGAATGACCCAGGCTTACGGAGGGTCATGGAATGGTTCAAGCATGAATGGAGCTTTCTTACTGACAGCTCTGATAAGGCATTTCCTTCTTTCAACCACGACCTTTGAAAACTCCTTCTTCCTGTCAGTTCAAATTCATGTGATAAAAACAAGAATATGCTCAAAGACAATTTGTAATGGACTTTGATCAGGAATTGTATAGCTAACTGAATGAGTGCTCTTTGGTTATATTAACCGCTAACCACATGCATTAACCAAGTGTGTGCTGGTCATGTTTTGCTAAATGTAGTACAAAATTCAATTGCATATTTATAACTATGATGGCTTGTGATGCTTTGGATAAAAGTACAAGAATCATGTAATTTAAATAGCCCTAGTTTTTTTTGGTGGAACTATGTTTTTAATCCTCATTCTCAAATCAGTGGGACAAAGGTGTTTTAACAGTAAGATGAAGCAGAATTACTACATTTTAAAACCTAATTTTGTTTGTAGCCATGGAGGTATAGTCATTATTATGATGATTTACTCTAATGTGCTTAATGTTTTAATTAGGAATATTAAACAGGTTTTGACACATCTCTGGTAATATCAGATTTCAAAGGTTGAAGATGTTTCGATATTGTCGGTTCTTAATGGTCTGTTTTATAAATTATTAATTTAGTTTGTCTTGCATGTAATGTAAGCTGTATTGCTTTGAACATTTAAAACAAAAATAAGATAACCATGTAGATTTGCAACTAACATGTTTATTTTAGTGGTTTTTAAATATATTGTTTCCCTTAAAGAATAAATGAAAATTCATGAAGTAATAATGTTTTTTAACAAGAGTCTATATCTGAGTCATCTGTTTTATTAAGATTAAAATTTTCAAAATAAAAGTCAAATTCCCTCCCAGAAATGAATTAGCCAAAAATAATATCACAGACAATTTTTGTAAATAGATGATTTGTATATGTGTGCATTTGTTTGTATAAAGCTGCAGTGATTATTAGTCATGTGTTGTTTTTTTTACATTTCCAAGAATACCTTTGTCAGTTTTGAGTTAATATTTTTGAAAATTTACAGAGAGCATAATTTTAAAACTTCTATCGTTCAAAGAATGATGTTCACATCAACAAATTGTGGTCATGTTTTTAAATGGATTATCTTATGTTATTTCAACACATTGTTTAGACGATAACACAAAAAATTGATTTATTAACATTCTTTAAAGTATTTCAATTAGCTGTTTTTCCTCTAACCATAGTGTCAAATCTTTAGACCAGTGGTTTATTGTACTAAGTACTTGGTTATCTTAAAAGAAAATAGCACCATTATTTAACATTATTTATACATAAAGTTTTTAAGTTTTAATTTTAAAAACATTTTTAAGGGGACTGGCTACTCCAGGAGATTGCTTAAACAAAACCTGTGGCAATACTGAATAAGCAACAGTTTAAACTAGTATTTGAATTGTACAAATATGGTTTGTTGCTGTTTCTAGGAATTTAACAACAATTAAAGAATGTGTTTTGTTTTTTAAAAGGTTTTTAAAAAATGCATGTAACTTATTAGCCATTCAACAATGTGGAACTTGGTTTGCTTTCACTTTGTGTTGAATAGCAATATATTATATTATAAAATTTAATGTGATTGTGTTATATTATACAAATAATTTTGTTCCCATCTGGTTTTGGTTCTACACTTGAATTAAGTGGCAGTCAGCTCATCACAAGCATTTAGGACACATTTTTCAAAGAATTGTGTGCTTGAATATTTCATTTCACCCTTTTTTCCTTTACAAATGTCAAGTATCCCCAATGGAAACAACACATTAAAAAAAAATATGATGGATGATAAATAAATTAGTTTGATATGAAATTTTGGTGGATTAAACTGACTCAAATTAATTTTTTTTTTTTTTAAATACATAACATTGCATGCAGTTAACTTCTTTTTTTTTGTTATCTATTTGTTGAACTTTTTGAAGAATACATCACACACACACACTCATAATTTAAGCAGCAAAATGTGCTTATCTGTTATGTACATTTCAAGCAATGTGTTTTATAATTTAAAAATATTAGTCTATTTTATTTTTAATGCACTTGAGATTTTTTTTTTTATTTCTAAAAAAAAGTTTTCAAACTTGATATTGTTTGATTTATTTTGTATGATCTGGTTTACCTTGTTTTTTAGGCAGTTTTTCATGTTAATTTAGCAGTGATTAATACATTAAAAATCTAATTGAAGTACTTTTCCCATTGTTTTAAAAAATATTTAAAAAAGTAACTTTTTAAGCAGAATCCAGGAATTGTTTTGAAACAATAGCAACATAATTAGGGTTAGGTAATCTGTCTTGAACTGTCTTCATAATTAATTCTCTAAATATTTTTAAGGAAACGCTTCATTTATCAGGATAAGGGCAAAAATTAAATGCTGGTAAATAAACTTTGAAAGTTAACGGAGGTAAATGATCTTTCAGAATACATATTTTAAAAAAAACATTAGAACAACAAAAAGTTAGTTTCTTGAATTTTAAAACTTCAAAAACAGAACAACAAACTGAACTCATTTTGTGAAACAATTTCATTTGAAATTATTTGACATGTCCCTATAAATTTGAATACCGGTATATAAAAAAAATCATTGCAAACACGTCTAAAAAAATTGTTACTACAGATTCTTTTGTTTTTCTGATTTTAAATATATTAGTTTGCCAGGTGTTGTTTTTTTCCCCACAACTTTATTATTTTTAAAGTTTAAAATTTTTTTTTTTATAGATTTATATTTGTTCTAGAAATCTTCAGTTTTTTTGTGTGTGGAATAATCATTTTATTAAAATAAAAATTGTTGCAAACCATATTTTTATGTGAGGTATGATATTTTGCATATGAACTCCAGATTTAAAACAATTAAAACCTTTGCATGGATCACTTTTTTAGTGCAGAAAGTATTAACTCTTAGGGAAAAGGGTAGGCTGTTGAATAATAAAAATATTTAATAATCAACTCTGCAATTTTAAAGAAAACATTTTAAATCAATGAATGTTCAGTTATAAATAAATATGTAGGAAACTAGGCAGGGATGGATTGAGAGAGTAAATGTGCACATGACACCTTTAGTTATATTTTTTCTGATACTTTAGGAACTACATAACATAAAATATTAAAATAATTCTGTACGGTATTCACTATTTTAAAAGCACTAAAAAAAATTAAAGAGGCCTGCTAACCTATGCCACTTGGAATAGAGTCATTAACACTTTATTTGAAACAATAAAGATTTTTTATTTAAAAAGCTATTTTTTAATGAGATAGTGGATAATCTGTTTTTAAAAGTAGTTGACAAACTTAACGCATTGTACTGTAAATTTACTTTAAAAAAAAATAGTTAAAAATAATCAATTACGAATTTTTGTAGTTAAAAATAACCTATTACGATTTTTTTGTACCTAGTCTTTTTGACGTTTTCAGATGCTGGCCTATCCGTCCTATTGCAGGCGTTTCTCTTTTTGCATTTTTCCAGTTTTTTTAAAATCATTTCTATATATCTAAATGAAGTAAGTTCATCTTGAAGAAGAGCTTTGTGAATAAAAGATATAACTTTAGCATTACCTTTCCAGAATTACTTTTTGTCATAAATGTTTGAAAAAGAAAAAAAAAACTGGTCTAAACTAATTCTAACTTTTTCTAACCAAATTTTGGTGGGTTTTAGTAAAGTCGCATGGTTGTTTCCTGTATTTATTTTGTAACATTATCAAAGGATATAAAAATTGTGTCTATATCTTGAAGATATTTAAAAAAAAAAAATTCTGAAATCTGGAAATGTAAAACAATTTTTTTTTAGATATTAAGTACATATTTATGCAAACAAAGCAACTTGAATCGATCTTCATCATTTTAGCCCGTAACTAAGTTAACACACTGTATTATTACAAGTTTTAAAAAATCTATCTAATATAATTCACATTGTAATTGTATATTATTATTATTTATTGATTATGACAATGAAATTTAAATTTCTCTTCCTTTTCCACAAATTACAACCTTTAAGTTGTGTGATAAATGATTTTGCTTGCTGCTGTAAAGTTGAAACATAAGTATTTTAGTTTCAGTGAGCTCATTATACTAATTATTAAGTTTTATCTGGTCCACATTTCACATTTATTGAATCATTCATATTTTCCTTATTCTGTATTCAACAGAAATTTTGTTTAAAGTATGGAAATAAATACTATATAAACATGGTTGTTTTAAATAAATTGAAAACTTCTTTTACATTTGAAATAAGCAGAGCAGTCAACTTTCAACATTGCACCGTATTTCAGAATTAGTTAAAATGCTGTGAATAATTCCCTATGAATCATATATGGACAGAACATGTGCTAACTATATGTCTTATTCCAAACATATTCGTTGTCTATTTTCAAATCAAGTCATCATACAGTTTAAATTTAGACTGAAGAAAACTTGGTGAAATGAGGACAATGTAAACTAATTTTTGTTAAAAACATGAACCTAAAATGAATATATGAAAAGCAAAGGTCATTATTTAGTGTACTGCTGTGACATGCCTCTTGTACAAAAATCCTTTGCTGTTGGTCTGCAGTGTTATTTTTCAAATTATTTTTAGGGTGGGTTTAACATGGGCTATAATTTGTTTGAAAAAGTGCTGCCCTTCAAATTGAAAATCTGTGTTAAAGTGTCCACAATGAGGAGAAAGCAAAGAAAAAAAATAAAAGCATAAGATTTGTTGTACCAGGTACAATTATATTATTGAATTTCATTTGATCGCTGTGGATAAGTTCTACCTTATGTTGCAAACTTGTTGACATAATTTGGTCCAGGGGCATTTGTTGCTGTTTATAAAGTGATATATATAAACATTTTTTAAAATAATATGTTTATTTAAATATAATGTGTCTCCTATGATTATGACTGAATTATAGATGTCTCTAAAAAATTAGATTAAAAAATAGCACTTTATATAGTTTTTCCTCACCAAATGAAATACTGTAATTAGCTCTAACTATTTTTAAAATCCAACTTCCAAAGCTATGGTCTGGTTGCAATGCAAATTGATTGTGATCATTATGGATTCTTTAAATATATTCAATAAATATTCACTGGATGTTCAGTGATTAAGGCATGAAAGATTGTAAAGTATGCTGAGTACTAAATTTATCATAAGGCTATAAATAATTTAAATTAAATAGCTTTGTACTTAAGACTTTTTGTTAGCAAAGCTTTGGAGATGAGGATAATTTAAAAATTGATGCCCCCATTGTAGAATATCATTTGTTCAGATGTACATGTCACCCTGATTTTTGCACAGTATGGTTGTATTTATGTAATCATCTGAGAGTCAAGCTCCTATTCACACCTCAATCACAGAGTATTATTTGTATTTATTTTGTATTAAAGGGTGTTCTCTAGATATCATATATCCATGTTGCATTTCTCATGAACCTGCTTGTAAATAGAAATTTTTTATTGTTTAATAATGTCCATTATATACATCATGAAATGGTAAATAAATTTTAAGTAAAATATGCTTCAAATTAAAAAAAAAATTAAGGAAAAAAATTAAAACTTGTTCATGTAAGTTGTCATGACAAAAAAAAAATACAATTAAAAAACCCATCCTTTTGTCTGTGTTGAATATTTTTGGATAGGTATGTTGTCTGTCTGTTCGGTACGTCCACCTCAGGTGTGTTGTTTGTTGGGTACATCTGTGTGGTGTTTGTGTATTGTTGCAATTCAGGACAGGCACTATTTTTAAGTACAACAAATTAATTCAGATTTTTTGCATCATATGGAATCAATTCTAGTGATCCTCAATTTAAACTCAATATCTATTTTAATTTTTTGTTGGGTAAATTAAAATATTTAACTTTACATTAATAATACTTAATTCTATTACCTTGATAGTATGCACCAAAGAATTATGTGGGATGCACAATTTGAGCAACTTCTTCCAACACTTTCATTTCTAAACAGAGACCTGCATTGAGATCTTGAACATATGTTTTTTAGTTTTTAATTTTTTGTCTTGTCTGCTGAAGAAGGCGTTTAGCTGAAATGTCCTTAAAAATTTAACTGTTCCAACTTTTTCTTTCATGTCTAAACATATCTTGTTCTACTATTTATTTTCTTTAAAACGACTGGAATGCAGTCAATTAAATTAATATAATCCTGAATTCTTCAAATAAAATTTAAAGAGACTAAAATAAGACTTGTTAGTCACCAACTGCTTTTGAGGAAATAATTCCCATCCTGGATCTGTATGCCTTATTTTTCTTTCTTTGTATAGTTAGATGGACTGGTTTGTGCCCAATAAATTACCGGGCACACCTATCTTTACACTTAATGAAGAATTTTATTTGCAAATAACATTGCTTTTTCATTAAAGTTATACTTTATTACATACACTTTATACATTCAGCTTCATATTTTCATACTTTTGAAGTTCATTGGAACTTTAAAATATAAAAATCCATTAACTTAAGTTTTATTATGCAACGTGATAATGGTTACCTGTCAAAGTTAAGTTTAGTAATTGGTAGTCATTGTTTGTTTTCTTTATTTAATGAAATCTAAACCAGAACCCACAGAAAATAACACACCTGTACCCCTAAATAAGAATAGGACTATGTAGGAGTGATATTTGTGGTACCTGTACTCCTAAATAAGAATATGACTATGTAGGAGGGATAGTTGTTTTTAACATATGAAGTCAAATGTGTGACTGCTTTTGTGAGATTGAATATGCTCCACAAGCTTAGCAATGCACTAGTCTGCAATCAAAGGTTCTTTTTGCTTTCCTATCCATTAATACTAATACCGGTACCACTTATAATAGTAATACATCAACTAAAACCAGACTTAAATATCAAATTCTTTACCCATCGTCTAGACGCATTGGATACAATAGTCCACTAATATATTACAATACTATCATTTCATTCACAAGTTATCCACAAAAAGAAAAAACTGAAATATAATCACAGTAAATTTTATTTCCCTTTGCGCTTATTCAACCTTCTATGACCTTCATTGGGATTTCGTTTTGACCACTGCCGTCCATTTATGCCTAACTGGGCAGCCCGGCTGGTGACATCATTTATACTGAAAGGACTCATATCTGCAATAATGTCTTGTGACAAAATGTCAACTTTCATGAGTGACTTCTTCGATGGCCTCTGATCAGGTAATGGCTGATCAGCACAGAGTATTGGATTTACTGCATGCTTACCACCTTGGGGTTTAGGTAGAGAGAACTGGAGGATAAAGAAGCAAAATGTTGTACTCCCATTATATATATAATAAGCAGCTTTGTTAAGAAAAAAGATAACTAGCGTTAAATCACTGAAATTCTAGGCAGTTTCAAAATTATGGTAAAAATATAAAATTAACTTGTTTGTGAAATAATGGCCAAATCAGCTTTCTCTATTAACTCTTTTTTTTGTTTTTCCCTTAAAATCTCATTCAACCTTGGCGGTGAAATTTTCAAAGAAACTTGTGCGGAGATTAACAAAATTTTAAAACTGTTGTGCAAAAAATGGCTAAATGGAAAATAATTAAAAGGCTACTGGTACCATAAATTGCCGGGTAAGATGAAATAAATTTGCAGTAAATATGCTACAGGTACTTACGAATTAAATTAATATTATATATGTGCAAGCAAGCAATTTTTCACTTAATATCCACACCGAACAACAACAAAATATGCTTTGCACGCATATTTACATATCTAACAAATCTAACATATTTACTTTCTTCATAAATTGATAAACCGCAACTTTTAAAGAAAAATAGCTTCTTTGATGTCAGATTGTTGTCGAAATTTGAGGGTTTTTCTACAGATCACGACCAGTAGCAACTTGAACTAAAATGGACTCCAGTGATTAATTTGATAGCAATTTAGATGTAATTATGATAATTCATCGGTTAATTATGCTAACTCTAATAATTCTGTCGAATTAAAACCCAGCAAAATAAATATTGTCGGTCTTGAGAAAGTTTACCAACTTGTACTTGTAACCTAATGTTTCATAATGGGGGGGACAGATCGCAGTCGATTTTAAAGGGCTTTTTTTAAACAAAAAGTGTGGTGGTTGGGGGGGGGGGGCATAATAATAATATGTGGATATTACTATATGCATCAATATACTGTACACACCATAGCTTATATCAGCATAATCAATGAAAATGTGTAAACATGGCATGCACAAAAATCAATTTGTTTCGGCCTCTTACTTTCATTCCCTTGGTGCGTATGGTATATTTCTTGGCCAGCCAGTACCTGATGGACCCATCCTTCTCTATGGTGGTAGACAGTCTTTTCAAGGTTCTGTTGCCGCAATGAGGACAAAATAATTTTGAAGTATCTTTTGTAATTCTGAAATAATTTTAAAAAAAGAACATCTGTGACAGATTTTAAATAGAGTAGCTTATACGAATGTCAGGGGTCTACGAGAACACGACCTGTTTAAATTGATTATAAATAACACAGAGTTAAGAAAGTTCTAAAATACTTCAGGAGATGATAGATATTGAAGAATCTGACAGCTTATTTTTTAATGTAGATCAGTTGCCACATTGAACTGACACCTCCCTTCCCATAACACAATGCTTATAATGGGAACAATGTTTAAAAGAAGCGGAGCAGAATATGCTTATAATGGAAGCAATGTTTGCAAGAAGGGGTATCAAATATCCTTATAATTGGAGCATGTTTGCTAGAAATGGAGCAATATTTACTTTGGTATATTACTTATAATAGGAGTATTGTTTACGTTGGTTACTTTTCAGTTACATGTACTATAGAGAAGGACTGAAATTTTAACATTTAAGTAAAAGGGAATTAATGGAAAAGTCATTAGGTGAAAAACACAATCAGGACATTTGCACATGCAGTCATTAAGTTTTATGAGTAAAATGAGAAATAAACTACGCTTAAATAATGATTTCTTTGGCCTGAAGTTTACAAGCAGCAGATGTGTACCTCATGCATCCAAAACACCTGAGGACATAGCTCTTGGCTTTTGTGATCAGCATACCATCCACAGAGAGGATATTCAATCCCATTTGGATCAACACATTCTAGGAGAGACAACAGTAAGAAATACAAATGTAATCAAATATATACAACCAGATTCAAATATATAAAAGATAAATAGATTCCAGAGCTGATTCTATTTGTATAGAATATAATCCCTAAAACTCTACCCATAATATAAACACAGAATCCAGCGATGTATGCAGCCGAAGGATTAATCACAGAGTTGTTTTCAAAATTTTTACATAATTTAATTTATTCAATTAGTAAAAAAATTTTTTAATTGAATTAGTAAAAGAAAATATGTTAAAACCGCAAGTAGGGAATCAACTAATAAAGAGATAAAAATTAAACCTGATTTTGTCATTTACTTTTATTGACTTCATTGAAACTTATAAAAAAAATAGCTCACCTGCATTGCAAAATCTGTAGTCAAGCAACCCACACAGATATTTTCTTCCACAGCCGTTTCCACTCCCATTGACCTCTTCACCTCCATTATGTTTGCGGGTGTGATCCAACCATCATCATCATCATCATCTTCATCATCCTCTTTTGCCTCATGGTCAGAATTTTCATCAGCTTGTTCATTGCTATCTTTTGATACATCATTTTTCTCTGATTGGTTGTTAGATTCTCCTGGCTCAAGGATAATTTCTTCTTGACTGTTTTCATCTTCAGGACTGCAAATAGCATTGGTTTCCTTGTCTGCTTCCTCCTCATCATTTTCAACATAATCCTCGGCTTGTTCAGCGTCCAGGAATTCTTCATCATCACTGTCATCTTCTTTTTTCTCACCAATGAGATTAGACGGTAGAGCCTCACCTTCACTGTATTGCTGGATTTTTAGAAAAATCGCAGAGTCACAAGACACACAGTGATGCAGTTGTACATAAATACTATGGCATTCTTAACAAAAAAATACTAGTAGTGAATATTTTGAGCTATTTTTATACAATAAAGAAGTCATTACGCTATTTTAGCTTTTGTATACAAAGGCTCATATTATTTCAATGTTAAATAAAGCAAATTTAAGGACAAGATATTGCTATTTTGTGAGGCTGGGCTCCCACTATTGGACCCTGACAAGAATATGCCACTGAAGATGAGGTGTGACAGCTCTTTAAATATTTCTAGGAATATTAAAGCTATATTAAGTGATCTTAATAAATTTAGTGCACTGACCTTTATTGCAAAGTTAACACCAAGAGTATCTGTTTTATTGCCAACTACAAATTCAGGCTTAAAGAGGAGGAAAAAAACAACTTTCTTTTAAAAAGAATCACTCAAATCTTACTTATTTATATGGCTAAAGAGAGTTAGCTGAGAGTGGTTCAAAATAAAATGTCCCACATGAGCAAAGCTTTGAGACCTGGCAACATACTCAAAATATTGAAATTCGCCCATTTTACCTGCAAGTAAATGTATTACTGGCCATGAGAGGTCACAACCTGCCCATCAGTTACAATCACACAACCCCCAAAAACAATGTGACAACAATGTGACCAGACTTTCAAAAGACAGAAATGATTTTTTTTAAAGCTTTTATTTAACATGATAATTTGTATGATTTTATAATGAGACTTAGTATGCCATGAAGTGCATATTGTGCTTTTGCTAGTGATTTGATCTTTAAAAAAGGAGAGAAGGTGATTGTTTAGAGCCGATAGCCTTTTTCGGATGAAGTCAAAGTTTAAAAAAAAATACAATCCGTTTTAATAGAGACCTACTCGTATTACAATAAATATATAATTACTCAGCAACAAAAAAGCAAACATTAAACATTTGAGGGAATTACCAATTTATATGACTTTATAAATAATAAGACCTTTTACTACCTTTTCCCTTGTTACCTAAGTAGAACTGTGATCTCGCTAAACTATTTAAGCCACTCAGAAATTGTGACAGGTATATTCCCAGCAAAAGAACAATAAATCCATGTGCAGACCTTTCCTCAGTCACTCAAACATAAAGATACATTAAAAATAATAATTTGTTCACATTAAAAAATTGTCACCTTTGTGGGAGGTTCTTTGCGAATATGATCCGTTCCTCTAAACTGTTTCTCTAGATCATAAGCTAGAGCCAGCACTTTAATATCCACAGCAGAAAGTACACGGTAATCTCCAGTCTTTTTGGCAAATGATGTTACTGTAATGGAAGTTCAGTCATATTTTACATGTTAGCCTATACTATAACTATTATGCGACAGTGTCAAGCAGTTTAACAATTAATAAATAAGGTACATTTCTAGCTCTGTTAAATATCCATTCATTAATTACTGTATATGTTGTAAGGTACATTAATTACTGTATATGTCTTATATTTATATATTCTCTTTCTATAAAACACTTATAAAGTCAAAGTGAGAGGATTTAGAAATTTCATTGGAATCGCTGCCATTCATCTGATTAACAAGATTTTAATATAAATTAGATTTGTCTTTTTAATATCACCGAAAAGTAAGGCATCTCCAGAAGGCTCTTTAAAGTTAATGTCAATGGGAAAAACTTTAAGTCTCTGCCTTGTTGTCCGATCAATACTTTCAGCTATCACTTCAGGTACAGTATAAACATTTTCTGCAATATCCTGAAAATATATACATGTGGATGAAATACCATTAATAAGCTATAATGATGATAATCTCCCTTTTAGCTGACTTTTAATCACATTATCGGTAGAATACACAAGAAGCCAGTGTCATCAAATAAATTATTTTGTAATAGGCTCTTCCATGTTATTTAAAGTTAATTGTAATAAATATTTGAAAACATTCAATGAAAATGAATGGGTTATGGATTACTTGCTATCATCTGGACAGTGACATTTCTTTTCTAAGAACACCTCTGTGACAGAAAGATTGCTTATAACAGAAAAGAGATGGATGGAACTTAATTTTTTTAATCCAGTAGGCTCAAATTTTGATTTTTATTATTTTTGGTTCATTTGTAATAAACGATTGTGCATTCATGAGCTTTTTGGTGTGGAGTAAAACATTACTTCTTGTCGCACATCGGAATGATGGAATAAAGTTCCTAAGTTTGCCTCATCATTTTATTTCAGGCAACAAAATGGTGGTCACTAGTTAAAAAAAAGCAATGATCAACATGGCACCTGGAAATAATTGTTTGTTAATTTCAGACAGAAAGACAATATAAGTATTATTCCATAATGAATAGTTAGTTCCTCCCTCGCCCAAAAGGTTTACTTTAATAATAAAATAAGATGAATCTTAATCTTGAAATAAAATATTTGACAGGCCTGCAATGCCTAAAATTACCCAAAGAGCCATGGGCATGGATAATGTTAACTGTCAAATTACTCAGTTTTCTCTAGTCGAGACCGAGTATTTCTGGCTACGTTTATCTAAGGGCACTATAACATTGCTGCACTCTGCATTAAGATTCATGAACACCAATACTAGAGGCTTCATAAAATAATATGTTTCATCTTTAGTCTTGGTATCTGCTCAAAAGATTTGCCTCGTTGAAATATGTCAGCATAAGAAAGACTATTAAACACAATATATTACTAAGATTAGACTGCACTATAACAGCTTAATTCTCCCATGAACTCTCGATCTCAAACACTTGTTTATTATGCATTTCATGTAATCCAATGACAATTTAGCCCCAGTAATACAACTCATGTGTTGCCTACCATTATGGTTCTGAAGATTTAGTCTATGTTAATATTTGGCTTGTAGGATAAACAATATGTAACAAAGGACTGAGAAAACTGTAAGCAAAGAAAATGATACCAAAGCTAGTGATACCAACAATATTTAATTTAATTATACAAATTAATTTCTATACAAATACAAATTTCATTACAGAAGCAAAATACTGTATCGAATTACAGCAAATGAAAAAGGTATAATCCTCAAAATACAAATATTAATTTACACACACACAATTATATGTCTCGTATAGCAAAAATATCTCCCTCGCTCTCTCCAAGTCTCGCTGCTAAGAAAGCATGCAGCCTATATATAGGAACATTCTAGTACAGAAATTCAAGACATTGCGTCACCTAATGGCATTCTTTAGAATAAATAGAACACATTCCAATGTAAACAATCTTTACCAAGCCAAGAAAGGGGTTTCAGGGCAGGAGTGACACAGCACATTGACACGCTGACATCAATATCAAGGTCATTCTAACAAGATATGTCTAAGTGGTGGTGGCTAAAAATAACTCTACAGATATGCTAGACTAGGCTATAAATGCTATAATGTAACATCGTGACACAACTCACTATAATTCCACCAGCAGCAACCATTATTATGTCGTTCACATTTACCGAATTTCAGTTAATTTACTATGTCATAGACAGTGTTTGCCCCTGATGATAAATTAAATTAGTTGAATCAGACATTGACAAAGTTTCATATAGACAAGTAGGACTTAGCCTAGCCTACTGGCTACGTTTCTTTCACCTTGGACTTAATCATTGCAAAGTAAATAGGTGGGACAAGTTGACCCCTTGCCCCTAGAAATAGTTGGGTTTTCAGAGAGCTTCTTCTTCTTCTATATGTTGAGAGCCCACGATCAATGTACTATTAATTCTGACTCCTAGGATTGTAGAGGGGCTTCATAATGTTTCTAAGCATGGTTTTAAAGAGGATACTTCACTAATTGCAAGGGTTACTCAGCGATGATATTAGGAACTGATTGATTGATTTGATATTTATATCGCGCCGTTATACATGCCATTTTAGCATGCTCACTGCGCTCTGGTCCTCCGAAAACTATTTAAACGAAAAAGTTTTTAATTGTTTCTTAATGATTTTTTATCATTTACAATTCCCCTCAAATATTGAGGCAAACTGTTACATAATTTTGGTGCTATCACTTCAAAAGAGCGCACTCTGTACGACTTTTTTCTGTGTTTATCCACACTAGGAACACTCAGCTAGTACTGTGATGAAGACCGCAGGCTCCTCACGGATACATGTTTATAAATCAGTTCCTTGAGATATTCCGGTGCTGAGCCATCTATTCAGCTGTACGCCAGGGGCAGAATTTTATAGTTAATGCGCTCATTCACAGGAACCCAATGGAGATCTCGTAGAACTGGGGTGATGTGGTCAGATTTTTTCACCTGCGATACAATGCATTCTGCAGTATTTTGTATCTTTTGGAGTCTCTGAATTTGGTTCTGAGGTAAACCCCACAAGCAACTATTGAGATGAGGATGCAGCTGACCCTGAGCAGTTCCTGAACTGTGTTCTTGCTGTTATTAGACAGTACTGCCTGTCATGGATTCATTGCTGTCTAGGGGGAAGAGGGGTAAGCTTCTGTTTAATGCTGGAGCAGTGGACCAGTCCATTTTTTATTTTCAACATCATTGATAATCATCACCGTTCTTCCAATTGGTGACCAGCCCAGTGTTTCTAGCATGCAGCTATGATTTATCTATATACTGGATTGGTCAGTAGTGAAAGTCTCAAACTAAAACTTAGGAAAAGATGGGGTGGCTAGGATTGGGTTAGCAGTAAGGCAGGCGATGTCTTCCACTGTACCGGTATATAGGACATAGAGGTTCCCCAAACTAAGTCAAATACCGGTCATACTTCCATTTTTAAAAGATTTCAAATTTTAGCTTTGGGTTTATTTGATACATGTTTTTTTCTCTTTTATTTTTGTCTTGAAAGTGGGATTTTGTTTCATATTTTTGTAATAAAAGTGGAGGAAGGGATCTCCCCTCCCCAGAAACTAATGGCAAAATGTCCCCGGAAATGGCAACATGATGGAAATAAATAGCATACAGATACTTAAATTTTTTAAATATCACTTGAAAGTCAGTTATTAACAAATCAGATTGTTCCGGATTGAATAGCTATTTAAAGGTTTATTCTTTTGTTGACCCAAATAAATGGAAATGTTTTTATAAAATTGTACACATTCATTTCAGCACATAAATAAAAGACACAATTTTTCAATTTAATAATTTTTAAAATGGAACATTTTGTAACAATGTACAGAGCTTGAGTTTATGCATGGTACTCCCCCCAAGTTCTTTAAAATATCATCTTAACGAAACAATTGCAGAACATGAACTCATTCAAATATGAAGGGAAAAGATCGCGGCTGGTGTGAAACTGTCTTTGGAGTTTGCGCACATCTGCATATTCAACATTCTGTGTGTGGAAACAAGCGTCATTTGGATCAAACAAAATTTTGCTGATTTACCATAATGAAGTGCTTGTAGATTCTTATCTGATCTGGTTTCTGTTTGCATAAGCCGCCCATCTGTCCAATACAATAAGTGAGCCTGGAAGGATATATCTTACTATGCCTGTGCAATCCTGTAATGTGCCCACTCTGTCTTTCTATGCCACTGAAAACCCAGTCGCCCTCTCTCCACTGCCCTATTAATGGAAATCAATAAAATAATAACCCAGACCTGTTTACTCTCAAACTCCTACAATCATACAATATCTTCTCAAAATCTTAGAATAAAGTATCTTAATGGTAAATAAATAAAAAATACAGTATACATTATGTATATATTATAATAACTACTCATATAGCATGTTCAGTGGAATCAAGTTAAATTGACGTCAAAAAATGAAACACGCCCCGTAAGAAATAATTATGTCATAAAATTAGGTCATACAAAGCAAACAAACTCGAGGAGGGGCCATCTATACAGCACGTACCTGTACACATAAAAGTCAAATTATGTAACCCTCTCCCCCCTGTTGCAATCCTACTTTTTTTAGGCCCCCCCCCAACACAATAATAAAAAATTAACTAAATCCATTATATATTATGATGTTACGTAAACGAAATTTGACACGGGTTTTCACCACTGGTGATTCAGCCAGCCCACTGGTTCCCAGAATATACCCCTCATCGCCATGGATGCTCATTACCCTCGGGCAGCGCCATGAGAATTTGGCGAAGAGCAACAGGGACCAAAATCGTCTTTAGATAGAAAGGAACTTAACAGTGAATTTAACTATAAAATAACATTTACTTCACAAAGACAAGGGGCACAGTAATTGTCCTTTTACTGGACCACCCAGGTGGAGGTGCACATTTTTCTATATGGATGGCTGCGGCTTCATCACAGGGGCGTGGTGAAATATTACAAACTTTTCGTAATTTTATTTTCACTTTTAATCCAATGTGACAACTTTTGGTCGTGGTGCAAACAGTTACCCACTTGAGTAACTACTGTTTGCAGTTACAGTTGGCGCTCAGTGACCTACATATGTGTTGTATTTATCTCACCCTTTATTTTATATGTGTATTCGTTATTTCGAAGCGTACTTGATAGAATTTTAAATATCTTTTTAAATGCCGCTGACAGATCTTATAAAATATGTCAGTCCCATTCCAATGTTCCACTGCAGAACAGGTGGATAATGTATTTTATTTAAAAAGCATCTCTAGTTTTCTCTTTTTCATAATGGCTGCGGTTCAGGCAAACAAAATAATTATGTAACAAAGCTACGTCACAGGCTTGGTAGCAATCAAAGGGGATGGTGAGTGAAGTTGTCGCTAGGGTGACTAGTCTAAATATTACTGTTGACGCAGAAGAAATCTAGTTCACTGTGACACACAAAGCAACAATAAGACAATCACCATCAATACGATACGTTGCGGTAATATTTTTATATCCTTTGACACTCCCACCAATCCCCCCTACCCATGTGTCTCGTATGCCACAAATCTCCTTATTCAACAGCCCCCATCTCCCCTCTCAGTGCGTACATAATAATAATGATGGTTCCAACTTAACTTTTAAAAAAAATTACAACCTATCGTTTTCCTCTGTCCATTCACTGCCAGATCTTTTTTTTAGAAAGGGCTGAAACTTACAAAACCGAACATTCATTATTAATTTTTAAAATCGGAGTTTTTTTTTTCACCGGGTCTCTGAAAATCATAGTTTTGGCGGGTCTCGGTGTACACTCTAAAAATTGTATGCCAAAATTGTAAGAGTAAACAGGTCTGATAACCATTTAAATAGCACTTCAAACAGGAACAACTCGGTCTTTTAATAACCGATGTTGAAGTAGTAGCCTACCCTTCAATTTTCAACCAAAGACACCGCTTTGTAGCGTCACTTTTTTTCCCCACCTTGTGTTCACCTTGGGATATCAGCAAGGATGTGTTTATTTTTTTATATGGCCTACTTATACTAACACTAATTAAAAAGGTCTAGAACTAGTACTACTGAAAAATCCCTGAATCAAACGGAACAGTCGTGTGTCATCAGTCAGTTGTTGTTAATTAATTATGGTCAGTCAGAATTGAAAGATTAAATAAGAGTCCAGTCCCAATGATAGCGAGACAGAATGTTTAACTCGCACTATATTCAAGAAGTCTTACCCGAAGCGGGGCATTGCGGATAAATGCGCCAGCATCAGCCACAACGTGTTTTACTTTCAGAGGCATTGCTATTCTTCCATTACACAGTGTAACTCTTCTTTGAAAACAAATCAATTTTGTTGGAATAGCTATGTTTACATTTTATGTGAGGATTTGTCAAATGACTCGTTTCATAATTTTAATATAGCTAGCCGTAAAAAAAAAAAAAAAAAAAAAAAAAAAAAAAAAAACAAAAAAATATAAATTAAAAAAAAAAAAAAAAAAAAAAAAAATTTATAATATTAAAATAAGTAGCCGTAAAAAAAAAAAAAAAAAAAAATTAAAAAAAGCTCTAAGCATTTATATTTAAAAAAAAAAAAATTAAAATAGAAACCGTTCCATGGGAACATTAATTCAATTAAATTCAACAATAATATTTTGATATGGTTATGTAGGTTAGTTCTAGAAGCCTTCCACTAACCTTGTCATCAAATTTTTAGGCACTTTTTATTCCTCTCCCACTTTGTCAACAACTACAACTTTCAAACTTTCAAGGCAAGGGTCCCCTTTATTAATTATGCCAAAAATGCCTACATTTTTTTTTAAAAATGTAAATTTAATGTTTAAGTTAAGATAGACATTTTCGGGGAGCAACAATTTTATTGCATTTTTAATCATTTCTTTAACAAATTTTAAGTTTTTAATAACTCTAACTATAATCCTATAATCTATGATTAATATGACTAGAATCAATTCTATATCGCAGAATTTATAAAAAAAATTGATAATGTCTGAATATTATTGTTAGTATATTTATTGCTTCCATTTCTAATATTCAAATCCAAATGACCCTCTTCTTTTGCCATAGATCATAGTAACTGATTAATTATTTTCCCCACATTTATATTTATATTATTATGGAACAGGCTGACATCCCACTTTTGTATTTTAACAATGCAATCTTTGCGCAATAATTGCCATTATCTGAATCTGTCTTTTGCCAGCCACTCGGGACATATTTTTTGTTCATGTTGCTGAGGAACAGGTGGTAATTCCTTTTCCAATAATGTGGAGAGATGAAATTCTGACCGTTTAAATTATATGAATTTATAACCATTAAAAATTAACAAATATTTTGCAACAAATTATCCAGGCCTATATTAGATATATATATATATTTATAAACAAACAGAATTGTTGGCGTCAATTTATTTTGCCTCCTCCCCACCTTGTCAAAATTGTACACTCTAGTTCCCCCTTTTTGTCGACGTAATCTATGGACGGCCCCAAATAGTTAAAATAGACCTAGATGATGTAAAGAAATAAATAGTTTAATACGATACAAGTCTAGGCCAAATTATTGCAATTATGTCCTTTATTTTAAATTAAAATGTAGCTTAAATTTTATTTTAAAAGGGATTAATAATTCTGAAATAAAGATAAATAGTTGCAATTAAAGTGCTTAGTAAGCGGTGGTGTTGCCAGGGTTAGTGCTGCCAGGGTCAAGCCAAGATACCCACGCTCCAAATAAAATTCCCCCCCCCCCCCAAAAAAAAAAAAAAAAAAAAAAAAAAAAAAAAAAAAAAAAAAAAAAACACACATCAAAAAAAAAAAAAAAAAAAAAAAAAAAAAAAAAAAAAAATCCCCCCCCCCCCCCAAAAAAAAAAAACAAAAAAAAACAAACAAAAAAAAACAACAACAACAATGCACCTTTCAATATCTAAAAAAAAAAAAAACAGCTGGTGTGGACTGCCCTCTTTCTAATCCTACGCCTACGCTAGTGTTACTAAGCTATCAGCTACATTTGTGAATTACAAACTGAATTATCATTATATATTAAATTATAAGCCTAATTGTCCTAATAGCATAATGAAATGTCCGCCATTTATTTGCTTAAATTGGTTCTGTATCAAATTGAAATGCAAAACGATTTTACGGAACGTTTTTAAGACTTTTAGTAGCCTGTAATTGTTTATTATTTTTATTTTATTTTTTTAAAAATATTTTGTTTCTTTTTGTCATTTAGTATACTACGCATACGGATTCACTGAATAAGTTCGACACTAGTTTTACGAACAGCAAATAACACCACATTCGCTATTTTCACACCAATGTTTACAAGAAGTCACAATGGTGGGTGTTTCCTCTAGCTAAAAAATTGTAATAATTTAATTGAAATATTATTTTCAAGACTAATTTTCCTTTCAAAAGATGGGTGATTAATTTGTGAACGCTGTATGCTGCTATGCAAATGAGAAATTTATACCCAGCATAAATATTTGAATCTTTATAAAAATAAAACACCAAAACTTAAATTACTTTAATTTTAATATTTAAACTAAATAATAGTAATAGTATTATAATACTCAAGTCTTTTAGTAGTAGTTCTGTTCAGTTTTGAGTCACTTAACCCGAGGCCGAGAGTGAGTTCTGTGAGTGAGACACTTGCTTGACTTGGTCTTACTTACACAGTTGGCCTACATATTTGAAATTAATAGGAAGTGACAGAATTAAAACTGTTTGTGTCAACCAAGATGGCGGAAACCCCGGGTAGCTTTCTCAACATTTACCATTAATTGTTGAGAATCATACCCATGACATCATTTGCGTGTTTATTATAGTTGCAGTGAATTAGGGTTAAGTTAGGTTGAGGGACCGTTTTAGGGTTCAGGTTAGGCATATGCATACATAGGGATCGATTTAGGGGTCAGGTTAGGCATCGGCATAGGCATAGGGATCGATTTAGGGTTCAGGTTAGGTCATAGGGATCGATTTAGTGACAGAATTAAAACTGTTTGTGTCAACCAAGATGGCGGAAACCCCGGGTAGCTTTCTCAACATTTACCTAATTAACTTAATTTCATAATTTTCACTTTAGCTTCGCCTGCACTGGGCTACAGCCAAGACCGAATGCCTAATCCATTAGAATTACTATCATTAAAATTATGAAAACTATTGGCATGATTGGTCATTGGTAGTTTACTTAAATTTACTACCTCAATACTCAATAGCTTCTACTTCTACAGAGTTACATTTGTATAAATTGGTAGTTTACTACCTCAATAGCCTATCAATAGCTTCTACAGAGCTATATTTGTAGTAAACTACCAATGACCAATAGCTTCTAGAGAGCTATTGGTAGTCCTGCCAATCAAATAAACCAAAATCTGAGCTTTAAAAACCTGCTTTCAATGACGCTGGCAAAGTATTGCCCTGATCTTATATTACTAGTTCGTACTAGTGACAACACCTGAGCACTGTTTTAACACTCTCTGCTGTAGCCTTGCTCATGCTCAGATTTGGCTATATTGTGATATAATTAAAATTTATAATATAGACCTAATATTATAGATAGGTAGATGAATGATCCTGGGGGCAAAGGGATCATAGTCTGAAAAAATGTTACCCAGCTTTTTTTTGCCAAGGCCAAAGTAATATGTGCAGTAAAAATAAAATCCAGCTATACAACTTTTGTGTGTTAATTATTGTGATTTAAATTATATATATAAAAAATAGGCCTAAATTACCATAAGAATAGTTTAACTGCAAACAAAGAGTGCATACTAAAAAAAAAATCTTGCTACTTTAGTTAAATAAAACTGCATAATATTGTGATTAGGCTTAAAGATGATAACATAAGCTTAGGCCCATCTATGTTTAGGAACATGGTCATGTGGAAACAAACACACCCCCCCCTATTGATTTTCTGTTGTGAGATAGGTCTACTGAGTATATTTTACAAAAGGCAGTGTCTACACGTCCGGCGACCAAGTCACATGACCGCTGTAACAAAGTGGCGAGAGATATTTTGTCCATCAGCCTTGTCATGTGGCCGCGAACGATTCAAAACTGTTTTTAATTTTAAAATCGATTTCTCTACCAAGTAATGTACTAAGTATCTTGCATGCAAATAATAGAAAAAAAACTTAAGTGAAAATCGCTTGTAAACATTTTTGTTTAGTTTGTTATTTGATTTTGTATACCGGTACCAGTAATCCATAAAATAAATTAGGGACCAGTATGGAGTAGGCAACCAATAAAAGTAAAAGATTTCATTTTAAATTGTTTAAATTGCTACAAAATATTTTAAAACTTATCATAAAACTACTGTTGTTGATGAACATGATAATATAAATATTGTTTCAAATATTTTTAATTAAAATGGGGAAAAAAAAAGGTTTCCATACGGAAAATTGATCCACAAATATAATATCGTCAAACGGTCACTCTACCTCAAGACCACACACGATCTTCTCAATAAGCGCTTCCTTCGGAATAATAATGCCTACTAGTCGTCCGGCGGTCACGTGACATGCTCGCTGGACGTGTATCTCCCACACTATTTGTCCGGCACGCCGGACGTGTAGACACTTCTTTTACAAAATTGAACAAAATCGTTAACTTATAAAGGCATCAATATTTGTATGAAAAGTAAACAATTTCATTGGGTATGTTGTGCATCTATATCACAAATTAATTTAACGTCTAGGAATCGCTATTTCCTATTTATTTTTTAATGCTATGCAGAATCAATGTTTTGAACTCAAAAATAAAACATTTTCGGCACACATTTTTTTTTGGCAACATACATTACATACTCACTAGTGATTTTAGTGATGTAATAAAATAAAATAGTGACACCAATACTTAGACAATACTGCACTACATCAATCTATGACCAATTGGTAGTTTTTTTTATAGTAAACTACCAATAGCCACAGCCAAAATGATATTCCCCAAATACTTCAAATAGGCCTACAGGCATAGGTCAACTCAATACAAAAACTGATTGATGACTGTAATTCCTACATTATCATAGTTGGTCTATCATATTAATATATAATAATTTGTCTAGCCATTAGGCCAGTAAGGGCCTATACTTGATTCTATTTAAATCATAAATAATGTTATTATAATTCAATAGGCTTAGCTTAAAGTTTAAAGCCCTTTAATAAAAATCTTGTGCTAACATTTTGTACGGTACTTCATCAGCCATCAACACCGCAACTTTCCCCTCAAGAGGAGCAAGAAAAGTTACTTGAGGATGCCCTCAATGTTGTCAAGACACAAGCTTTCCAGATGAAAAGATGTCTGGTATGAGCTAAAATATAAGAAAAAATAAGGAGCACTGTGCTGTCCAAATGGGGTCAAATCACAAAAAGTCATTAAGTTATGTTGCTTATACCATATCTTGAAGGTCCTTAAAAGCAGATAGGCAATGTTTATTATGTTGTATTTTCTAAAAGAATGTTCTACACAAAAAAGTTACAGGGAAAAAGAAACTAATTATCTGGACTAAGTGTAGTCCTTTTAAAAAGAAAGCTAGATCATAGATGCCATACTATATGTGGTTAAATAAACTATTTATACTAACCAAAGTTTTGTTAATTATTTTGATTCTGAACATTAACATTTTTGAGTCCTGGTTTTTATTATATGATTTTAATTTTTATTTTTTTAAAAATCTTACTCTATATCATATGATAGCACTTCCTTTTTCTTGTCAACATGCATTAGTAGGACACAAAATACAAGCTCAGATAATAAAAAAATATCTCGATAATCAATGGGTTTTTTTTAATCAAAAATATATCTTTCTGAAATGTTCAAAACTCCCTTTGAGTTAATAATTATGATAAAATAAACATTGAGGTAACATTGTTTTAACCTTGAAATTATAGGACAAAGGAAGACTGATGGATGGGTTGAAACATGCCTCAACAATGCTGGGTGAATTACGCACATCTTTGCTATCACCTAAGAGCTACTATGAATGCTGTATCCTTAAATGAAATTTCCCTTCATTTTTCGCTAAAATTTTATAGATTTTCAAATTGAGCTTTAATTTGATTTTTTGTTTTTGTTTCAAGGGGCTATTTATTTTATTGTTTTAAATCTGTTAACAAAAATAATCTTAGTATTAATATGTGCTCAAAAAGTTGATTTTGATAATCATGTAATTATAATTTAAATGTTGAATTGCAAATTCTTTATCTTTAAAATGTTATTTCAAAAAGTCTACCATTGCCCTTACATGCAAATGTTAGACATGTCGATTTCAGATGAACTTCGTCACCTTGAAATGTATCTTGTTGATGAGTTCCAGAAAGGTCGAAAGGTTGCTGACCTTTATGAACTGGTCCAATATGCTGGAAATATTGTGCCTCGACTGTAAATAAATTTACAAATCTCATTGCATCTTTATTTCTTGATTTTCCTGTTGGCATGTTAAAATTATTTTAGAAGTAAATATTGTTATAGGAATGTTAATTCCATCCATCCCTGTGATGCTACTGCCCATGTAGGGATTTGGCCTGTGTCCCCACTTCCTTCCACTCATATCTAACTGATGCTTTTCTTTTCCATGTTTGGGTTCACAGCTGCTGTAGAGTTTTTCCACATCATTCATCCATTTAAGCCTAGGTCTGCCTTTGAGTATGAGCCATTTTCCTATGGGTTTTTGGTGGTGCAGCCTCTTCACTCCTCTGTTGTTTGGCGTTCTTTCTAAGTGTCTCACCTAGCATAGCCTGCCCATTTTTATTTCTGTTACTAGAGTGGGATCCTGATATAGACTATACCAGCGTTTCCCAAATGCCGGGCCTCAAAATCAAAATTTCCAGGTCGCAGAAAGAAGAAAAAAATGTTTGAAAATCTAGGTTAGATTATCATTACTCATTAATAACTTTAAGTGGGATTTCTTTACAGCCTTGTACAAGTAAATGCTTTATTATATTATAGGAAAACTTTGTGGACAGTCATATTAGATATTACTATATGTCTTAGTCCTCGTCTAATCTGAAATTCCCTTGAATATTCTCCCTGAATCTTGCTTTTGCTCTTTGAGTTGTTTAATATTACATGTATCAGTCTTGTGAGTTTGTTGGGTATGCCAAACTTCTGCAGAGTCTCACATAGATTTTTTTTTTTATGATGCTGTCATAGGTCATTTTATAGTCCACATAGAGTTGATGTACTGTGATATTAGATTTGTAACATTTGTCTAATATACATCTGACGACTATTTTTATTTCAACTTCTTAAAATGTGTCCCTTAAATTATTTTTTGGAGCTTGTGAGAATTATTACAACATAAAATGATTGTATTAAAAAGTAGTAATGATTGTATTAAAAAGTAGTAGTCAGAGTGCGCATTGATGGTTGCGACCCACCTGAAGAATTATTTATTTATTTTATTATGGAGACACCATGTAATATAAATGACACCAAGGGATGAATTCTATCAACCCCAGCGAAGGTTGAAACGTACTATTCACTAATCTTAAAATATTTGTTTTGGAAAAACAGTGCACAACATGAAATTTCATTATTTATGTGTAAAGAAGATATTTTTTTCAACCTGGACAAAATGCAATAGCACTTAAGTTTGAAAGGATGAATAATTTAATGATTTGAAAACATCAACTCACATGTCTTGTTTTGAACAGGTATCTCCTGATCACTGTGGGCACAGTGTACATCAAATCAAATGAGTTGTCTCGCAAAGATATCCTCAAAGATTTGGTGGAGATGTGTAGAGGTGTTCAACACCCACTCAGGGGACTTTTTCTAAGAAACTATTTGCTTCAATGCACTAAAAATGTTCTTCCTGATGCCGTTGAAGATCAGAGGTGAGTGAACAGTTAATTTTCGCTGGTATTTAACCTTAATAAATTTGGATACTTTACCGTAGGTGACACTGTTAAGATTAGAAATAGAAAAACTGAAGAAAGAAAACATGATTTCAGTTGGAATTTAAGGCACTGAGCATGTACATAAAGAGGTTAAATGGCACCAAAATGTGTCAAGGAAAGTCAATAAAAATAGGAGCTCTCCTGTAATTTCCAGTTGTTATGCACTGTCTTCTATAATGAGAACGTAATCTCTTATTTTAATTTTATGGCTCGATACCACAGAGAATTACAATAGCAAAAATATGACACTCAAAATGGTACTAATTACAATTAATAAGATTTATTTAAGTATGAATATAATTACAAAACAAAAGAAATATAATTACAATCATCAACTTACAGAGTATGAGATGTCTTGTACCGGTACACAGTTAGTACAATGTGCCACAGTTATAAGGTACAATGATGAATGCGAATAAACACATATGAGTACACAAAGAATAATACACTTGTCTTGTAAAGATAAAAATATCCATCAATCAATCTCCGTGAATCTCTCTCTCTATTTCCTTTTATATCTATGCGTCGGTAGAACCAACGGTTCTAGAAATGTCTTCTACATTGTTTATCTTTCTAGTCAATTATCGAAGTTTCCCCAAAATTCTATTAAAATATATTAGTTATTTTTAGTTGGTGTCGGCAGTAAACACGCTAAGATGAAAGAAAATAGGCCACGCCCAATAAGAACGCAGTGTCTTCTATATTGGCAGCACGGGGGAAACATGACGTAACACGTCCTACATAACACAGTGTTACACCTTGTAAACAATCATAGAGCCTACAACAAGTTTGCAAAATGAGGAATACACCAAGCCCAGTTGAGAAACATGAAGATTGTCAGAGTTGACTTTATAATTTCAGCACCGAAAGCAATGGTGGGGAGTCTGGTACAGTTATGGACTCTGTTGATTTCATCCACCTCAACTTTGCTGAAATGAACAAACTGTGGGTGCGCATGCAGCACCAAGGCCACTCCCGGGACAGGGAGAGAAGGGAGAATGAAAGAAGAGAGTTGAGGATCCTGGTTGGGACCAATTTAGTTAGGCTCAGTCAGCTGGAGTGCATTGATGTGGAAAAATTCAAGCAGGTATGTTGGCAGCAAACAATTGGGGAACATCATGAAATTATAATATATACTAACCAGCTCTATTTTTGACAAGTAAATGTTGAGTATCAGCTTGAAATACAGGTATATTCGAACCAGCTCTACTTTTAACAGCTGAAAGTTCGCGAGCATCATGCAGTAATAAAAACCAATGCAACACTATTTGTGATATTTAAATTGATAAATTAAAACGATCCTGCTATAGGGTTCAAGTAAATACTTGGACAAATAAACTCATACATATTTTCATGGAATAAGAAACCAATCTTTGATTTGTGTAATCTTAGGAACATTTTTAAACATCCCTAATGAAGAATGGCTTGTAAATGTTAAGACAGTTAAATGTTCATGTGAATTTTAAGTGCTTACTTCTTGTATGTAACCTTACTTGATATTTCAGTCAGTCTTGCCAGGAGTGCTTGAACAAGTGGTCAACTGCAAGGATGCTATTTCCCAAGAATACCTGATGGAATGTATCATACAGGTACTTAGCACACATGTTTAAAGTTGTTCTTTTGCCAACAAAAGCATTACGGATATTTGCTTAAAGGAAATGGTTATCACATTTGTACCTTAACTGGTTAACTACCATGAGCCGCTGGGAGCGGCTCGGTGTTCGTTCCGTTATGGCCACGAGCCGCTGGTAGCGCCAATGTTAGTCTCGTAGTAAATCGAGTCAAATACTTATATTATTCCGTTCCCGTTTGGCTTCAAGATTTTTATTTACCGACTGGATGTTTATATTCGAAATGCATGCTATCGGCAGAATGTTTTAAAAAACGAAATAATAATTAGTTTTAATTAATTTTCTTAACTAGTTACAAAATAGTACATGTTTACCACAGCAACAAGTGACGGGGTTACTAAGGCATATAAGTGATTGGAAGTGTAAACATTATTCAATTTCTGTGTTCTTTGGTGCATTTTTCTTATTTTTGGATATACTATTTGGAAACCACAAAATAAAAGGCTTTAAATGATTTTGAACATTGAAATTTAAAATGTATACGTGAGTTGGCACATCAATATATTTTTAAAAATTTTCTTTCTATTGAAAATACTAATTTAACAATTAATAATTTCCTAACAAAACTTAACTTTACAAATGTTTTAAGCTTATATTATAGCAAATTCAATTACATACAAGATCGTGTATTTATCATTAGAATATGTTTATAATTAAGAAAACTGCAGCTGAAATTGTACATACCGGCCTGAATCTAAATTTGCTGAAGTCACTCAAAATTACCCCTCCAAGTCTTTGGAAGGTTTCCTTGATTATAATTTCCCTATGGTCTGCATCCTGGCCTTAGAGGTTTTAGCTATGTCTATGGGATTATATTGTCAATATGGGATGTTACCTGCAAACGGCGTTCAGTGTGTTTGACCTTTTATGTTGAGTAAAGAATTAATGTGCTTAAATTGTTTTGCTGATATTCCAGGTTTTCCCAGATGACTTTCATTTACAGTCCCTGAACTCTTTTCTCAGAGCTTGTGCAGAGCTTCACCCAAATGTCAATGTGAAAAATATTATAATTGCTTTAATTGACAGGTAAAGTGTTTGAATTCTGTATTTAGAGAAGGTATTACTTGTTTTTTGTTTTGTTTTTTTACTGTTTCTTTTATATTTTCTCTTTTAGGTAATGTCATCAGTTTGAAAAATTTCAGCAATCTTTGAAATCGTAGCTTTTGAAATATGTTATCTGATGGCCAAAGGGTATAAATAAAATAAAAATGTAAATAAAACCTATTTTACTTTATGGTACAGAGATCTTTCTGTTGTGAATAGTGATAGTAATCCTTTCATTGTTGTTTATAAGCAATCACTAATGACAGCCTTGTTTATCAGCAATCAGTAATGACAGCCTTGTTTATCAGCAATCACTAATGACAGCCTTGTTTATCAGCAATCACTAATGACAGCCTTGTTTATCAGCAATCACTAATGACAGCCTTGTTTATCAGCAATCACTAATGACAGCCTTGTTTATCAACAGATTAGCATCCTTTGCCCAGAATGAAGAAGGAACTGGGATACCCCCAGAAATTCAGCTGTTTGATATCTTCTCCCAGCAAATCTCTCAGGTCATTCAGGTGAGACACCGGTTATCATTTTCTCACTTTTAGCACCTGAAGACATTGTCTCCCTGCACCTTTTTTTTTTTAATTCTAACATTGTCTCCATCCACCTTTTCCATTTAGTCTAACAGAACCTACCAGATAAGGCACCTGAAGACATTATCTCTCTGCACCATTTTCTTTTTATTCTGACATTGACTCCCTCCACCTTTTCCATTTATTCTAACAGAATCGACCAGATATGGCCCCTGAAGACATTGTCTCACTACAAGTTGCCCTGATCAACCTGGCCCTGAAATGTTATCCTGATAAAGTTGACTATGTAGACAAAGTTTTAGAAACAACTGAGGAAATTTTCAATAGACTCAACCTGGATCAGTAAGTCTACATGACAACTTAATTTACAATAAATTAAAATAATTGATGCATTGAGTTTTATTATTACATATAATTCTCTAGGTATGAAAGAAAGTATGGTGTACTTCGAGGGGGGGGGGAAGCACTAATTAGGAATCTTTTAAAGTTAGTTACATAAAATCCTGTTATGTTGAGTTATATTAGTAGATTAGAAGTTGACACATTATTGCCATCATTGTTTGGAGGGCTATTATTAGTATGTCATAAAATACATTTTAAACCAATCATCCAAAACTTGTTTAAATAAAATGTAGATTATGTAAAAAAAAAAATTTAAGGAAATTAAATTTAAATAATATTTACATTTTGGTAATTTATTGTTTTTTTATTAGGATATGGGTGGGTTTTTTTTTTCCATTAAAGTTAATATAGATTGCTTAATAAAAAAATTCTATTGCCCCAAGTTTTAGACAGTAAATTTACAAAGAGTAATTTTTCTCCTCTACAGTGTTGAACATGGCAGCCCAGTTTCCAAAGAGTTAATGAGACTCATGAAGATTCCAGTTGACACATATAACAATATACTGACTGTCCTCGAGCTTCAACATTTTGGTCCACTCTTTGAGTACTTTGACTTTAAAGGGAGACAACTGATGAGTTGCCATATCATCAACAATGCGCTGGAAAATGAAACATTGATTCCAGCCCAAGAAAATGTAAGTCATCTTTCTGTAACCAAAAGTTATATTTATTTTAGATTGCAAATAATTTAACAGTCCCTTATTTAATTTTAAAATATTGCTAATTGCTGTGTTTAGAAGGTTTTTTTAAAAAAATGTGTTTTTTAAAGGAAACTTTAACATTACATCCATCCATCCCTGTGGCGCTGCAGCCCATGTAGGGCTTTGGCCTGCCTCACCACTTCCTTCCACTCAGACCATCAGTCCATCCCTGTGGCGCTGCAGCCCATGTAGGGCTTTGGCCTGCCTGACCACTTCCTTCCACTCAGACCATCAATCCATCCCTGTGGCGCTGCAGCCCATGTAGGGCTTTGGCCTGCCTCACCACTTCCTTCCACTCAGACCTAACAAATGCCTTTCTTTTCCATGCTTGGACTTTCAGCTGCTGTAGATCTTTTTCCACATCATCTATCCCCCTAAGCCTAGGTCTGCCTTAGAGCCTTTTTCCTCTGGGGTATTGGTGATACACCCTCTTCATTTGGCATTCTCTATAGGTTTCCTGCCCAGTGTAGCCTGCCTCTTTTTATTTCTGCCACTATCGTGGGATCCTGATATAGACTGTACAATTCATGGTTGGTTCGTATTCTCCATCCATATTCATCCTTTGTTGGCCCATATATTTGCCTGAGAACTTTCCTCTCCCTTGTGTTTAATAGGTTTTATGCTGTTTTTGTTAGGGTCCAAGTTTCACTTGCATTTGTTACAACTGGTCTGATCACAGTTTTATAAATAGTTTTCTTTGTTTCTCTTGTAATGTTTTTACTTTTGAGTATTTTCTGACTACTGAAGTATGCCCTGTTTCCAGCTGATATTCTTTCTTTTATTTCTGTTAGTAATTCGTTTCTTTCATTTAACAAGGATCCTAGGTATTTGAATTGATTTACTTTTTCAAAAGTTTGGTTTCTAATTTTAATTGTTTCATCTGTTTGTTCCTCTCTTATCATGGTCATGTATTTTGTTTTTTGGTTGTTAACTTCCAGCCCTGCTTGTAAAGATGCGTCTTCTAATTCAATAAAGGATTTTGATATGTCTTTTATACTTTTCCCTAGAAGTGCTATGTCATCAGCATATGCAAGATACTGAAGTGGTTGGTTGTAGAGTGTGCCCGTTGGTTGTGGGTCTTGAGTTTCCCTCAGAAAGTATCCTGTTATCGTTCCTCGAGTGTCAATGTGTATGTTTCTAATAACTCTCTCCAATGTTTGTTTAAAGAGCATACAAGACAGTGAGTCTCCCTGTCTTAGGCCTCATCTAATATGAAATTCCATTGAATATTCTCCTTGAATCTTGATTTTACTTTTTGAGTTGTTTAGTGTTACATGTATTAGCCTTGTCAGTTTGTTGAGTATTCCAAACTCCTGCAGAGTCTCATATAAATAGTTTCTTTTGATGCTGTCATAGGCCATTTTATAGTCGACATAGAGTTGATGTACTGGTATATTAAATTCATAGCATTTCTCTAATAGGCATCTGATGGTGAAAATCTGATCAGTCGTTGATCTGTTAGGCCTGAATCCGCATTGGTAATCACCTAGTATTTCTTCAGTGTAAGGTTGTAGTCTTTTGGCAATAAGTTTTGTCAGTATTTTGTATGTAACATTTAATAGGGAGATTCCTCTGTAGTTTGTGCACTGAAGTTTGGAGCCTTTCTTGTCTATTGGGGTTATTAATGCTGTTTCCCATTCTGTCGGGATTTTCTCCTCTTGCCAAATTTTAGTTATAAGTTTATGTATCTGATTGTGTAGTTCGTTTCCTCCATATTTAATCAGTTCTACTGTGATAAGGTCTTGTCCGAGGGCTTTGTGATTTTTCATGTAATTAATTACCTCTTTGGTTTCTTCTATGGTTGGGCATTGTATAAACGGGTCTGGTCCCCATGTGGGAGTTGATAATCTTCTTCTTGTCTATTGTCTGCATTCAGTATGTTCTCAAAATATTCAGCCCACCTCTCCAATACTTTACTATTTTCCGTGATTAATTCTCCATTGTGGCTCTCATACATTTGCGGTCTGGCTTGGTATCCATTCTTTTCATCTTTTATCTTCAGTAAGAAAAAGTAACGCTAAATTAAAGAAAATTGCACATTTTTTTTCCAGTAAAAAAAAACGAAAAATTATGCAAAATTTTTGTTAACTTTTTTTTTTTATTTACTAAAAAACAAGAAATTTTTTAAAATTTTTAAAATATATCCCTATGACTAACCCTAACCCTAAATCTATCCCTATGCCTAACCCTATCCCTTTGCCTAACCCAAACCCTAAATCTATCCCTTATGCCTAACCCTAACCCTAAATCTATCCCTATGCCTAACCCAAATCTAAATCTATCCCTATGCCTAACCCTAACCCTAAATCTATCCCTATGCCTAACCCTAACCCTAAATCTATCCCTATGCCTAACCCTAACTCTATCCCTATGCCTAACCCTAACCCTAAATCTATCCCAATGCCTAACCCTAAATCTATCCCTATGCCTAACCCTGAATGTGCATAAAGTGAAACAGAAAAGTTTTGTCACAAACAATGTTAACCCAAAAAAAAAACAGAAAAGAAATGCTACTAAATTGACGAATTATAAATTTTTTTTTTACTCACTCTTTACGATGTTTCATCTTGTAAATGGGGTGGATATACCATTTTTATTACATTTAAAAATTCCCTCATTTGATCTTTATTGCCACACGACCGTCGCCACATATATTCATATAAATATGAGTCGAACTGCTCCTCCCCATGACATGTTCTCGTGGGCAAAGATAGTTTTATCGCACTCCAAGTGCCCTCAATGGTGTTAGTGTGCGCGCCCGTTTCCGAGTCCTTGAACTCAAACGTATGGTTCACCATCAAATGGTGAAACCCTTCGTCCTCTAAACAGTCATAAGACCTCCAACAATCTGAAATGATTGTAGTCACTGGCTGCACAAATTCTTTAAATATTGGCAGGAGGACATCTTTGCTGCGATTCTCAATGACCCTGAAAAAGGATTTCTTGGATCCTCTTTCGACCCCACCAAACAACCATTTTCCATCTACATGTTTGCCTCTATTACACTTCCGCTTACCGAATTTGGATTCGTCAATCTCCACAATTTTACCCACTCCGCCTAAGCTCTGACTCAAAAAAAAACACGCTTCCACACACACCTCATGACAAAAGCTCACCCAGTCGGTTACTGTATCTGCACTAACGCCTACTTCTGTCGCGATACTTCCCAAACGCACTTTTTTTATCCAAAAATGTGTCCATAAAAGAATGTCACTTAATGTCAATCTACTTTCGCTAAACCACGATCCCTTCCTTACACTACGCATAATACTCCCATGGCTTCTGTCTTGACATCTCCATGCAAACCCATCTGAAACACCCGACCTTGCACACAATTTCATAGCCTTTTTACAATTGGGACTTTGTACCGGTCTGCAATAAGACCATCAATCATGACCCAATTCAACACACTCCTTCCGCCCATACCTTCTAGTCACATCCAAAAACGGGCGGTAAATTTTGCATCCATCAGCATAAATTTACCCCAAATTTAACTAGAAAAACTCAAAAAAATCAATTTCAAACTTACCGTGGACACCCGGAGCACGATCAAGACAATATTGACGTAACACTTAAGTAAGCACTACTTTCTATATCCGCATAATTTTAAAGTACCCTAGACAAAAATTAATTTCTCCATCTTTCAATAACATTTCAAACTCAAACATTCTAAAATTTGCACACGCTCAGAATAAAACTTAAAAATACAATAGTATAGCACATTCATTATTTTATACATAAAATTTAACTTGTATTTCAAATCCTTTAATTATTCACATGACCTCACGTGAACTCTTGTAGCAAGTGATAACCTTTGAAACATTCATTGACTGCCACTTCTTCCAATGAATAAACATAATTTTTTCAAGGATAATTTAAAATTTCATGTTTAGGCTATTACAAAAAAAATACTATTTCTATTAAAATAAACATACAAAAAGGACTAGAAACCAATATGTAAGTAAACTGTCCTTCGGCGCATTATTACAACAACAACAAAAAAAAATTGCATTCTCCAAATGTAAACAAAGGGCAATAAACACGCCTTAATCATCTCGGGCCGCTCAATCTGAAACAGCCCCCCTTATTTAAGGCAAATCAATTTAAGCGCGATTAATTATTTCTAGTGATATAAAATAAAAACTTCCTTTTTACCTAATGAAACTAAGGGCTTAAAATAGCGTCTTTTGTTCGTATACAATAAACATTTAACAAATTGTGCAAGATTCAAAAAAAAAAAAAAGTACATTTCATGAATCTTTTGTCATTTACGCCGCCATTGTGGGAAAACAAGAAGAACTCTTCTGTCTTCAAAGATACGTTATAAAAGTTGCCCAATTGGATATATTTAGATTTAATTAAATTTGTTTTATTTTATAACGTTCTATTTTGATATTTCTTTCTAGCCCACTGTAACCATGCACAGCCATGTAAAGGTGGTACTCGCAAGGCAGGGACCTCAATAACAGGGGGCGCATTTTCTATATACTAGGGTCTTCGCCCAGGGCGCTGCTTTTACTTAGCGCGTTCGTGCATCCATTACGAACGTAACGTGGCTAGAATTTTGAGGGTGGGGGTTATGTGGGACAATGTTTGTTAAAACTTAAAATAAAATTGTCAATTTCTTTTCTTTTTATAAAATTTGTGACAGTTTCGATTTCCTTCTCAATAAATAGCTGTGATTTACTAAGACTAAGAGTTGAAAAGTGGGAAAGTAATGAAATATGTGTCAAAAGCGAAGTAAACACCATAGCAAACATTACTAACAAAGCGACACGGGTCCGTCCATATAATATACATAATAACTAACACTGCCTCTTATTTTCCTCATCACAAATCATTCAACTTAGGTGGCATCTAAATAATTAAGTTCAGCCTATCGAATTAGAGCTAACCAACCACAGACCATTTAAATATTATTTACCTACTATGACTCA